CCTAACCCTAACCCTAACCCTAACCCTAACCCTAACCCTAACCCTAACCCTAACCCTAACCCTAACCCTAACCCTAACCCTAACCCTAACCCTAACCCTAACCCGCACTCTCACCCGCACTCTCACCCGCACCCTCACCCGCACCCTCACCCGCACTCTCACCCGCACTCTCACCCGCAACTCGACCCGCACCCTCACCCGCACTCTCACCCGCAACTCGACCCGCACCCTTACCCGCATTCTCACCTGTAACTTAACCCGTACTCTCACCCGCACTCTTACCCGTAACTCGACTCGCACCTGGTAGCTTCTGCCCTTACCTAGACCCGTAACTTAACCCGCTACTCCGAACTATTATATTACTACCGTAAAGTCCTTAGGCTCGAAACCGGAAGTCGCGAACGTGAAACAGGGAAGTAAAATCGAATCGAATTTACCGGCCGGGAAACTTACTTGTAGACCAAACGACATCAGACACCTACGTAAAAGACAGTGATAGAACTAGACGCCGAGGGCTGTAACGGGTGACTCTAGCTTGTATACCGCTGCTGAGTCTACCGCGCTCGCAAGGACGTGCCTATACTACAAGCTCTCCCGCGCGAGTAACACCAAGCGACCGTGTCAGGCCGAGCTGTACTGCTCCCCCCTAGTCGTGCGCGGCGTTCGCCGCGCTCTCGCTTGATTCCCATACCAACCCGGCAGCCTCGATTGCGGCCTGAAGGGTCGGCGGCAGCACTTTGTCCGTGACCGCGGCCATGTCCATTTCCCCCATCTCGCGGTCCAACGCGTCCCCTAAGCTGCGGGCGATCTTGACCTTCGTGCCGTCACGCTTGGCAAACTTGTGCCCCATGTTCTTCGCAATCTTCCGGAGCCCGTCAACGGTGAAGTCGTGGAGGAGAGCGCGCTTGATGCGCTGACGGTACGTGTCCGTCGGATCCGTGTTGGTCGCACCCTGAGGCGCTGGGGATGCTAAAAGGCAGAATAAAACGTTAGTCGAGTTTACCGGCCGGTAAAAAGGGTTACTACGCACACTCTTCTCCTTCCTCTAGCTCCGACGGGTCGCTGGATGCTAGGGGGGTCGCGGCCTTGGGCGCAATCGGGGAGTCCTGACGGGGGGTCGGCGCTAAACCACTGGTTAGCTCTGATTTACCGGCCGGTAAATCATTCTTCTGATCTTACCTGTCCCAGTTACTGTACCGGCGTTCGCCATCCCGAGGTCCTCTACCGCCTCCTTTGCCGTCTCATGGACCGTGTCCGGCATGTTGACGTCTTCCGCCGTCTCGCGCGTCGTGTCCGGCATGTCGACGTCTTCCGCCCCCTCGTGCGTCGTGTCCGGCATGTCGACGTCTTCCGCCTTCTCGCGAGTCGTGTACGCGGCGGGCGCTTCTTCGCTCTTGACGGGGCCGGACACCGAAGGAGTCGCTGTCTCTCCTGCGGGCCGCTTGGGCGGGTTGAGACCTGAAACTGTACATCAGCTTGATTTTACCGGCCGGTAAATTCGTCCCCGAGACCTACCTGGTGTCGACGCCACTGCCGGGGTCGCAAACTCGCCATTCTCCGCGAGCAGCTGGCGCGCCTCCTCGAGCTTCCTCTTCTTCTTGGCCTCTGTCTTGGCCTCGGCTTCCTCCTGCCGCTTGCGCTTGCTCTCGGCCTTCTCCGCCCGCGCCCGGTCTTTCTCCGCCTTCTTCTCCTGGCGGTCACGCGTGCGCTGCAACGATTGCATGGAGTCCTTCACGCCTTTGGAGAGCGGGGTGGTGGGCTCGTCCGCGAGCTTCTGGTTCTTGAGGAGGGTGCGGATGTGAGCGAGCGCGCGACCGCCCTTGTCCGTGAAGAACCTAAGCTCCTCTGGGATGAGCAGCTTCATATCTGGGTTGGTTTCGCTGAGCCAGTACTCGTTGTCGCGGTCGGAGCGGACGCCGAAGTTGCGGCGGAACTTGGCGTGCACCACGTCGTTGTACAGCGCCTCGCGCGCCTCTTCCAGGACGCTGCGCTTGCTGAGGGCCGCGATTCCCTCGACCTTGGTCTTGAACTCGCCATCCTCCAGGGCTTTGCTGGCGTCCTCGTCCTTGATGGTCCCCATAGCGCTGCCGGAGGTGGCGGCCAGCTGCGCAATCATGGCGGTGGCGTATCGGGCGAGGACCGGTTGATCGTACGACCGGTTGAGCGTGAGCACCTTGATGAACTGCTCGTGCTTCTGCCCGATGCGATAGCAGCGCCCGATGATCTGCGTGATGGTGTTGAAGTTGACAACGTCCATGATGATGATGTTGTGGCAGGCCTTTTGGAAGTTGTACGACTCGGCGGCCGAGCGGGAGGAGCAGATGAGCGCCATCAGGTCCTTGTCGTCCGGATTGTTGAACTTCTTGATGGTCGCGGCACGTTCCTTGGCACTCTGGCCGGAGCTGATCCGCGCGGCCTTTAAATTCAGGACGTCGAAGAGGACTTTGACCAGCCAGACGCTCGTGGGCCAGTCGCAGTAGACGATCAGCTTGTCACCCTCTTGCTGGAGACGGTGGGCCTCGCGCACGACGTACTGGGCCTTCGACGACGTGGTGGTGATGTAGGCGGCCTGGGCCACGCGATCGGAGGGGAGGGCGGCCCAGCCTTCGTTGGTGGCGTTGTAGTAGAAGGCGAATGCGGCATTGTCGCCGGCGTGCTCGTCATACCTATGCGAATGTTAGCAAACAAACCGTGAGACATCGAATTTACCGGCCGGTAGATTAGTTTGCGAGCAGTCTCGAGGGTTTACCGGCCGGTAAATCTATCATGGAGGTGTTTCGAAAGTCTACCGGCCGGTGAACTCGTCAAGTACGTACCATTTCTGGACATCCTTTGCGTCGGCGGGGATCTTGTACTCGTACATGTTGTCCATGCCGGCGTTGTTCGAAGCGGTCTGCAGGCGGCGGCGCTTGTCGACGTTGTCGCGAGCCTCCGTCTCGTCGGCCAGGATTTCCGGCTGGATGATCGCCGGGGCATTGACGCCCGATGGATGCGGCCCCGCCTCGACTTGGAAGCTGTCCTCTTCACGAATCTTCTTGCGGTGGGCGCGGCGATACAGGCGCTCTTCGATGTCGTTCGGCTCCAGCTCCACGACCGTGCAGTAGAAGGGGGGAAGATTACCGGCAATGACGTGCTCTGCTCCGCGCGCCATGACGATCTGGCCAGTGACACGGCGGAGACCGAGGATGGCCAAGGGCGCGGGAACGACCCTGCGGACGACGGCGGGGTTATCGTCGAACTGGTTCATGAGCTGAGTGTATGCCCTGGCGTCGAGCGCGCGGACGAGCTTCGCGCGGGTCTTCTCGTCAGCGGTGAGGTAACTGCCGCCGCTGTTCTGCAGGAGTTGCCGGATCTCGTCGTACTCGGCCACGGTGAGGCTGAACCCCTCGCCGCCCGTGGCGAGCGTCTCAACCACGCTGGTATGCGAGACGACTTGCAGGATGGAGGTGAGATCCTTTAGGCGTCTCATGAAGGGCGAGGCCGTGAGGAGTAGCACCCGCTTGTGCTTCAACATGAGAAGGGTGTAAAGCTGCTGGGTGTCCATGTTCTTCATGCGGTGCGCCTCGTCCCAGATGGATGTCCCGAAGAGGCCAGGAGCGATGCGGAGCTCGTAGAGGCGTCGACCCGCAGACTCGTCACGGTACTGTCGACCCTGCAGCAGGAGGTCCTCGAAGTCGGCAGGCGCATAGCCAAGCGCCACGCACTCAACCCGGGTGAGCTTGGACAGGGGGTAGCGCTTTCCGTTCGACAGCTCGACGAAGTGGCGCAGCAGGCGGAAAGCGGCGGTGGTGTAAGAAGTGACGACAATGACGTTCCCGGTCTCTGGGTCGTCGACGGGCAGCGCCCTGATGTAGCGCTCGAGGTCCTGTGCCGTTCCGTTGAAGCTGGTGGCGGTCACGGCTTTCTTGGTCGTGCTCCCGGCGGCAAGGTAAGTTCGCAGATGGCGGTGCTTGAACAGATCGCTGATCTCTTCAATCCAGACGTCTGTGGAGCCAGACGGGGCGTACACGACCGAAGGACGGAAATACTCCAGCTTCATCTTCTCGCATTCTAGAGATAGTTAGCGGTGAAAAGCAATCGACTTTACCGGCCGGTAAATTCAAGGGGCGTAACATACCTGCAATGAGCTTCTGGTTCCGCGTGATGGCCGCATCCATGCCCGTTCGCGTCTCTTCTGAATAGTAGGCCTCTCGAATAAAGCTCTGACTGTTGTCCTCGCCCTCGGACTCATCGAGGTCGACAAAGTCGCCTTCCTCGGCCGCGTCCTCGTCAGTGCCACTGGCCTCTGGGTCCGAATCCAGGTCGTCGCCGTCCTCGCTTTCGGACTCTTCTGCAACAGGGCGTTTGCCGCGTGCTTTGGCAGAGGGAAGCGGCTTGTGGGGGCGCCTGACTGGTCGCTCGGGCATATAGTCGCGGAAAGTGCCCTCCTCCGCTAGCACTAAAGATTGGGCACAAGTCAGCAACAACATCCGTATGGAATAACTCGAATTTACCGGCCGGTAAGTTTGACGTCGAGTTGTAAGCAAATTTACCGGCCGGTAAACCGACGGGGGAAAGGAAAACTTACTGTCCGCATCCTCCAGATCTCGGCGAATGGTTGCGTTGATGTGGTCGTCGGCGCTGAGAGCCTGTATGGTCTTGCCCAAGCCCGTTTCGTCTGCGAGCAGGGCGCTCCGGAGATGGCTGCGCAGCATGCCGTGGATAAAGCCGATTCCAACAACCTGATGGGGAAGCAGCTTGATCCCGTGATGGTCGACGAGAGGGGTACCGTCTGACCCGTCTTCGACCTTGAGACGGAGCCATGCGACGACGTCGTCAAATGCTGGCGGGGTGGCGGAGACTGAATTGATGGAGTCCTGGAACTTCTGGAAGTGCTGCGCCACCGCGGTGCTCTTGACGTGCTCGACGGCCTCGGTGTAGCTCAGCTGCTGCAATTGGTCGACATCCAGACCAAAAACGGCCGTAAGTGCCTGCAGGCGGTCTCTACCGCCTCGCAATCCCGCTTCGTGCGCCTCCAAATCGCGCTCGGGGTCGGCCGACGGACCATCAACCGCCTCTGCGGTAGCGTCGGCGAGCATGGTGGCGTAGAGGGTGGCCTTTTGCAGATCCTCCGGTGTGAGGGCCGTCTGGCGGGCTTCGTCTTCCGTGCGGTCGTACAGGACTTCGAGCGGCGCATAGAGGTCCCGCATGACTCGATCGCGCAGCTTGTTGTCGATGGCCGGGAGTTGCGGGATGTACACCTTGTTCTTCTTCTTCTTCGCCGACCTCCGCCCGGCCACCCTGTTGCCGAATTGCGCGACGACGTCCTCGATGCGACCGATGTCGGCCGGAGTGAGCGCGTCGTCACTGCGGGATCCTAAGGAGGGGAGATCCGCAATGTCCCGGGCCATGGCCTGGATGCCGAGTGAGAACTTCTGCGCCTTGAGCTCGGGACTCTTGGGCTGGGAAGGGCCGGCCGACGTCTTGAAGAGTGGCGGGATGACGGGCTTGTTCGTGGACCAGTTCTTGCGCTGGTTTGGTGCGACGTTAGCGAGGAAGGGCGTGGCCCCGGCGCTCTTTCGCTCCTGGCGGGCCCGATACCGCACGTAACTGCTGAGGCAGAAGAACCGACTGATATCCTCCGTGTTCAAGCCACACACGGACCTCGCCCGACTTGGGTCGACTGCACCCGGAAAGTACCTCGCCTCCTTTCTCTGAGCGAGCTGGATGCCGACGAACGCGTGGCGGAGCCAGATAACAGCAGCGCGATAAGACCCGGACCCGGTGCCGGTGGGATACCTCTGTGGATCACTCAGATCCTCGCACGTAAGGATGCCTTGCCAGCCCGAGAGCTCCTCGTCGAATGGCAGGTCAGCCGGGATGAAAAACCCATCGCCGAGTGCGAGGATGTCGGGCAGGGTCAAGACCTTCTTGTCGCTGTAGCCAAAATTACTCTGCGAATGGTTAGCATTAGACACAAGAAGCGGAGAGAGGGATAGAAATGCAGTCGAGTTTACCGGCCGGTAAAATCGAAGGCATACAAATGGGATCGAATTTACCGGCCGGTAAATCCGAAGGTACTTTTACATGCGTGTGTGGCCGGAGACGACTTTACCGGCCGGTAAACTCGTATCGAGTGTGGGGACTTACCTCGAGTTGGGCCTGGAGGGACAACAAGACGGGCTTGATGTAGTGACACAAATCCCAGAAGTCATCGACGGTATTGGCGCCCATGTAACCGGCAACCTCGCCTAGCGACTCCGTGGTGCCGTTGACAGGCCGGACGACGTAGATGCCCCAGTTGTTCTGCGGATTCAGGGAGCGGCCTTCGATGATTTCTTGGGCGGTTGCCGTGCTCTCCTCCTCGTCCTGCGCTGAGTCCTTCCCTTTGGTCGTCCTTAGCGCATCGCCGGCTCGCCTAATTCGACGCTCTGCTTTGTCGAGCTTGGGCTTGACCGGCTGCTTCGGGCGAGTGGCCATGGTCGATTAGTGGCGGGTTAGTACACGCGGAAGAGGTTGGTGCTAATGGCAACGACGAAGCCCGACTCGGTGGTTGAGCGCGAGAAGGGCAACGCCGGCCGCGGGACAAACTCGGGTAGTTGCTACCTGAGCCGATGCGGCGGAGGGGACAGTGGCCTTGCCTATCCAATTGAGAGACCCACGATGCAAGTGGCGTGTTACGCCTGCTGACCAAAACGGCTTCGTGCCACTGGACTTGCTACTGTCGAATTTACCGGGCGGTAAACTCTGCTCCAAAACGCTCGGAATGACCGTGTCGCTCGTATTGGCTGTGGGTCAAGAATGCTGCCAGTTTGCAGTGAGATACCCAAGATTTCTGATGGATTTACCGGCCGGTAAGAATTGTGTGAGTGAAGAGAGAGAGATGTGGAAGGGGATGTTTGTGAGAGGAAGTCGGAAGGAAGTTTGGAGGATATATATTCTCTGAAATAAAGTTTCGCGCTAGCGCTGATACGGCGATGACACAGGCCAATTCACTTGAGAAGAGGGAGTGAATCGACAATCGGGATGGTGTAGGCAGCATTTGTATGGCGCTGGCCCGACCGAGCGTTCACAAGCAAACGCAGCAGTGAAACGACGGATCCGAGTCATGAACTCAACAAGCCCGAGTCATGAACTCAACACGCGCACATGAAAGACAAATCTACCGACCGGTAAACTGAGCAAGTAAGACTCTCTTCCTGGCCTATATTCGTGATGGTGGTTTTGTGCGGCGTGGTGTATGCGTGAGGCACAGCAGCACGATGGACATGAAGTCCCCGGGCGGAGACACGGGTACCTGCGGCGGACTGGCCCGAAGCCCCGAAGCCGCGCTCAACCGCGCTGTAAACAGGCCTGCCAGCTGAACTCTGAGTACCCCATTACTATACGTGTACGATCTACCGGCCGGTAAATTTGCCTACTTTCTTTACCGGTCGGTAAATTTGCCCTCACTTAATCGTGTCGTTATGGTTGCGTTGGAAGTTTGGAAGACAAAACCATGTGCAGAATACATTGATCTATGCACTACATTGCGCCCAGCAGCTTACTACGCCGGGTCTCAGTGAACGAATGTCCTCTGCCCATATCCCGCATGGGTGACCGCCAGAATCCGTCCTAAGCGGTCACGAGCAGCCATCGCGCATTCTGTAACGCGACTCCCCATCGACCGAGTTCCTCTGCCTGCGGCGTACAAGGACCCCGGGCCCGGTTACAGCTCCAACTTCTTCGTCAAGGCCTTGACGATCTTGGCGTACGACTGGGTAAGGGTCGGCATGGCGTATGCGGCGTCGAACTCCACAGCGTTCCAATCGAGGACCTTGCCGCAGGCGATGAAACCGACTGTGCCATGCTGATCGGTCATTTCGGCTTCGCTGGGGACCTCGGCGTGGAAGTAGTCTTCGTGGTCGAACGGCCCGGCGACGAGGGTGACCTGGAGACTCCCGTTGGCCCACGTCGACACGTCGCCGAGCGTGGTGGGACGGCCGTTCTCATGGACCTCGAAGAAAGAGTACACCGTGCGCGAAGTTCCTCTGAGCGTGCCAACCTCCATGAATCCTCCATCCCCGAGCTCGACGTTGTAGTTCACGCCCTTGCCGTGATCGCGAATGTATTCGCCCAAGGCGTTGTAGGTGTCCCACTTCTTGAGTGTCGCGGCGTGCGGCTCATTTTGCCCTTCGCTGATCATCTCGTCGGTCGGCTCGAGGAAGTGGGGGTGGCGGACGAGCTTCTCCGTGCGGGTCGTGGTGAGGTCTTCTGGCCGGGCCACTGGGACGGTGCGAGAGGCCATGGTGTTGCTAGAGTGCTGAGTGCGTAGGGGTGGCGCGTGCAGAGTCTCAAAGAGCGCGGGTAGCCGGAGAGGGTAAGCGATTGAGACAAAGGTGAGGGCGGCCGGTCGATCTGTGTCTGATGCAGGCCTAAGCGGTGAGCAGGAATGGATTGCGAGCAAGAGATCGGAGTGGAACTGGAGGGCCTTTTAAGGGCGAACAATAACACATTGTTTACGTAGGTAACTCAAAGGTGCTCTGACACAATAGCTTGCTAGTGAATGCGATGGCTTGCTAGTGAATGCGATGGCTTGCTAGTGAATGGGCTGGCTACTATCTATTGTGAGTGTCTTTGATCCCGAAGTCTTACCGTGAATACCATTGAAGTGGCTGTCATTGTTGCTGGTTGAAGTGGCATTGTCTCCTTTGGCAGGGACGTCGTCCTTTGTTTCCTAGTGTGCAGTTCATAATCGCATTGTGGATAGCTGACTAACTGCTGTCGCGGTACTGGACCGGACGGTTGGCCGTACTGCTTCGTCTGAGCTGCCTGTTCGTAAAACCTGATCGTTGTTGTTGGATCTAGGTGTGTGAGCTCCTTCCCGCATACTCGGTCTATAACGTCTCGCTGGCGCATTCCTACAGGCGCTACAATCGTTATCAAAAACCTGGTCGCACCGCGGCTGTCTCCGCGTCGCGGGTTCGCCTATAGTAATACAGACACGCAATATGTCGTCGTGATCTCAGCTCGTTGTCGATATCCTAGTTCGGACGATGAAGCCATTTTTGTATAAGCAGCCGTAATATAGCACTTTCTAAGGTGTTAGCGATGTCTCAGCGTGTTAGTAGACGCAAGCGCAGTGCGCCTAGCCCCTTCGAAGGCTAGAAGGAATGAAAGCAGAAACAAAAGCAGTGGCAGAAGCAGAAACAGAAACAGAAGCAATAGTAGAAGCAGAAGCAGAAGCAGAAGCAGAAACAGAAGCAGAAACAAAAGCAGAAACAAAAGCAGTAGCAGAAAGCACGAACGAAGCAAAAGCAGAAGCAGAAGCAGAAGCAGAAGCAGAGGCAGAAGCAGAAGCAGAAGCAGAAGCAGAAAGCACGAAAGAAGCAAAAGCAGAAGCAGAAGCAGAAGCACAAAAGAAGCAAAAGCAGAAGCAGAAAGCACGAAAGAAGCAAAAGCAGAAGCAGAAGCAGAAGCAGAGGCAGAAGCAGAAGCAGAAGCAGAAGCAGAAGCAGAAGCAGAAGCAGAGGCAGAAGCAGAAGCAGAAAATAGATACAGAAGCAGAAACAAAAGCAGAAGCAGAAGCAGAAAGCAGAAGCAGAAGACGGCGAGGAAGAGAAGCCCATAGGCTATCTCACACTATGCTTCCACTTCTTGTGCGTTAAGTGCAAGGATACTATAGAGGCGCAAGTAGTACTAACGTTGTCTAGCGATAAGGGTTACACATGTCCGGAGTGTAGGGCGTGGACACGTTACGGGTTCTTCGACTTCAAGCAGCAGAAGCAGAAGCAGAAGCAGAAACAGAACCCTAAGCAGAAATAGCTATTAGCGCCGTCGTCGCCGCCGGTGGAGGAGGAGGAGCTACTTTAATAGCACGACAGGACTTCGTATTGTTATAGAGAAGGTAATAAGCTTACGCAGTAATATATAGCGGGTACCGCGTAGTAGGCATTGCAGCTACGGCTACCGGTAACTAGCAACACCTCGAAAACAAGCGATATAGAGATCTTCATATCAACTTTAGCCTTAATTACAAGCGACAGCGAGGTCAAAACGAAGCAGCACGTTGCGCGTCTGTATTACTATAGGATAACGGTTGTACATGCTATGGTCTTCAGCTGAACCCTGATCGGAGTGAAGCTTGGCAAGATCCACCTTTTCTGTATGCTTCGCAAGTAAGGACTTCGCACCTACAACAACCGACGGGACTGGCTGCTAACCCCTTGACTACGGATACTCTACATCGCGGCGATGACACCTACACCCGACGGTACACTCGAGACGTAACCTCGACGGATCACCTTGCCAGAATCGTCTAGTTTGACTCCAAGGAGCGTCTCTTTCAACACGACCGCTACCAAACCACGACATCCGGTACTCTGCATCGCGGCGGCAACACGAACCATGACAGCCCTCGTGACCTACTCGACCGCCCGGCTCACCCGACTCTACCACCCTCTCCCTAATCCGACTATGCATACCCTACACTGGGAGCCCCTAGATCGGCAGGCTTTTTGTGGCCCAAGCTCAAGGCTTTTTACGCCCTGAGCTTGGGCCACAAAAGCCTACGCTAACACCCTACCTTCTGGCATGCCATGGCCCGACGGAACCGGGTCCAACTCGACCCAAGATTTCGTTCGCGGCTGCGTGACCTAAGCTAAACCGGCACCTTACCCTCTTACCCGCGATGGACTCTAGACGTAACCCCGATAGACAACCTCGCCCTGGCCGACTGGTTAAACTCACAAACATCGATGTGAGCGACGAGCACTCGAGTCAACAGTCTCGCCCGAGCTCTAGCGGCAGCTCGGATCGCGGTGTCGTCGCACTTCTCGAGCAGCGCAGACGTACGGATACCTGGAGGGTCATCGACCTGGATGCCCTACGGCAAACGAGCGAGCCCGCTCCAGGACGGGAAGCGACAGTGCTAGCGACATTGCCGGCGGTGCTCTTAGGCCCGAAGCGTAAGAGGGACCAGAGTCCGACGTGCCAAGGCGGGCGTGAGGACCGACCGGCCAACCCAGCAACCCTACGGCAAGGCGAAAGAGACCCGGTGGACAGGAGCGAGGGAGGAGAACAGCTGCACCAGCGGCCCTCTTTGACAGAGGCGGAGGTCGGAGCTACCCTAAGTGTGGAGGCGCAAGTGTACCGGTGGTCGGAGGTGAGAGCGCCGGCTATGGCGGGAAGGGTGCGGCACACAATGGTAGCCTACTTGTGGGAGATCGGCAACTACCAGGTGGCCCTGGGATGGAGGGACCTTCTGCGGACGTGGCGACAAGATCGGACGTTGCTACTGCCTTGGCGGGCTGGACCTAGCGTGACGGACGACGAGGACTTCGCGGCGACGAAGCGACGACACTGGCTGTCGGCGGAGGCCGATTGGGACCGAGAGTTCGTCGCGCTGTACGATCGCGCGCAACGTACCCGAGTGGGACGTATCCTCGACGCACCGCAAGAACGAATGCAGAAGGCCGACCTCGGAGCTCGGTATGCCTTCCTGCAGGGCAAGGCGAGAATGGGCGCCACGCGACCGCAACGGGTCGTCGCGAAAGAGGAGATGTTCGCCTGGCTCTATGGCACCTCGAAGCGCAAGGGCGCGCTTTGGGACGACTTCACGAGGGAGATCAAGTACTGGACGCGTTGGCTAACGGTCACGGAGAGCCTCCATCGAGGCATCATCGCGCTGTTCCCCGACACGATCAAGAAGTCGTTCGTGGAGCAGACTCTGAAGGTGCATGAGCTTGCGGTTTGGCTCGAGGCCATCAAGCAATTCCGCCCGGAGTTGATCGAACTTAGCGGAACGATTCTCCCGCTCCTGACGGACGCACTGGCTGGTAGGCAACCTCCGCCGGAGCCCCTGCTCCTCGAGAACTGGGATAGCAACCCCACCACACTTGCCGCGCTGGGGGCGGCATGGTTCCACCCCGACACTGCTGTCCCATTGACGCCGCAAGCAAGCGAGGGCTCGAGAGAGGAGCGGAGTCCTAGCTGGGTGGGCCTTTTGGACTTTGACGGCGGCTTCAGCAGTAGTATCCATCTGTCCAGTCCATAGCTACCCCCTCGTAACTGATTATATGCTTCTAACGCAACACCTCACCTACTCTGCCAACCTTACTCGTCCAACCTATACACAGTGGCCTGTTGTTGTATATACATTGCGGAAGACTAGTCACGCCACGGCCAAACGAAAGAGACTGATTTACCGGCCGGTAAATCAGCCCCTCTTGGAAAACCTACTGGGGGAACTTGGCATGTTGTGTTTATGCTACACTATCAAACACTGTTGATAGGGGCGGTTTACCGGCCGGCGAATCGGTGCCTGTTCGAAAACTGACCGACCGGTAAATCAGGCCCGCTTAGAAAACTGACCGGCGGGGAATTGGCATGTCGTGTTTACGCTGCACTATCAAACGCCCTTTGTGTGTGCCGCGGTAGGGTTCTACGGAACCCCTGGTAGTCGTAGTTTGATAAGGGGCGCAGCGACCCAGACGGTCCGTCCTAAGGCTTTGATTGTGCTTCTCTTTACAGCCTGCTCGGACCTATATCAGGCCTGGCCTTTCGTAGGGATCCCGGACCCGAACCTTTCTTAATGCGTCTGCTTCAGCAACCGAGTTTCGGTGACGGATACCCTGGTATACCTATACGCTATGGCGACTCTTGAGAGTCCACAGAGATACCTCGACCTAGGCGGGATACGGAGTCTGGCCGAAGCGTTGCACACAACATACGGGAATCGCCTGACCTGTCCGAATTGTCCCCAACCAGACCCGCCGTCTCGTGCGTACTGTAAGGACGAAGGTGGAAACGGATCTGAGGCTGGATTGAAGCGCCGTCAGTTCCGGTGTCGCAACTCGGCTAAGCGACGTAGAGACACTGGTGTGGGTTGCCCGATCAATTCCTGCAACGCGTACGTCAAGAAAGCAATCGGGCTGCTCGGCGAGGAGAAGGTCGACCGTCTTCGGAACGATATCCTGACCGAGCTGACGGCAAAGGGTCGAGATACGTCGAGGATTGCGAGGAGGCTCTGTCGCCGTCCAGACATCGAGGTTGCATCGACGACGGCGGAGTCGGGCGTCAAGACCGTGCCTAGGGTATCATCGAAACCCACGCGTAATACTGCCGGGTCCGAACCAGACGTTAGCGACTGTGACCGTCTCGCGAAGGATCTAACCCCGCCACCGAAACGAACCCGGTACGACTCGCTATCGGCCGAAGAGGCTCGACTACGGGCACTGTCGGGACAGATCGAAACCCAAGCCCAGATCCAGGCGGTGTCGAGGCAGATCGAAACGCTTGCTAAGTCCGTCAAAGAAATCCACGCGATTCTCCTCCGTACCGACCCTGCGCCCACCACTCGCCGACCCTCACCTCCTGTGGTACCCGCCACCCCTACGCAAGATTGGCCCGAAGATACACTTTTGGAAGACTCGCCTCTGACCTACGCGCTGTGACATGCCGCAGACCGGACAACCCTACGCTGCTAACCCGCACAATATGCTGCAGCGCCGTCAGCGTGTGTCGATTGGCTTCGTAGAAGCCCGACCTGTTTTCAACCATGACCCGTTCAACGGCCGGATCAAGCTCCATCTCCTCCGCCCGCGCTATGAACGAATCAATCTCCGGTGGGTTCTGCGTTAGCAGTTCTAGAGGTCGAGCAGCAACTGTGGCTATAATGAGGCGGGGGAGGTCGAGGAAGCTTCGTCGCTTGCGGAGGGCGGAGACGCGTAGTCACGAGGAGACACACAATCGAGGGGGCCGGAGCGACGTAACATTGGGCAGTGGCGCTTTGCGGATCGCATACGTAAACGTACGGGGACTGGACCACGAGACGTGGGAGCGTTTACTGGCCCTGATTGCACCCGGTAAGCTAGACTTGATCTTTGTCGCGGAGACGTGGTATATGGGCTTCGAGAGGTACACGGCCGCACCGGCTACGATTGCCTTCACACCCAGACCGCCGACGAAAACCGGTGCACGATACAACGGCGGGCTTTGCTTGCTGGCATCCGAAGCGGTTCGGGTTCGACTCGCCGGCAAACCTGTAGTCACGGCGGTGACACTGATGGTTACCCTGGGACCCTCGACGATAGCCGGCATCTATCTTCCACCAAGCATGCCGGACAACGGTCTAAGGGAGACGCTAGAGGGGGTGGGTATGGCGGACGTTATCCTGGGTGACATCAATGTCCACTACAACGAGCGTACGGGCACGGGGACGCCGAGAGAGAGGGCCTTGCTTGTGGATGGATGGGCCCAGCGAAAGGCGGTCTTCCGACTGGCAACCCACAGCGGCCCCGGTCCTCTTCCGGAATACCATCTCGCGCCGCGACTCACGACGGACCACTGCTTCGTCCGCCGAGAGCACCGATCTGACCCGCTCCACATCTTGAGCAACCAGAGCCTGCGAATCCTGACCGACCACGAACACACACTCGTCCTGAGCCTAAGCGAACCCGCGACCCCTAGGCATACGCCGCTTGCTCTGCCAAGGTTCCGTATCGGCATGCTATGTGATCCGAAAGTCTCTGAACGTCTGGCCAAGGTGTGGCAGAGCGGCTCCGTTGGCGTGGAAAATACTCTAACCCGGCGGCATGACGTGGACGTCCTGAACGACTACCTTGTTCGTGCCTGCCAACGGACATGCCACGAGGTATTGGGTATCAGCCACCATGCTCGGACCAAGCCCGTACGGGACCCTTCGGTACGGGAACCATCCTACTTCAGCTTGGTGAGGAAGATCTTCAGCCTCGACGTCCACAACGGGCCACTGTATAGCAACGACCCGACGCGGAGTGCTCTGGACGAGGCAGCGGATGTGCTAGGGGCGAGATACCTCGCCCCCCAGAAACCCGACTCCTTGCCGGACGACGGGCTCGACACGGATCAACAGCCTCTTCCGGCCTTCACCTTGGAGGAGACACGTCGAGCTGTCGATAGACAAGATGCGTCCAAAGCATGTGGAGCCGACGGCATCCATATCCGAGCTCTGAAAGCGCTGCGGGAGACGTCGTTTACGGCGCTCTTGACCATCCTGTACAACGCCTGCCTCTTCCACCGGCGAACGCCTAAAGCTTGGAATTCAACCGATATAACCCTGATTGTGAAGGACCCTAACGAGACCAAAACAATCCAGAACGCACGCCCTGTCACGGTGATATGCGTCTTCCGGAAGATCTTCGAGAGTTGCATCTTGGAGCGCTTAACTGTGCTTCCAGGTCTCCGCCTCCACCCGGCACAGGCGGGATTTCGAGCCAACTACTCGACGTTGACTCTGGCTGCACTCGTCCATACCGCACTGCAGCAAGAGTTGTGCGCTGGCGTAGTGTTTCTCGACTTCACTGCAGCGTTTGATATGGTCGACCATTACCTTCTCCGCGAGGCCTTGCGTAAACGGGGGTGCCCGGAGGACTTGATGTACCTGCTCGATGCATTGCAACGGGATGCCCGCTCGCGGGTGTTGGCGAACGGAGGCGCATCCCGGTGGTTCCCACGTACGAGGGGCGTCCTGCAGGGATCACCGCTGTCACCTTTTCTATGGAACGTCCTCGTCGACGACCTGCTCCGGGACCTGAACACGGACATGACGCATCTGCCCAGTGGGGTCTTCTACGCGGATGACGGAGCGCTACTGTATAGCGACCAGACAGATATCCCGATCATGCTGGGCAAGGTCGAGGCATGGTGTGCACGGAATGGGATCCAGGTCAACGTCTCCAAATGCGGCCATGTCTCGGGTGCTACCATAACCCAGCCAGTCAATTGGCGTGAGCAGATAATCCCACATGTACCTGAGTATCGATACCTGGGCTTTCCGATGACACCATGCGGCATTGATTTCGAAGCACTCCTCGCCCTACGACTGGATCGCGCGACTGCCCGAGCAGGATTCATGGCGAGGCACTCCGGAACCTGGGGGGTTGCGAACCGACTGCGAGCGTTCCGCGAATATCTCGCGCCGATTCTGGAGTATGGGGCACCGCTGGTGTGGGCTTGGGCGGTCTCGGACGCTTCGCGGTGGGAGGGAGCCAGAGCGAAGTGGAAGGAGCTGATGCAGTGGGTGGCAGGTGGCAAGCACGGCTGGCGACTGGCGCAGAATCTCCTCGGCCTCCCTGCGCTTGAGCACCGATTTGAAATGCTGCACATGACTTTTTTGTTCGATCTGCAGCACGCCGATCCCGCCAATCCTCTCCGTCAGCTACTCTTTCGCCCGGCGCTGGGCAGCAGTGGATTCCGAAGGGGCTTGCGAGAGAGCAAATTGCTTGCTTTGTGGAAGGCTGAGACCGAAGCGAACGCGCTGGACAGGATCTCTCTACGCCGCTTCCAGCAGAAATACCTTGCTGCCAGACTGGCACGCTACGCCCGACAGACCCCATTGGCCTCCCATATACCATGGGAAAGCCGGATCAGGAAAGGTATGGCTAATGCGGACTGTACGCTGCAGGCACCGGCCCACATGCAGGACATGTTCTTCCAGTATCGACGAGGAGTCTGGTGTTTCCGCTTGAGCCATAAGTGTACTGCCGTGTCTCGTCCTTTCCGCCGGGGGGACGAAGAGTGTGGATGCCACGGTTTGGTTCGCCGGCTGTCTCGGCAGGACCGAGCTCGCAAACAGGCACAGCAAAAGGCGCTCGGCGTTCAAGGCTTGTTTACGGATGTGGACTTCTTGTTGAACGACAAGCAGTGGGGTCGTGCTTACGACGTACTTCGACGTGTGCGGGCCAATCTGGCTGCAGTCTGGAGCGATGAGCATGTAGACAGTAATATTTCCGACGAGTAATTGGCTGCAGTTCCTGTTCCTACGTTCGCTCTTAATCTCTACTCCTAAGCTTGGTCCGAGAAGACCGTAAACTAGACCCTTCGCCACGATATACATGCTCGTCGGCCTCTTCTCGTCGCAAGACTACCGGCTGCGAAGCCTTATATCCACCATGGTCTTAGACCCTCCGCCACGATACACATGCTCGTCGGCCTCCTCTCGTCGCAAGACTACCGGCTGCGAAGCCTTATATCTACCATGGTCATAGACCCTCCGCCACGATACACATGCTCGTCGGCCTCCTCTCGTCGCAAGACTAACTGCTGCGAAGCCTTACATCTACTATAGCCACTACGCTGTAAAGTACCTGGCTCGGCTGCGAAGCCTAAACCCACCACCCTTGACGCGAGTCACTGCTGCGAAGCATTGTATCAATATACATCTCTAAGACCAGCTGCGAAGCCTTATATCTACACCCCAAAAACGAGGCTAAACCTCATACCTACGGCCGGAAGGACGTACCAAACATGTCGAATTTACCGGACGGTAAACTCGACCATCTACCACTGCGGAGTGACATACCTACACAGCACAATGCAGGACAGCAACCCTGTGTGCACACCTGGCGAAGACTCCAGGAGGCCTGCGGCGAGAGCATGACACGACTCCCCCCCAGCAGACCTCAAGTCCTCCGGCATAGCAAACAGCCGCAAAAACGTGCAAAACCCCACGATCCCTTGGGGAAGTTCAACGTGGCGACCATGAGCACATCATGACAGCAGACGGAGAACCTGGTGATCCCGTAGAGCAGCAGCGGGTAAACATGCTCTTGCGAAGACCAAGGCCACACAGTGACCCTGGATCTCTTAGGCGGACTTACGAGGGCATGTCTCTGAGGGCTGTACTCCAGACGAGGGACAACACACACCCGAGTGTAAGCTGTCTACCGACCGGTGTACGCATTGGAGTCGGGAAGGTCTGCCGGAGACGAGCGGGATATTCGAGGGGGTTAGGTGGTGTTTCGACACGTCCCGAATGGCCCCACGATGACCCGTCACTCTCTTTTAGGCGGGTCGTAAATTCCTTCATCATAGGAACGAGATAAGCCTCGCTTGTCACTGATGTAGAAACCCTAACCCTAACCCCTTTAGGCCTCGGTAATATATAGCACGTAGGGCTACGTCGTCCTAGTCGGTAAGTTACGAGTATTCTTTAAACCGGGTTGCGTAGTCCGACGTAGACTTAGTCTGCTTAATACCTTAAATAACACGAACTATATTCTCGACTTCGTTAGAGATCGTAAAGACTTGTTATAAGATTGTCTTAAGTCCTACGAACGCTCTAAAGATCCTAGTAATATCTTCGTTATATCCCGGGTTACTATCGAGGTACTTAGTAAGGTATAGTTTAAGGTAGTGCTAAGCACGGCCTCGAAGGAAGGCTATTACAAACAGACTTCGCTTCGTAGGCTCTATAGAGTTAAACTCGAAGAAGATATATATCTAGTTAAACTAGTCGTCGAGTTTCTTTCGGTCTCCGTAGTATAAGTCGGGTTTAGCGACCTTTATATCGTCGTTAGACCGATTATAGTTAGCAGAGCGTACTATATTAGTACCTCCTACTTTACTAGGGATAGGGGTACCCTACTTAGATCTTCTAGTAATAGATATCCTTAAGGGTATTTAAAGTATTATATACCGTTATACTTACGTAATAGAAGTTAGGTAATTCCGTCGTTACGAGTAGGATTAGTACTCGTTAGGTAGTCTAGTAGTCGATAGTAAAGTGTTACTTAGTTAAAGTATAATCGATATAAGAGATCGGAACAAGGTAATAAGTTAATTCTAATTAGTCGGTTTATAATATAAGTTAAATACGAACTCCTAACTACGAAATCTATTATAAATATATATAAAGGAGATTCGTGTCTCGTTATAGCTTACGTCGAGCTATACTCGATAGTCGCCTTTTACTCGCTATCGAGCTATACTCGACGGCGAGTAGTCGAGCCGATACCTTAGGCACTACTAGCTCGACTTACTAAGGATCGAGTACTAGGGCGTAGCTACGTCTGCGCTAATTGTGTCGTAATACGGAGTAAGCCGTAATACTAATTAGAACTTTGATTAGTTAATTAGCTTAATTAAGGACACTAATTATATTAATTACACTAATCTAAGGATAGCAGATATAAATCTCCTTTATACATAAGTTATAATAGATTTCGTAGTTAGGAGTTCGTATTTAACTTATATTACAAACCGACTAATTAGAATTAACTTATTACCTTATTCCGATCTCTTATATCGATTATACTTTAGCTAAGTAACACTTCACTATCGACTACTAGACTACCCGACGAGTACTAACCCTACTTGTAACGACGGAATTACCTAACCTCTATTACGTAAGTATAACGGCACGTAATACTTTCTTACTATATATATAATATATAATCGCTTTCTTTCCTCCGAGGTATAGTTTCTTACTATTCTTACTACGGCTACTTTTAGAGTTTCCCTTCTTTATTATATCTAAGTATATAGAGGCTGCCTCTAGTCTATATAGGTCGGCGTAATATAGCCGATTTCCGCCTTAATTCTTCTAACTATAGGGAGGGTACTAGAGGTTAAACTTACGGCCTTTCTCTATTACGTATTTATAAAGCTTATCGTTAATTATAATAGAGGCCCTAATTAGCTAGTCTAGTTCCTTAGTAACGCCCCTATATCTTATTAGTTCGTCCTTAACCTAATCCTTTAGGCCTCGGTAATATATAGTATATAGAGCTATATCGTCCTAGTCGGTAAGTTATAAGTACTCCTTAAACTAGGTTATATAGTCCGATATAGACTTAGTCTACTTAATACCTTAGATAACGCGAACTATGTTCTCGACTTCGTTAGAGACTATAAAGACTTATTATAAGACTATCTTAAGTCCTATAAATACTCTAAAGATCCTAGTAATATCTTCGTTATATCTCGGGTTACTATCGAGGTACTTAGTAAGATATAGTTTAAGGTAGTACTAAGTACGGCCTCGAAGGAAGGCTGTCGTAAATAGACTTCGCTTTATAGGCTCTATAGAGTTAAACTCGAAGAAGATATATATCTAGTTAAACTAGTTATCGAGTTTCTCTTAGTCTCTATAGTATAAGTCGGGTTTAGCGACCTTTATATCGTCGTTAGACCGATTATAGTTAGTAGAGCATACTATATTAGTACCTCCTACTTTACTAGAAGTAGAGATACCCTACTTAGGTCTTCTAGTAATAGATATCCTTAAGAATATTTAAAGTATTATATGCCGTTATACTTATATAATAGAAGTTAGGTAATTCCGTCGTTATAAGTAGAGTTAGTACTTATCGAGTAGTCTAGTAGTCGATAGTAAAGTGTTACTTAGTTAAAGTATAGTCGATATAAGAGATTAGAATAAGGTAATAAATTAATTCTAATTAGTCGGTTTATAATATAAGTTAAATATAAACTCCTAACTATAAAATCTATCGCTATTATATATAAAGGAGATTTATATCTCGTCGTAGCTCGCATCGAGCTATACTCGATAGTCGCCTTCTACTTACTATCGAGCTATACTTAATAGCGATTAGTTAAGCCGATACCTTAGGTACTACTAGCTCGACTTACTAAGGATCGAGTACTAGGGCGTAGCTACGTCTATACTAACTATATTATAACACTATCGAGCGTAGCTTAACGCGAGCTATAATAAGATATAAATCTCCTTTATATATAATAGCGATAGATTTCGTAGTTAGGAGTTCGTATTTAAAATATATTATAAACCGACTAATTAGAATTAACTTATTACCTTATTCCGATCTCTTATATTAACTACACTTTAACTAAGTAACACTTTACTATTAACTACTAGACTACTTAATAAGTACTAACTCTATATATAACGACGGAATTACTTAACTTCTATTATATAAGTATAACGGTATATAATACTTAAAACGCTATATCTCTAAGACTATAATATAGTAAGAGGACGTATAAGCTTATAAGGACTATCTTCTAGTAGTAAGACTACTAGAAAGCGATAGCTATATATATACGGGCTTACTCTAAGTCGACTAAGTAGCGGCCTACTTAACTACGTCCTCGGAAGGCTAAGATAACCTGCAGATATATAGTCGAAGTATTAGTTTCTATATTTATTAGAGAGAAGGAGCCTAATAGTAACTATTAATATAAGAACCTCTAACCCTACGATTTCTTATATAAATAATAGCTTTAACTTTCCGAATTAGGACATCGACAACGAGCTAAGAATTAGAAGACATAGAACGCGTCTATATTACTATAGGCGACCCCGCGACGTGGAGATAGCCGCCGTGCGATAAGGTTTTTGGAAACGGTTGTATTAGACATTGCCTCGGCGAAGCACTTCGTCCTTGATGCTCCTCATGTGACTCACGTCGTTGCTGATTATCTGATCCAGCTGCCCGTGTCGTACCCACTCGGTGACACGTTCTTGGATGTCTTCCCCGTAGGCCTTCAGTTTCTCTAGCTTCGCGGGCGGCGGCACGTAGAGGAAGACCTGTTGGCGGCGTTAGCTATGTACAATGGTATCACCAAGCGTCTCACCCTAACAGGAGATGGCGCCAACATACCGCAAAGCCTGCATCGTGCAGCATCTGTACTTCGCCCTGCGCGTGATGCTGCGGGAAGTGATCAATCTCAATGTTTACCGCGTCAACTCGTGCTTCCCTAGCCACTCGAACAGTATCAATCAAGCGCGAGTGAGTTAGCATGACCGTGGGCACATTCGGAATGACCTCCTTCACCGCCCGAAGCTGGACGAAGTCGAACGAACTGAATTGGATCATATCCGCACACTGCAGCTCGTCAATCAGTGCCTTGAGCAGAGAGAAGGCGTGCTCATTCTGGTCATAGATCTTCGTTTCGATCTGATACCGAATCCCAAGTCGCTTGCCTAGCACAAGTGCATCCTTCAGAAGCGGCACTCTCTCGCCTGCGAATCTTGCGCTGAACCAACTGCCCGCATCAAGTTGCGAGATCGCGGACCATGTCATGTTGCGAACAAGCCCGTTCCCGTTTGTGGTACGGTCCACAGTATCGTCGTGCATGAGCACTAGCTGATTATCGCTGGTGATGGCGAGATCGGTCTCACAAAGCACACCGGGACCGCCCAAACTGCGCGCTGCTTCGAACGCTACAAAAAGTAAGCGAAAGCATCGGCGAGGTCTGTGACTGCATGCAGCCTTGCGGCCTCCCATCACCCACCCGCAATCGTGTTCTCTGGAGCTTTGCCCATCGAGTTGAGCCATCAGCAAGCTGCTCAAGACGTGCATGATGGTCGAGACCTTGCATACCGCCATCAGAGTGACCACGATGCCCAGCGATAATGATATCGCGCGGCGATGTTCTCAACGGCGATGACATTTTACGGCTAGCAGCTATAGGGTTTGTTCTGGACAGGAGGAAGGCGTATAGAAGGTAGGCGAAGACGCTGCATACACCTGCTATACCTGCAACACGTCTCCAAGAGCGAGATGTCCTGACTGGCATGCTTCTCACGCCCTCTTCCGTATAATGTCAGATTGGCATACACAGAGGTATCGTGGGCGGCGGTGCCGAAGGAGCTGCGGCGTACCGTAGAAGGAACTGCGGATGCTCCCGCGTGCAGTCGCATTCTCAGGCACTCCATCAACGTTTCGCGCTCAATGCATCCTGGCGTTTGCGGTGGTACGGGCATGGTAGCACCGGCAGCCTTGCGGCACTTTCATACGCAAAAGGAGCTGCCTCATAATGCAATAAGCGCGCATGCGACACTTCTGCTACCCTGCCACGGTATACTGCTCCACACCTATTGAATATGAGCATGTCTTGGAACCATTCGACACGCTGAAGAAAATTCAACCAGCCAGACGCATTACAGCCCTTGATGAGGCCTACTATAACTGAGTGATGTGTATAGCATCGCAAAGCGGATCTCAGAAGATACCACCCCGTACTGTTCGGGCGTACAACGCATGACGTGCTACGGCGCGTCTGTGAAGCCAACCGCTTTACAAGGGCGAAGATGATCGCAAGAGCCATGCGTTCGGGAGGCCTACATCGGTGTAATAGACGTGCGGCTTTCTGCTCGGACCACAGTCAGTGCAGGAACCTTCCGTGAGCGTCACGCTGGCAAGGCTCGACAAAGCTTCAGTGAAACTGTCCTTGCAAACCTTGAACATGCCGGTACGAGCATCTCCAGACTGGCCTGACGTCTTGCCATGACTCGCCGGTTACCAGTGGCCGCGGTGACGTGCAGCCACCGCGGGCCTACATAGGCTAGCCTGTGCTGGGTAACAGATCACTCGGCGGCAACAGCGACAGGGCGTACCATGCGAGCATGGGAGTTCAGCCGTTGACCACAAGAGCTTGCCTGTGGCCACGCTGTTCAATCATATAACGACCATGCCTTAATGGCTGCAGAGGCCAAGGCCGAATGATTCTTGTCGTCTCTACTGCCGCTTTCGAGCGATGTAGCGGGCCCTTTAACACACGCCTGGAAAGCTAGGCGGCTACAGAATGGCAATCAGCCAGCGGCTTGTCCAAGTACAGCGCAACTCGTCTTTGCAAGCGATGCCACCAGCTCACAAGTGGTATCGTTCAATGTCCTAAGCCTTGACGTCTTTGTCGTGTACTGCTTACTGCACCCGATGACATTTTTTGCTGCCAAGCGCTCATCACGCTGGTTAGTGGCGCGGTCATACATCCTGCTTCGCAGAGTAGCCGTGGGGTAAGTGACGCCTGACAGCAGCGAGTTTCAGTTCAGATACGGAGGTCTCCAAGTCGCCCATACCTCACGCCAACGGCATGCATACACTCTTTCTACTCCCTGGGCATACCACGATCCCTCCCCTTCCGACTTCGTGACGCCCACTATGACAGTTTGCAAAGGTACGGCTCCTAACCCTTTTCGTCTGCGTCCAGTGTCCGAATGCAGATTAAGACTAATGCGATGTGCGCCGCATTGCTGCGGTAGACGTGTATAAAGGAGCGGCTTTTGAATCTGCTTGTAAGCCTACGCGGGAAGATCGCAGGCGGACATGAAAGAGACGGTATATGGGAATAGCCTCAAGTTCGCAAGCATGTCCAGAGGCCGCCTGTGTCGCCATCACTAAAGCGTATTGATTCAAAGGGAACGTCCACCAAGTCTTGAACGTCGATTGACTCGCAGCGCTGGCGCTGGTGCTTGTGGTCCGTCTCCGCTATGGTGGACAAAGTGCCATCACTCGTAACGTTACAAATGCCCGTGACAGCTGGGAGCGCACAATCCACGTACTGTATACAGCATCGGTGAGCAAGATCCGTAATGCCGCACCAGAAGGTGGTGCAGGTTGTGGTTCAGTTGATGAGCGAAGGGCGCTGGGGCGCTACGAACGCACGAACAAGCAACAGCGAGATTGCAGGCTAGGCAAGAGTGATGATAACGTTCTGGCGCTCAAAATCCGCGCTTGAAGAACCGGGCTTGCATGGGTATGTTATAGTACACTGCAGCACAGTACAACCATATCCTCCAATTTACACATCCACGTCTCGTCAGAACTAGCCCTCCACCGGTTTCCGCTTAAACAGCTTCCCCAACCCTCGCCGTTCCTTCTCCGGCTCTTGTGGTGACGAGATGCTGGAGAGGAATTGCGTCTTACTGACGTCCGGTTGAATGGGCCTTTGCACGCCGTCACCGGCGCCACCATACCTGGGTCCTGCGCCAACCCCTCCGACGCCATAGCGTGGTGCCGCGCCAGTATTGCCATTGCCGTTGCCATTGCCGTTGCCGTTGGACGACGAGCTGATCCCATTACCGACCGCCCCACTACCCAGATGATACGTTCCCGGCGGTGCTAAACCCTGCTTCTGGCCTTGCTGCTGCGGTTGTTGTTGTTGTTGTTGTTGTTCCTGCTCGCGGCGGAAAGCCGGATGGGTACTTACCGCCTCTGGCCTGACACCATTCAGCCGCTCCTTCTCCTCGTGCCCGTATCCGTGTGCCGCATCAGTAACGGGATGCGAAGTCTCCTTCTGTTGTCCTTGTCCTGCTACGGTAGGTTTGAGCCCTCTCGCCTCCCTCAACCGCGCCATCTCCCGCTGGCCCTTCTCCAACTCCGCCCGATTCTTCTCTGCCGCCTGCGCCGCACTCTTCTTCGAGAACTGCAGATGTGAATCTACTCCTTCGTTAAGCGAGGAACGTAAGACTTCGCCAACGCCATGTAGGGCTACTGCTGCGTCTTTGAGGTTGGAGAAGGTGCCGCCTCCGCGTCCGCCTTCGGTATGTTGGGGTGCTGGTACGGTTGATTGTTGTGTTTGCTGTGACGGCTGAGAAGTCTGGTGGTAAGGCGCGCTTGAAGGTCGGTATGGTTGTTGTTGCTGCGGTTGCTGTTGCGGTTGCTGTTGTTGTGGCTGTTGTTGCGGCTGTTGTGATTGGTATGGTTGGTAGGGTTGCTGCTCTTGCTGCTGTCGCTGATGTTGCAGTGGGGGCAGCTGTGGCGGGAGGTCGTACTCCTGATACCCGTTCGTCTCACGGATGTTATTCCTGCTAGGTCGGCTGGTAACTCCCGCAGGGCGACTAAAGTTTGGCTGCTGGGCAGCACTGGGCGTGATGGGCGAGATGGGTGGATGTGGGTAGTCGGCGTACTCTCTGCTCTTGCGGTTGGAGTTCTGCGGGATGGGCGGGGGTGCGGGTGACCGTCGAGGCTGCTGTTCATGTTGGTGGTATTGCGGCTCTACTCCAAGTGGCTGCTGCTGCTGTACCCTGTTTCGCGGCGCACCGTCTGGTGCTTCGACCATGGGTGCGTGACTGTTGCTCGCGGGAGCAGTGGAGTCGGCTCCTCGTTCGCCGGAGCCGGTAACGACATGCACTTCCGTCTCCCTGCCGTCACGGCCACCTTTGCGCTTGGTGACGGTTGTGGTGGTAGTCGTGGTGGTGACGGTTGTGACAATGTCGCCGGTGTCATCATCCGTCACCTCCCCAGTCTGCTTGTTCAGGGAGAGGTTGCGATTGCCCACATCCACGCCGTTGACGCTGGATGAATGATCAAGCGGGACGGTGTTGGCCGAACGTTGCGACTGCGATGGCGAGGTGCGATTGGAGGACGACGGTTGGCTGCCACCGTACGCCGAGTCTGCGCCCGGAGTGCCATTGGGCGCAAGGGTGCCCTTGTTGCCGCTGAAGATGGTACTCAGGCGATTCTTCGTGGCCATTGTGAGAAATAGTATGAGAAGGAAGCCAAGAGATTGAATGTATATGAGACAACGATGAAACACTGGACGGTTGTACTAATGGTAGGGCTACGGGGAGGAAGAGAAGGGGTCATGGAATGGATGGAGAAGCCTTGCCGTAGAGTGTCTTCCCATAAACCTGGTCGCAAACCTGCTTCCTCCAGCATGACGTCTGTGGTTGCGACCGCGATCAGCGCCTCAGTCTCGTGCTTCGGAGGATCGGCGGAATATTGTTGCACGTGACGCACTCGACATCGCAATACATGGTCTGGAGTAGGAGTCTCTATACCTTATGGTTGATTGGCCATTTAATGGCCTTTTGACTGAAATGTTGTGTTAATGTGTGGTTGAGCGGACAGTGGGCGTAGGAAACATGAAGAGCAGACGATACGATTCCGCCCTGGCTGAGTTCGATGCCTTAGGCTTCAGCCACGGGCTCGGCATCTTCAGCCTTCCGCTTGCGCCCGCCATGAGTCTTCCACCAGCGCATACATGTACATGATGGAGACCCTTCTCTCCACCGCCATGACACGCCACACCACCGCATAACAACATCCACCCACCCCCGTCTACACCCTCATGTCACCGCCATTCGTCATCACGCCGCGGCATATCTTTGACACGCCGCCAGACAGCGCCACCACCACCGAGCCCCCCTCCACCGCCGTACCAGGAGCCTGCTTTCCGCCCTCTCCTCCACCATCTCCCAAAGCGACCACCCGCTCGTACTCACCGAGCGCCGCCGACGACGTCTTCCGCGCCCTCCGCCTCCACCACGCCGGACATCTCCCACACAGTCAGGACTGGCAGACCTTCCGCCTGAAACGCGCTGCCTTTGCCGACCTCCAGCAACGCCTTTCACAGGAGGTAGCCTTACTACATCACTACTCCGAGCGTGTCCGGTACGACTACGACCCGGAAGCGGAAAGGTTCACCCTTCGCATGCCAACATGGGTGCATGAGCTCTACATCAGCCTGGTGCGGAAGACGATTACGGATGCTGTAAACGCCCTTGCGGAGAAGCTTTGTCGGAGTGAGGATGGCGGGAAGAGGAGAGTAGGTGAGGCGCTTAGGAGAGTGTATGAGGGTGGCAGTCCGACGCTGAGGCTGTGCGTGCCAAGCTTGGAGGGGAGTAGTCAGGAAAGCGATGGAGAGGAGATGGTGACTAGGAGGAGTCCCGACGCGACATGGATCTATGAGTCGGTGGCCGCGAGCAATGGGTATCCGCCGTTGGTAAGCACGCTCTGGTGTCCATAGTATTTCGCATGCGCTGACACGATGTTGCGGTTAGGTCCTTGAAGTCTCCTACTCACAGCAACGTAAAGACCTACCACGGCTCGCCGAAAGCTACATCGTCGACTCCAGCCATGGGGTGAGGTGTGTGGTGGGTCTGGATATCCCGTACGCTTCCAGCACTATCAAGTCTGAGGCAGACTCATCGACATTCGATGATTGGACAAATACGCCGGCGACGGTATCAGTCTGGCGCGCTGCTATCGAGACAGACGCGGAAGGCGACAATGTCGGCATCTGCAGGCAGGACGTCGATTCTGCCGACCTGTGCGGTACGCAGTCAGAGTCATCAACCACGCCTACCGCTATCATTCCTCCGAGCAGCAGCCTCGAGTTGGACGTCCAGGACTTCCTTCCTCCGCACATCACAGCCTCACTCCCATCTTCCGCCATTGACAGCGAGAGAATCAGCATCCCCTTCACCACCCTCCACACCCTACTCACACAAACCATCGAGCGCACGACGCAAGGTACATCTTCTTCTTCCGTCTCCGACCAACCCACTACTGCCGCCCGACCACCCCTGCGCTTTCGCAAACGTAAGCGCTCGCCTTCTGAGGAATTGTCCGATGACCGTGAAGACTTGTACTTGCGGCAGGAGCTTTCAGACATTGCAAAGGAGGCGAGGAGGGATGAGGAGTGGGCGGCCGCGGCGAAGAGGCGCAGTCGGAGTCGTGGGAGGAGGGTGGTAGTGAGGAAGGAAGAGGAGGCGAGTGAGGGAGAGGAGAAGAAGCCATTTGCGCTGCCGCGAAGAAGAAGCGAGAGAATTGCTGAGAAGGGTGGGTGAGGCTTGGCCGTGTCGGCGCGGAGCGGCTATTACTGCCCTGTCCGCGTCCCCATCAACACCTCTTCCACCACAGCAGCAACAGCCAAGCTAGCACCACAGTACACGTACCTGCCCCAACCCGCAAAGCCAAACCCAGGTCGAAATCTTGGCCCGATCTGCACTCCATGCGCATCCATCAGCTCCGTACGAAGCGAGGACGGCCATGAAGCCACTCCTCGCTAGTCTTGCCCGCCACTGCTTGGACAGAGTGGAAAAAGACGAGACTTGGACGGTCCAGAATCGACCGACAGACAGCATGAAGCTATGCGAATCTGTGCCTATGCCCTCGTTACACCTTGCTCAATCGAGCACGACAGAAGCCAGACTACCTCCTCCTTACTCGGACGAAGGCAGCAAGACGGCTCGGAGCAGTCGGTGCAAGCAGAGTATACAACCCTGCCCTTTCAATGTCTGGAATCGCGCTGTGCTTGGCGGTCGCACACGAGAAAAGGCTTGAAGAACGGTCCGGTGCTTGGCATGATGCAGGCGGCGTACGCAGTACCTTTCACATGCCGACACGGGGAACAGGAAGGCTTGGCCTTCACTGACTGCACCATGAAGTACGCCTCAGCCTACGCCTTGGTCAACCATCAACAACGGCGGTCATGCACTTCGACAAGTTGGGATGGGGGTGGAGGCAGATGCAATTACTCCGCATTTCATGATGCTGTCAGTAGACTCGATAACGAGCAATATCACTCAGTCAACAACCCCTCTCTCCTAATGTCTGGGTTTCTGCTCGCTTGGAATGTAACGCGCTAAGACTGACTCCGAAACATTCCTGCGCCTACTCCAGTTCAGAATGTTCGGTTTGCTGCGGTTCAGCAAGGCCACCTATCTCTCGTCACAATATCTGACGGATTCGGGACCGTACGCTTGCGAAGATCGCAACATCTCTTCGCGCCGCACAAGCTACTCTTCCGCCGGCCAATCACTCCGGTTGTCGAGTGGACGAAGAGTAAATGGTTTGGACACTGCATATCAACCGGTCGTAGCAGTGGCAATATGGTCTTCCGGGCGTAGTGCGACTCCGAGGAACTCTCTCACTCCACGCAGGAGTTTGAGCAGGGAAGGGAAATTGGACTTCTTGCTCCGGCGGGTTCCTTCACCGCGGGCTCCAGTGTGTTAACCACGGCCTCTTCCACGATTGTACTCTCCTTCGCCCAATACCCACTAGCCGTGCGCTCTACCACAGTTTATTGGACAATACCTACTCGCGGCACAGAAGTGCAGCATGCCCAAGTGAAAGGGTTTTTTGGGTTGATCAAGTACATACAGATTCAGGCTATCGTACGACGTGCATTAGGCAAGTCTTTCCAGCCGTAGAGACTTGTTGCTTGGCCTTCGGTAAGCGTTCACCCTTCGTACTCTACCCTTTCGTGCAGCAGGAGTCACAGAGTGAAGTCTATCTGCGCCGGACACCTGTGGGAAGTAAACTGTTTCGTATGACATTCGGCACCGTGCTTACTGTTGCACGGGATGCTTGGATTGGTGGTCTTGTGCGGAGAAGGAAAGCAGACACGTACGTAAGGCGAAGTTCCTTCGTTACGGCCGAAGAATTGCCAAGGCCATGATTCTGGGGAAGCGAGTCGGGGCTTCAACTCCGCTCGGCCACAGCATCATCCCCCTTCCTCTCTCTGCCCTCACCGGGGGTGCCGCGTGCTTCGTCCGTGAGCATCGTGCGTACTATTTCGTCGCCTCCTCTCTGACACGAACGGAGCAATTTGTAGCAGCAATGGTAAGGAAGCGTAAATATAAAGCTCTGCATCTTATCCCTCACTGTCCACTCTCCACACCTCTCCAAGCAAAACAGCAGCCAGCGGCAATCATACCACATCCAATCAACGGTACTCACATACTCAACTTCCTTGTTCATCGTGTAAAAGCCGAGTGCGGACTCTGGCAACATTTCTCACCACATCCAACACCACTACCAGTTCACTCCAATGGCGCCAAGCAAGGAGTTCACCCCCCTCGTGCCGCCAAAGGACGTGCGACCACGCTCTGCTTTCTTCGGGCCCTCAGGTCGTAAGAACGTATGTAATATACACCACCAAGGCCAGGCACTTTGCTGACGATTATCACAGATGCTTCGCGACCAGCTCACGATCACCAGCTGGCTCGCCCTTGGCGCCCTAATCCAAGGCCTCGCCTTCCTCGTCCTCGGCCGCCTTGCCCTTCTTCCCGCCGCGGCACTTGTCTTCTACCGCGTCTTCGTAATATACGCCCAGTCCGTCGGCTGGCTCCACAACACCTTCATGGATGGGGTTATCATGTCCAAGTTCTCGAGCCAGCTGCCGGACGAGAACGGGAAGTACGGCTCCGTGCCCGCCAAGGACGATGTTGTCGTCTTCCTCATCGGGACCAGATTCAACCACCCCCTCGGCCTACTTGCCCCGGGTGTGCGAGAGTTTGGCGGCTTCATGAGTAGCATGATCGATCAACTCGACAAGGAAGGCTTTGAAGACTACCTGGGCTCGACGAGCTGGCTCAACGCGGGTACGCGCGATACGAGCAACGAGTTGCTCATCGTGCAGTACTGGCGCTCAACTGAAGGGCTGCACAAGTACGCCAACGGCCCACTTCACCGGGAAAGCTGGGACTGGTTCAACCGCAACACAAAGGCCTACCCGCATCTTGCCATCTACCACGAAACCTTCAAGGCGCCCGCCGGCAACCACGAGACCATCTACTTGAACTCCCATGCCTCGCATCTGGCTAGCACAACTACCAAGGTGTGGGAAAATGGGGAGGAGAAGTGGGCAAGCCCCATGGTGGATGCATCACGAGGGCTTTTGCGCACCCACCTTGGCCGGATGACTCGCGGCACGGGTGAGGAGCATGCCGAAAGGGGAGTGAAGACGATCTATGAGTAATGTTGTCTGAGAAAGGTTGGCTTGGGGCTCGGTCGGCATGGCATGGCTTGGCTTTGAGAAGCATCGGCTACGGGGAAGGTGTGGTAAGATTCAACTGTGAGCGAGCTTTTAGTTGATGCATAGCGTTTGCCCGAACAGTAGTGGGATACAGGTATGATTTTATGGTCATTGCATTCTACTGTTCTACTAGCTCACCTCACTCCGCCTCGCCTATCAGCGAAACGCATGCATCAAGCACTAATAGCGGACTCTTGTATGACGAGTGCAACACATGCCTCATTTTTGCTGGCACCACAAGAACCAGCGCCTCCGTATCAGGCAGACGCTCCCTGGCGCTCCCAATGCGCTTGAGTCCGTCCACCGCAGCCTCAGCCCGACTTCTTCTTTTCCCTCCATCCACCATCCACCTTCCCAAGCCGCTCTTTCACCGTCCGCTTTTCCAACAGCTCCTTACCCTTGCTCAAGATCTCACCATGCAAGCTCGGCAACGCCTGCGCAGCCTTCTCCAGGGCGTCCCGGTCCTCATCGCTCACGCGGTCATTGGCGATGTACCAGCCCAGCTGGTGCACCATCGTGCGCCACACCTTGCTCGTCTCCCTCCTGGATTCGAAGACACGGTGAACGGCGATCATCTCTTCCGGCGTCACCAGGTTGTGGGAGACGTGGCCGGTGATGTGGCCTTCGATGTGCGGTTGCACTGGCCGGATTCGAAGCAACTCGACCGCTTGGTAGATGGCGACCACCCGGACTAGAGGGAGGTCATGCACCTTCATGTGCAGGCCCATCTTGTTCTTCTTGTTCTTGACCCGGATAAGAACGAACTTGAGAGCTGCCGCCGCTGACCCAGTCAAGGTGACTTGCTTGACTAGCTTCGTCGGATCGCGCTGGCCGAGAGCGTCGCTAATGGTGACGCTGTGAGCTCGGATGCGATCTTCGTCCACGATCTCGAGCAGACCGTGGTGAACGTGAGCTTGGAGGTAGATCTGGACGACGGACATCGTGCCAAAGCTTTGCTGGGTATAGGTGAATTTTACGGTTTCGAATGGTATGTTAGCTCGGACTACTACGGCTTCGTTGAGTGGCTGTCTCTGCTGATGTGCTAGCTAGGACTTCGTTCGCTTGACGATGATGGTCTGCTTGGTCGGGTCTTGGATGGTTCGCGTTGCTTTCAGGATGGATGGAGGCAGAACAGTAACGTGTTGTTGCTGCTTTTCGCCACAACAAAGCCGACACTTTCCGTTCACCTGCAGCGCGTAGCAAGGCCAACAATGGAGTCGTGAATGTGATATCGCTGCGCTAACGAAGAGCCGGCTGACCCGATTAATGAGGCAACAATACGATCACACAGATCACTCTGCAACTGCAAACTAGCCCTGCTATGTCACAGCTTGCTCAGCACTAGCTATCCCTCAAAAACACCAGCGATCGATCTCTGCGAAGACAAGCCAGTTTAGAGAAACGACAACTCAATTCAGTACCTTACCACGAGCCAACAACCGAACTCAAATCCAGCCTAACCATCAGACGCAAGAGGATGGCTTTCTCAGGCATCACCATCTACCTCGTGGAAGCCGAAGGCAACTACAAGAAGCTCGGCAGCAACCTCGACCGCGTCAAGTTGGTCACCCTCTCCGACCTCGCGGCAGAGCAGCTCGAAGGCAAGGCATCAAAGGATCCACGCAACCTCAAGAACTCAGTTACCTTGTTCAAAGGCAACGTTGACATCGATGCCCGCCGTCCGAGTCACCAGCTGGATGGCCTCCCTCGACCTCAAGAACCCAAAACATCTTAGTCTGAAGGGTCTGGGTATCGAAGAGTTCAACGACGTCGTCTTCACCTACGCCACCGCGTACGCCTTCAAGCTCAAGCGAGAGTACCGAGGCGACGACCTCCGCAACGCCATCTATGACTACATGCACCAAGGATCGCTCACCTGGCAAGAGTTTTCTATGATCGAGGAGTTGCTCGGCTGGGATGGCGGGCTTGTCAAGACGGCCAGGCATGAGGTCATCTTCCGCTGGTGCAAGGGCGGCACCTACATTCCGCCGGATATGGAGAAGATCCTCGAGTATGCTGAGAAAGCGGGCTTCAAAGACGAACTGATGCGCATCAAGGTAGAGATGCAGAAGGGTATGCGTGCAAGAGATGAGCGGGATGCGAGGAAAGCGAAGGTGCTGCGGGAGGTTGAAGCTCGCGCTGCCGCCGATGCGTAGAAGGCTTGAGACACTGGGTACAAAGGGACAGACGTGCACAGGCTGGGCCATGGATGCCTGCCTATAACAGCAGGTTGGGTAGTGGCGTTTGTAGCCATACTGCAGACGAGCTGAATCACAGCTATACTGGGTGCATCTCATTTGCCTGAACTGCTTTCCCAATTCTGAAGAAGCGGTCACAAGCTGCCATTCTCCGAAGGAATTCTATAGGCACTAGTCAAAGAATCATTGTGCGTGCTTTGTTCGTGCTGCCCTAGGTCGAATCGGCGCCGATTGAGCAGCCAAAGTTCCCTTCACAAGCCTAATGTGTGCTTACCATTGTTTTGATTGGTCAAAATCACCAATTAGCGAGACCGCAGCGTAGCCGAAGGAGAATGATGTTGCACTTGCGCACCGTGAAAATGACGATTATGACTCTGCTGATTCTGACAATAGGCATTTACGAAGGCGGTCGTGAACCGGATCCTTTGTTGCTGTGGCCATGAGTGTTGCCTTGTGTTCGTCGATGCGGAAGACACGGGCATGCATCACTACTCACTACCCGGCCGTCCAAGCCTCACGAACAGCTCGAGCGACACGGATAAGCGCGATGAAGATAAGGGTCAAGTATGTATAGCAGGTCGGCTGCGTTCATGCCGACTATGCGCAGACGGATCGCAATGCACGCCGAGGAGGTCATAACGAAAACAGCGATGTCGAAGAGACTCAATCCTGCCGGAGTCTTGATCGCTGATACTCACAACGATCTCCTCGAGGCCTCTTCACCGGAGTAAGCAAGAGTAATCAACTCGTGCGCCCTCACGCTGTTTGGTGAAGCTTGTTCTGCTGCTGCACACCAGAGTCACGGTGACAAAGCTGTTCTTCTGAAACAGGCCTTATGGGAGCGAGTGAGAAGCAAGGGGGAATCATTGCGTTGGCGAGAACAGAAGCAGATTGAACATCTCGCTTGCTTGACCGTGAGAAAGCTTATGTAAATGGTCGGATTGGGGCGATGATCGCTGCCGCCATGAATGATGAAAGTTCAAGTATGCAAATAGCGAGGGGAGGTCAAGAACGTAGAGTGCTTGAGCCAAAGCCAGTTAACGTAACCGGCTCGGACAGCGGAATTTGGAGTGCTTGCGGTTCGTACTTAACTCTCGTTCAATGATGTTCGGAGACACACTGATTGACCATGGCAGGCGATCGACCATAGCCGGCGCTGAAGAAAAAGTTATGGTTGTAATAGTACAACCATAACATACCACCCCAGATTGTATGTCCTGTACGAATTCATTTCAGGACAACATCCTGAGCGTTTCTAGTGTTCTCGCTCACGCTTGCTACTCAGGTAACGTCCTTGCTCACGATTGGATTGCGCCAGGTGCGACTGGAGCTGTGGGGCCTAAGTGTTGTAGACATACATCAGCACTGCGGCAAAGGTAGTCAGAAAGCCCATTATGAACTTACCTCCATACAAGCTGTATCCGGGACACAGCGCGAGCGGTGAGTTGTTCACACTCACGATCGGCTTGCACTTGAGCGCAGAGGTTGCACTGTTCAGCGCGCTCAGCAATGGCGACAGAAGAGTAGATGCCAAGCCGGTTAAGCCTGGCAACTCCAGCTGGGCAAATTCCAAGGCGAAACAGAGAGGGTTCGCAGCGGCATCCTGGGCACTATACGCGCCGTTGCTCAGTGTGCCAGCGTCGATGTTCTGGTAGCTATTGACCTATAACACGAACGGTATGAACATTAGAGATGTACCAACAGTAAGAAGTCTTCGAGGTTCAGGTACGCACCGTACCCTCGTTGCAGCCGACGAGGGAGAGCTGCGGGTTTGACTCGGTGAAGTAGAGAATGTCAGTCTCGAAGTAAGGTATGGTGTATGCATCGAGTTCGCTACGCCTGTACCAGTTTGCGGGAATCTGTTCGTAACCAGGTGTCCAGACGAGGTTATTTTCTGGCCCGGAGATCGACATGAAAGACTTTAGCACGTCTTTGTTGAGAACACCTTCCGGATACTCGGCAGAATGGTTGGCCATGAAGCGGTAGATGAAGGTGAATGCGGCTTGTGATACCGCCATGCCTATTGTACATATGATTAGTGGTCGCCACGACCGGACACATTACGGCGAGTGAACAAACCTTCGAACGGCCCGTACACGAACAACGGATTCTTCTCAATGCTTTCGGTGAAGCGATCGTTCCTGAATGTGCGCAGCACATCGAGATTGTAGCTAGCCAGGAAGTCAGCACTAGGATGTCGTGGGCGATTTGTATTGGAAGGTTTACTCACTTCGCAGTCGACGCATCTGGTTGCATGCCGTAAAGCTGGATGACGGTTAGCAAGCATCCTCTCTCAGCGTCGCGAGGAGAACGAACTTTGTTGAACTGCGACATAACGAGCTTTTGATTTGTGCCATATTGGAAAAGGTCCGACTTGAGCGGAGAAGAGTCGGTCTCGTAGTTGCCCTTCGGTGACTATTAGCCTGCAGCAAGGATGTTTATGAGCCTCGTCAGGCTTACGTGGCTCCCCCCGATGCCGACGTGTTCGCCTCCCTTGATGGACCACGATAGACCGTTCCCATCAAGGACGGCGCCATATGTGCTAAGAAAGGTCGCCAGATCCACACCCATGCCTACATTGTTCGTTAGCCTTCACCCAGCATATCATTTGAGCAAGCGTATAAGCAGTATCTTACCGAAAACTTTCGTCGTAGCGTCGACGAACTGCGCGATGGTCGCTACGCCATTGTGCGGTAGGTAATTGTGATTGGCGAGTGCATTCAGTCCAGGGCATTGGCCACGAGCGTCGGAGGCCGAAGGCGGCGTGAAAGCATGCTTGCCGGAAACGTCAATGAGTTGGGCAGAAGCATCAAACGGCGGAGGTACGAGTGGCAACAAGCCAACTCCCGAGCCTTGGGGTGAAGAGCTTTGTCGCTTCATGCGTTGCTTGTAAGCCACGTCGGTGGCAATGGGTTGGGCCATGTGGTCCATTGCGAAATGTGGAAAGGCAGCGGCATGGCCGGCGATCAGTGCGAGGCTGAGTGCAGTAGCTGATGCAGTTTTCATAGTTGCGGTTGTTCAGCGGAACGAGAAAGCGTGCTGAAAAAGAATCTTTCGAAAGTGCCACGGCAGTGAACGCAGGCGAGCAGCGCAGAATATGTACGCATAACTCATGCTCCTTCTTCGCCTTAAGCTTTTACAACAACATGAATAAAACCGAGGCTCCGAGCTGACAGGAGTGATCGACATGTCGTACTAGAAGGATGGCTCGATATACACTGCTACGTTGTAGGCTAAACAAGGACAAGGTACCCTGCTCGCTTTCTCCAATGATATCCACAAGGCGGCGGAAGGCTTGCGTGCCGGCAGGCGCCACATGACGGACGACGCTGATTTATATTAGGCCCCCTACGCAACAGGCCTTTCAAAAAGCGATTGTGAACATTCCATGGTCCAGCATTTCTGACGTGCGGCGAAGGCAGACCGGCTGCTGCGAGTCCTGAGTGCCCACTATTGAAGTTCAGTTTTTGCGGTCAAGTAGACGGCGTGACACCTGCGTTGCTGATCATTGCCGGCATAGATGTCGTCCGAAGTGTAGTGAGGTGTCACTTTGACCCCGGATGCAGATCGCGGACCCCTGCTTTCTGTCCTGATAAGGGTGCATCTCCGCGTGCGGGGAAGAGTCGTGTCGATCTAATTGTCCGAAATAAGCTTGACTCCGCAGTGATCGACTCCCAAGACGAGCTTAAATCAAAGGTTTTGTTGATCAGCTTGGCAACCCCCAGTCGTTTCATAGACGAAGTGGTAAACGCCGAGGTTGCCCTGCTCACTGATTGAAGGTACGTACAGTACTTATAGCAGTTGGAGTAGAACAACTCGATGCCTCGGTCAATGTCTGCCTTGTTGTGCAGACAACAAAGTTGATGACGCCTGAACAGCTAGTTGAAAGGGTATACGGCGACATAACCCCGTGCCTGTTTCACTGGCTCCGATGGCTCTTTGACATCTACAACAGCTCCATCGTTCCGAAGCTCCAACGCTGGGTTCCCAGCGCTGGGATGTTTTGTCTGCGTCGTCATCTCGAACATGCCTCCAGCTGGCTGAGATGGAAGTGGTTGGTGCTGCTTATGCATCGCAGTGCAGTGACGGACCCAGATGTGGACCCTCGAGGATGACCGTAGCAGGCTATCTGATTCTGTTGTGAGCTATTACCAAAAGTTTCAGTCTCTCACTTCGGCAACGTAATGTTCGCGAGCTAGCTTGATGGTCGTCCCACTCGTCATAAAGGTGGTCTGCGACAGCTTATCATCATGACTGCAACCCTAGCCACCGCAGGTGTCAGCCTCCAATTTGGCTGATGCCGTACATGTTCCTCGCTGGTCAGTACTTGATCTCAATGGAGGAGAGTTCCAAGCCGCTGTAACGCTACCTTGCTAGCGCCACCAAAGCGCCGCACAATTCCAGCTGTTTATCCAGGCGCAGAGCCTGTCGGTCTGTATGCTAGCGAACGAGGCGTTATACAGCAGTCCACGGGTAAGCTAATAGAGCCATGAGGGGTCAACGAGCATGCCGAGTGCGTGCTCATCTTTAGTTTCTTTCTTAACGGCCAGCACCGGCGGAGACCATCGAGTGTACAGCGCGGTACTTCGTGGTGACGCTGTTTCGCAAATCCTTGGGATTGCATGCAAGCTTCTCGAGCTGCGAGTCGGCACCTTGCCGTCATGCTCAAAGTATCGTTACAACGTCGTTCCAACGCAGCACACTGTGCCTACCGTATGTGCATCTCGAATATAAACGAACATGTTGATTAGCAAAGATTTGGGCGGCTATCGTGCGTCGGCAGCGGTACAGCATCGGCCGCATCCGCTGGCATCGTGGGCAGCTACAGCGTGCGTGCCCTTCAGTGATGGATTTGCCCTTCTACTAGTTGCATACGTGGCGACGTGTTCTGTCAAAGTAGTGAGGTAAGTGGATGCCCGCTCGTGATCATCGTCTCTCTGCGAAGGGTTTCCTACAAGGACCAAGAACTGCATACGGAGGGGCATATGCGTGGAGCAACATCCAACAGAGTCTGTCTTCAGCTCTGCTTAGTGGCGCCATCTTTCGTCTAGGTAGCTTTTGCAGCAGCCGTTGCACTGTTCGTGTTTGACCTCGGTTTCGGCCAGTGCAGCCATGATAGACATTTTGCTAGCTCTCAGATGGGCTCTCAGTTCACGCTCTGTCTTGCGGTAACAGTGGGACGGTCAGGGTAGGATCAGAATGGGAAAAGCTTAGCGTTGTAGCAGCCTGCATCCGGAAAAGAGCACACCGGTAGGCTCGGCAATCCAGCCTTCGACTCCATGCTTGTTTCGTTGAGCAAAGACTGCTTGTGACACCAGCGGAGAGAGGAAGATATCGGAAAGAGCCTCTGGACAAGTCTCAATATGGCCTTTTCGAGTGAGAAACGATAGCTAGAGATAAGCTCGAGCATCCATAGCACCCGTCTGATTTCTGTTGTGCCACTGTGGGCTGAGCTGCAAATCTGATGTGCGCGTGTCATATCAAATGACCATCACTCAGCGACCATCGATCGTTGACAACCCAAGGAGGATGATGCAGATGTTGAGTGTTTGCGAAGTTGGTCACGGCTCGGATGATGTTCGGAACATTGCCGGAGACGGCTCGGCGTGGCTTGTTGCAACACTCACTGCGGAACTAATCCATCGAAATCCAACGGTATCTGACCCAATGCCCGCTCTCTGACGCGAGACTTGCAAATTGCCACCAGACCTGTGCCCTCGGCGCCCCTTTGTCCACTTGCGTGCTCGAATGCGGTTCCTCCGCCATTGTTCGCCGCTGCCCTCATCATGCATTCTCCGCTTCACGGATCTTTCTCCACATGCGAGAGCTATGCCACCTTGCCTCTCTGACAACGTCTCTACATCAGTATACACTCATTCGCCGTTGTGATGTAGTTGCCGAGCGCAAGTGTACGATGGTCACCAACGTGGATTATGTAGACCGCACCTTGCGGCGTATACAGCGGTTCCTGGTATGTATTTCCCTTGCCACCCGTACGGGCCGAAGGCATATATCAGTGCACGACGCTTGTGCTGATGTGAATGATCTCCGAAGACCGGCAGCAGCAAAAATGGTCCGCGAACTGCAGGTCGCTGCATCGATATAAACGTCCACATAGGCAAACCCTTGCCGCCTGCATCACTCTTGGGCAGGTCAATGTAGCAGGACCTCAGACTGTTGCTCGAGTCTTGCGAGGCGCGATATCTGCGGGCCGTATAGCCGGTCTCCAGTGGCAGTATCGCCAGTGTTCAACGTGCCCATTCTTCAAGTGTCTGAATAGCGACTTTCGAACCTGCCGTATTCGAACTTCGGCACCAACGAGAGGGTACTGCAGCTGCTTTGACGCCAGGTGCAGAGGCTGCACTGGTACACCTACATCGACAAGCTATCGCTTGATGAGAGCCGGAGAAGGCAGCGACTACCGCGCTCGTTGTTGTGGTAGAGCGGCCATATTCATTTCGCTAACATGTCACACTTCGGTGGCAACCTTCGGTCAAAGCGATGGCCTTTCTGCCTATCATATGGGCGCTGTTGTGACGCTTTACTCGCCTCCCGGCTGATGAGGGGCATTCTACAGCCCAGTAATTCTGGGTGGACCATGGCGTCAAGGCGTGGTTCTCTCGCTGATAGGTGACTCACACATCCACGCTGTACTCCTTGCCCGTGTCTGCATCCGTGAAAGGAACTAGGCGCAATGCTTCAATCAGCACACTTAACACCTCTGGTGCAATCAACGCCCCTTCTCTCGTCACGTAAGTTGCTCTCATATCCTAACTTCTCGCACTCGAAGACTATACGCCTGCAGCAAAGCCTCTCTTCCACTACGAAGCTCTTGCGTTCAGGGAGGCGCAGCCGAAGCAGCACGAACAGCACCCACCGTATCGTGTAACTCTGCAACGCGAATTCGGTGCCGAATAAGTCACGTAAGCCGCTCCAGCCAATGACGACGATCATGGATTGGCATGAATTGCAAATTGAAGGCTTTTCTGACCATGACTCGCAACCCACCCTTACGTCTAAAGGCAAGCACTCGACGTACGAGAGAGTTACCATTCAGGATCCTGAGGATGGTGTGCCGAAGCGACTCATAAGCGGTCGTGTTGCTGGCAGAAAGAAAGCGTCAGATGTGAATGTCCGTATTCCATTAACCCTGGCATGAGCGGCGCAGAGAGGAAGTACGCATGACCAGAGCCGTGCCACATCAGACATCATCATCGGAGAGCGATTTGATAAAGCGACATTGACTGCGCTGCAGTCCATCACCTGCTAGCACGAGGAAAGCGGCAAGAATCAAGCCGCTGCTCTTTGCGGGAGGTTCGAAGAGCGAATCGCCGTCCGGAGGCATGTCTTTGTTGATGATTGTAACTGCACTGTGGGCCTCCGGCTGCTCGGACGAAGAGGCAGATAGCGATTCAGCAGAGGCGTACAGACGAGCGCGGAACCCACAGTCTATCTAAGTTCGAACTGCGAATTTGAACTACCACGACAGCGATCTGTTTTCGAGATTGGTCCGCTTGCTAGACCATCCGGCCGACTCCGAAGCAGGCCTCTCCAATTGGTTCGACATGGTGCCGTATCTAGGAGAAGTCTTCAACGGCGATAAGGCGCCAGTCCATAGTGTTGATGCCGCCTCACCCGAAGCTTGCATAACCATCGAAACGATTGACGCCTTGCGGTATTTCTATGTGACTAACCGTTGCCTGTTACCTAGCGCGTCCCACCGCAGCATGTGCTCGAGGCTTTTCGCCGTCCCGCGAAGCACTGCGAACCGCGTCATCCGGCAATGAGAGATCAGGTACGGTCAGGACTTTTCCTAGACCGTCGAAAACAATACCGAGCCAGACTCACCTCACCCTCAACGGGCCGAGGCAGATTGGCCTGTCGAAGAACTCCAGGACTTCGGCTTCACAGGCTTTGAGTTGCTACAATTGAAGTAGAAGCTGTTCTTGAAGCTGTTCCCGACGCCGAGATGGAGGTCAACGAACTGCAAGAGCTGGAATAGCAGAATAGAATGGCGAGTTGGGCGCATAGTAGACTTGCAGTAAACGGCTAAGTCGCAAGAGAGGTCAAGGTTGTTGTTACACAGAGATTCGTAGGAGTCTGAGCTCCCGATGATTGGTAGTTCGGACATGGAGGCGATTGACATAGCTTAATCTTGACAAAGAACTGCAGCGTCGATCACTCAATCTACAGAGAAGCCTTGATGGAGTTCGGAGGGCAACGCTGTAGCGTTCACGCTGTACGCCAACGATAAATAGCGGGACAGAAATCGGAGCCTTACTAGTCCGTCAGAGCTTGACAGCCACGTGCACACATATGATCCAGCTGCCTGCTGCGGAAGCACTAGTATGACTCGCGCAACTTCCCTGTCTTGGAGCAAGCTGTTGCTTCTTGCTTCGCGCTTTGGATCTCTTCCCGCAGACACCTCGAAGGTGTCACTCTTGTGTACCTAGAGGTATGGCCAGTAGCCCAAGCTTACCCTGTGACTCCTCAAGACCAATAGAGTCGAGCAGGTAACCGCCGGGGATCATGGAGGCGGAATGATTGGCCAAGAGAAACGTGGACGTCTAAAGTAGCCCGACCTGTGGAGCCTATGGGGTTGGGTGCGAGTGACTTCCTACATACAATAGGCTAACCACGTAGCCAGGGATAGTCTTGTATTACATGATGCTCTTCAAGTCATGATAAGTATGCGCTTGCCTAATGCTCCGTGGACAGAACGAGTACTCAACGTCCGCAAAAGACTCTCTCTACACGCATCTGCCTCGAGTTGCAACCCTTCGGCTTGAGGGTTGGCTAATTTGCGGCAACAAACCACACAGGAGGCCCGTCAGTCCTCAGACTCTCGCTGTCAAGGGTCGACGGAACTACGGCGGCCAAGGGAGGAGAGCGTATTTGGAGCTGGAGGTTCCAATTAGATGATTACCGTGCGACATTCGGCGCTCAAGAATCACCTTCAAACGCAGTCTGCGAGTGTTTGCAGACGCTGGGCTACAAGAGGTACTCCATCCTGTCCCTCGTTAGCAGTGCTGAGCTGCTTGACGAGCACTAGTTGTGCCTTCTGGGTGCTATCGAGTAGGCTCGTCAAAGGGCGAAATGAAGACAGCGTGACACATACCTCTATCCCTTGAAAAAAGCGAATCGAAGATTCAGAGCACCTACAGACAGCAGCCGCATTTTTCATGTTCATGCTTCCTGCCCTGTGGGACGCGTTAGTTGTGGTACGTGGAGTGGGTTACGTGACGCCCAACGGAAATGAAGATTCAATAGCAAGTCCTGGACGCAATCCCCCAATCGTATTGTCAACGACCATTATGCTGCATGTGCTCAGCCCCGAACTCACAAGGCTCGATCAAGCATAGTCATTTCTACTGGTCACAAAGCCGTTCGATTCATTCACCCACATCCGCACGCTACAACGTCATCGAGTGACAAGAGACAAACCAGTACCCACTGTTCAGCCTCAAAACAGGAACAGGCAGGCCGATCACGTCACAACGGCTGCATCGCCCTTGCGCACGAAACATGCTCCTTCAAGTAACGAGACTAGCTCAATATATGCGCTACTGGCCGCTCTCGCCAGCTCGGGAGTCTCTGGGCCGGCGCCCGTGACGTGGCTGCTGAGTTAAGAGGCACCCGAGGTGACGGAGGAGACAAAGGAGGTGATGACGGAGCAGATGAGCATGAATGATCGCAAGGGGATTAGAGGGCGAGGCCGCCGGCTCATTGACGAAAGGCTTTCATTGTCGCGACGAGCGGCGTGATGCTGAGTAGCGGACATGACCGTAGCCACTCATGAGCGGCATCTATGTTAGGGAAGCGCGGTTGGGCAGAGTGATACTTCTGCTATACTGCCAAATCTAGACAGCGTAGAGCTGCGCATAGCTAGGAGACAAAGACCGCAGACGGAAAAGTGGCGCAGAGACGGGTGGCATGTCACTGACAAGGCAGTTACCAGCAATGGCTACGAGCCTTGTACCATCCATTCTCTCAGTCCCATCCATTCTCTCAGTCCCATCCATTCTCTCAGTCCCATCCATTCTCTCAGTCCCATCCATTCTCTCAGTCCCATCCATTCTCTCAGTCCCATCACACTCCGCAAGCTATCTGTCGCGCTACTGGCAGGTCCTTGACGCACCATCAGCTGCGTAGGGAGAATCGGGTATGTTATCTTTTCCATTTGACATGCTGTAATTCTTCATGCACAAGGTCTTCCCAGACTCGTCATGGAAGCTGCTCTCGGTATGGTACGTGAGAACAGAGATTGCCAAATTTGGTAGATGCAATGCATGCAACGCACATGCTTCATAACAACAAGATGAAGGCTGGAAAGCGTAAATTTTACCGTAGACCCAATGGTGGGTTTGGCGTCTTAGGCACGGAACTTTCGCAGCGATTAGACCTAAGAAGGGCAGCATGTAGGCTCTTGAGGCGGAACAGGACACACTGTGGAGCTACAGCGCCCATACCAGGCGAAGTGCTAGATGCAAGGAAGCTGGCGATAACTCAAGCTTGATATAGGTTGTACCAGTATCAATCATTCTGCAGCCATGAGTTAATCCCATCCCAATGATGCGATGCACGGCCCTGCCGCAGCATATATACGCCTTCATGCCAGTCTGCTGGATTGATGTGTTCTCTTGCGCCATCAGCCGTCGAGAACGGTTCTATCTCGCCGAAGATGTCGGTTTCCTCGCGTCGAACATTTACACCTCATTTGCCCAACGGCAGCGCCATCATGCACGGCACACCAGCAGATACTATGGAGGTTGTAGCCAATGGGTCTGGCGCGACAACAACTACCTTGTATCCAAAGATATCGGGCAAGCTTATCGATCTCAACACCAGCCTTCTCGGATATGTCGACCACACCATCTTCGCCAGGCCAGTTCCATTCACCGGCACCATTAAGCTCCACGGCACGCACGCTGACATGATCGTGCGGGCTGACAACACAATCGGATATGAGAGCCGCGACCGCACAGATCTGGACCATGGAGAGCGACAACTGCGGCTTCACATCGTTCTGTACAACAAGGGAGAGGGCCACTTTGACGCTCGCGGAGGCCACCAAGCATCGCTAGCGAGCTCTGCATCCCAGCGCGATCAATTCCGAAGGCTCGCTGCTTATGGCAGGTAAGTGGATAGGTCAGGGTATACAGAAAGGCGTCGCCATCGCCAAGCTTCCGCGCTGTTTCGTACCATGCGGCATCCGCCTTGCCGAAGCCTGGGAGCCGATCGAACTCTATGCCGGTATCGAAGACTCAGAAGCAGGAATGCTAAACATCAATCGCGGCGGGTTCTATCACCTCGAGTACAGCATTGCGTACGAGGGTGTTTCATTCCTGGCGAAGGCCCGCGAGCTCAGACTTGCCGTTGCCGCATCGTGTGCCTTCGGCAGAGCCATGGGCATAGAAGGCGAGGGTGAGGGTATTGTGTGGACGCCTGCTGCAAACTCGAACCTACCGAATGTGTCAAAATTGTGGTTCAAGACGCAAGCCGAGCACTTCAATCACAACATCAAGCTGAAGGTCGCCGCGGAGAAAGCGATGGAGAGGGTGGACTAGCGGGAGCGGAACCGGTTGTTCGCGGAGTCGACATGTATTGAAGGACGGCTGGAGCAGGCATGGCAGTATCTGGCGGAGATGGGGACGTCGCAGACGATGCAGTCCATAGGCATCTTCTTCAGATGGTTGACGGATGATCTTGCGCTGGAGGAGAGGAGGGAGATTGAGCTCATGAAGCTAGACGGCGCATGAAAGGGTGAGGTCGTCAAGCTTGCGAAGCCTTGGTTCGAGCGGCAGATGAAGGAAGCGGGCTGAGCGACGTCCAGGTATTGCTGAGCTAGTAGTAATCTGCAGGCGCTTGCATACTGCCGCATCTCAGACCGTCAAGCGCAAGCACCCGACTGTCGAAACTTGGTATCAAGGTGAGCCAGCAGTTGAGCATATCACTGGCTGGGACAACCATTCAAAGGTTGGCGTAAGCATGTTGAGATGGTTCTGTGCCGTCGTTGAGCTTGCTATCCTTGGGTGTTGCAATGAACGACCGCAGCACGGCTGCATTGCTTGCTCGCTAAAGGGTCAAGAGACATGCCGTTGGTCAATGTCGAGTGCCGGCAGTCGTAAGCTTCTCCGCAAGCAGCGAACGCTCTCGACTAATGCTCCTCAGATTCTGTGGAGGCAGAGAGATGCCTCCTGCTGGAAAAGGATCGCTGCGGTCAGCGCTGGCTCACGTGCTTTCGTCCCAACCGCCAAGGCTGCGGCGTTGCAGCAGTCAGCCTTGCCCACGAATAGCGCAGTAGGATCGGTCTCGTAAACACAGCGTCGTTGGCGTAACAATGGCGGCCGGAGCTGTGCATACGCGGCAAGGGTCTGCTGCACCCCGCAAGACCGCATCTGCAGGCTGTGGTCACCATCGTAGCCTGCAGGAAGAGTATGCTGACTGCGACTGCCGAGCCCAACCTCAAGTTTGGATGCTTGCGTAGCCCTACAGGACTGGCGATGTGGTGTTGACTGCCGAAACCATGAGATCATGCAAGGGACAGCCGTCGTTGATGGTGGAGACTCTTGATTGATGTGGAGCGACAAAGGTTTTTGCTGCGATGAATGTTCGCATGCGTCATGCGACAGCCGTTGCTGATCTCGGAGACTTGCTCAGATGGTGGAGACGACACGCGAGTGCTGGTACGCAATGTGCGCCGGCAGTCTGCGACATGCTGCGAATAAGCATGGCCAAGCTGGGGGCCGGCTCCCTCGGCTGCTATAATTAGGCCCAGCGAGGCTACGGCTCCCCTCGCGCCGCCAACACCTTCTCCACCGCCTCGTTGCCCTGTGACGGGACGCTGGGTCGGAGAATACGCGTGTCGCGCTAGCATTCCTGATGTAAGCGGTTGCATGGCGCAGCGAAGTCTTTCATCACTATAACAACACCACCATAGCTGCTCTGCCATTACCTTTGCTTTCCTTCACCACTACCAGCAGCCATCTCCACCATTTCTAACAAGCCTACATAAACACGCACACACCCATCACCCAAGCGCAAACACCAGCACCGCAAGATGAAGTCCACTTTCTTCGCCGTCTCCACCCTCTGCAGCCTTGCAGCCGCTGTCCCCCAATACGGTCCGCCAGCCGGCGTGTCCTCCAACTGGGCGGGATGGGCAAGCGACAACGGCTGGCCGACGGCGACCTCCGCCTGGTCTAGCCTCGCAAGCGAGTTCAGCAGCTACACCCACGCCGCCAGCATCTCCTCATGGCCAACGGCGTCGTCGCAATGGGCAAGCATAACCAGCTCTCACCCGCTTCCTAGCGGTCTGAGCAGCTTGGCGAGCTCGTGGGCGAGCATGACGACCGGCGCGCCGAACTTTCCATGGCAAAACACAAACTCCAGCGGCTGGTCTCCGGCGCGTGGTGGTCCGTTCGGTCCTGGCGGCTATGGTCCGTGGGCGAGCACTGGGTCGTGGACTACTGGTCCATGGACTTCTTGGTGGGGTAGCGAGTGCCCACCCTCGACATGGAGCGGATGGACGTCAGGCCCGTGGAGCACGAACGCTCCTTGGACATCTTGGACTGCTTGCTCGGCATCCACCACCGCCACTTCAGTTGTCTCCAACACAATTACCTCCAACGGCCAGACTACCGGTATGTATCACGACTCGTTCACTGTGTGACATAGGTTGCTGACGCCCCACGCTTCTAGTCACCGTAACCACAGCATACGGCGTTCAGCTTGCGCAGGCTACTAACGCCGCATCTTCCGGCTCCACTACCACTTCAGGTTCCGGCGCTATGCCAACTGACTTCAAGCTCGTGGGCGCTGCAGCTGGTATGGTCGGTGTTGTCGCTGGCGCACTCCTCATGTAACGCAGTCAATATTGCCAATGAAGGACGGAGAATCATTGCTTTGGAGTACGTGTTGGGATACCCAGGCTTAGGCTTTCAGGCTTCGATGTTTGGAAGGGTGCATTCACTTCCTGACTCCCACAGCTGGCGGTCATGGACTTGACGACGAGATGATTGTATAGACTGTAATTGTGACGATGGTTTCGATGAGTGCCTCTGTCCTGTGGCTTTGTCTCGTACTGCAAGTCTTAATACCAGCCCATTACGTGGAAACTAGTTCTTCGGTACTAACGCCGTTTCCATTATGACTGTGCCCGTTTTCGGTTGCGAGCATTGCGGGAAAGCGAGCAATTTGTCACGTGCGGACCATGGGTGAATATCATGCCTAAGGCTGCCGCTTGCAGATTCCAGATGGAACTCGTCTGACCTCACCGTTCGACTTTGGCGCTTTGTCGAGGCTGCTACAGGTGCAGAGGGGGTTGGTGATGGTGCGAAGGAAGAACGGTGTTGATTTTCGGGAGGGATCGAAGGCCTGGCTGCACTCACGTACTCCGACAGGCGTCAATGCCGCTGGATCATAGAATCAGACCCGCCGGTGAAGAGTGCTTTGATGGATGGCGATGGTACTTCGAAGGCTCTCGCTGAGCAAAGGCCCGAATGACACTCGAGACTGGGCTGTGGTAGGAAGGGAAGCTGAGTCCTGCAGGCGGTGCAATATTCGCTTGTGAGGTCTACAATGACCGTGCCTTGTCAAATCCAAGCTCGACTCCTACGGACTGCTCGGTGCTTGTTCCGCAGAAGATGCTGGCCGTTTTGCGAAGCCCCTTATGCTCGCCCGGCGTAGAAGCACGTGAGGACGTGACACTTTCCGCAGGCGTCTTCGTGGGCTGGATGTGCTGCCATGCTTGGTGAAGAAGCGCGCGCATCAACGCGATGCCGTGAAATCCGTAAGACCCGACAAACAGCTTACACTCGACCGTGGGCAAGAATCCGAGCGGTAGCCGTTCTATGAACACACAGCCGACATTCTCGACCGATGGTACCGAGGCTTGGGCGATACCCAGTCTTGCAACCCGCACATGGCGCGCGCGCAATGTCGCGGCTGGTTAGGCAGGCGAGTGTATCTTGATTGTGCATTTCAGAGGGCCATCATTGCTCGGCTTGACGAAGGCTTGCGAATGGAATACTGAGCGGCTTTTTAGTCTTTCAGACCCATCCGCACACTGAGCGCTCAACCCGCGCCGGTTACGGGCAAAGCCCGTCGATGCCGGCGCCATATGCACGGATGGTAGAACTGTTCGCTGATGCTTTCTTGCTATCGTCGCAATGCTCGTAGCTGGACTGCTCGCTGATACCAGACAGCGGAGTCGCGAAGCTAACACTCTTGATCGACACCGAACACGGGATCTTCGCGCCGCCTTCGCCGCCGCCTTTGATAGTGACGAGGTTGTGGCCACTGCTCGCTCAGTGTATCACGATCTCCCGCGTCTCAGCAAAAACCTTGCGCTGCCAGTTAGCAGTGGCGTTGACCGTCAAGACAAGCCGCGTCATGCGCATGTCGTCCGCCTCGCACTGCGTGTACGAGAATACCGCGTGCAGAAAGGTCCTCGGTATGGCTAGGCTGCCACGACTTGTATTTTGGTGCGGCTGCTAGTGTCTCGAGGAAAGCGGTTGCGCAGCGCTTCAATACAGGTCGTCGGAGAAGGTGTCTTGGCGCGTGCCCTGCTCGTGCGGGAAGTAAGAATCTCATCAGCATTGCAAGAATCGTTGTCCCTGTTCTGTGCTTATGTACAGCGCAGCGTAGGATTGTGCTGTCGTGCTGCTCGATGTCGATTGTGTTGTGTTGCAATCCACGGAGAAGCTTCGAAATTCGGACCATGGCGGCGAAACGACGAGCACAAAGACTGCAAAAATCGACAAAGGCTAACGTCGTGGCCTTAAAAGGCCAAAAGTTTGATCAACTCGAATGCTGGTGACAATATTCAAACAAGGTGTATTTGTCTGACATTCTTCCTTTGCCAGTGCAAAAAGAAGTCTCGAGGCCTCAAGCTCCGAGTCGTATGGCTCGAATACTCATGGCCTACACCAAATGTCAGTAACAAGGGGGGCGCTGGGGAACTTACTCGAGCCTTGTTGTCCAGATCCAGATCCGGATCCAGGTAAGTTACGTGCCGCTGCTGCTGCCGCTGCTGCTGCTGCCGTTGTGAAGAATTAAGGGAACGCACTGACTCACCTCTTATACCACCACACCAGCCAAAGCTGATGCGGTAGTGGGCGGAAGCGCCCTACCTAACGTTATATCGTCGTTCCCACAGTTGTCCGGCGTTCTGCCGAACACTTCCGCTCGTTGTTCGCCCGGCACTGGCATAAGAACGGGCGCGAGGGAACGGATGAGGAGCGCTGTCAACGACGGTTGGGAGAAGCGGAACGACACTAATTCTCCACAGCTCAGCCTGCGGCAATGTGACGATGACATGTTACAACCAGTGAGGTTCCAAGCAGTGGCATGCAGCGCGCCATTGCCCTCGTACTGTGAAGTCACGCCTGCCGTACGCTGTTCCTATTGAGGTGATCGCTCAATGAGGTCTTCTCAGCGCCTTGGTAGTCAGTCCTTGATGCAGAAACGAAGACCTAGAATGTCAAAGCTCGGGGACATCTTGCAAATGGCTGAGCGTAACCACGAGGGTGTACAGCTACGATGTTGATACACTTCCCTGTGGCTCCAGAAAGTATCTTTCTTCCTTCTCCAGACGCTGCCGATGAGGCAACGTACCGATGAAAAAGAAGCGCCAATGCCTAACGTTGACTCAATAACAGTACCGCAGACAGCGAATGGCTCACGGCCAGGTTCCAAAAATTATGACGGAAGGGGGCTGCTGCTGAACACCCAAGGCAGTACTGTCAGTTAAGACGACCGGCTCTTTTTAACCAACCGGGCACAAGTGCGCTCAATGAAGAGGACCGGTGCAAGGAGAGGAGGAGGAATATGATCAAATTGTGAAACAGCGGCTTTTTGTATCGACTCACCGCGCTAAAGGCACGCGTTGGCGAGTAATGCGAGTCCAGATATTCGAATAGGAAGCCGAGAGCTGACTCGCTGCCGTCACAGGTGCCTTGGCAGGTAATGTACGCCGATCGACTATTCCCTGGTCGGACACGATGACAGGCTACGAGTACGATTCAATGACAATTCCTCTCTCGCAGCAAAGCGTCGACCGATTCACCGTACGCAAGAAGTCCTGCGCCACCCGGACTCAGAGAACAGCGACACTTCTGCCACGAAAGCCCTACGGCATCTGACTCCAAGCGCGTCGAGATAGTTGATCGGCCGCACGAAGATCGCTCAAGACAAATAGGTGGCTACAGCAGCATATTCCACCTCCTATTTCACCTCGCGGTGAGCTACCGCCCGAAGTAATACGCCCTTTCGAACGGTCAGAATGGTACAAACAGCTGCCTACGTTCTGCCCCAAATTGAATCCAGTAGCGGAATGCTTTTAGACGAGTCGAGATCATCTGCTTTATTTTCACCGGTACACGAACAGAACGTTTCCGATCTAGAGAACGATCACGGGAGTGCCGTCTCATGGTGAAGCCGCTGGAGTTCTAGGCCACTCCGCAGCGGCCGGCGCAGCTTGCGCCGCTGCAAAGACAGCGATAATCGTTGCGCCTGTTCGGATCCGCATGGTGAAGTCGGTGTGATTGTCGCGAAGAGCGTTGTGCGGGAGAATTGGCATTGAAGCATGGTGGAATGGCGTTGATTCGATGTCCGATCAGCGGTAGCGCTCAGGAACGGTCGAGACTACCTTCACTAGAAGTCTGTCGTGGATATTGCGGACCAAGTTGGTATGAGACGTTGATGGGGCAACATAGATGCAATGATCATGGTATCATGGTAGTAGCCAAGTAGATGGCAGCCGCTCTCTAAACCATGATGCAGCGTTACAGCGCTGCTACAGAACTCCACCGAGCACTCTGCCACCACTCGTAGCAACGACTCTACCAGAGACGCTGTCGTGCTCAGTGATCGTCTGACTCAGAGTATCCATACTCAAGTCCGCTACGAGGCCTCGATCAGGCTCCATTCGTATGCCCCGCCGTCCAAGCCGCAGCTCCTCCGTTCGTGCCGTTGGAGTTCGTGGAAGTACCGACAGAGGAAGTTCAGATTGGACGACTCGTACCATCTCCGTCGCCATTCACTGATCCGCCCGGGTGGTTGCCGTTGTTGCCCTGCCTTCAGTACGATCAGCGACCCTATTCGAGCTGGCAGAAGATCCGATGGAACCTACTGGGCGGCATCCTTGCATGAAGTGCAGACTTTGCGCTTACAGTCCTGGCACTCGTGGACTTGCGCCAGATTGCCGGTGCCACAGTCGCTGCAGCGGAAACGGATGAGTATACTCGTGCTGGTGATGAGCACGTCGTTGGGGTGGTTGCAAGGATGGACGATGCCGTTCGTAGCCATTGCTGTTGATGTCTTGTTGGTAGTGTTGTGGTGGGTTGTAAGGTGTTTGGACTGCGAGTCGTGATCGACATACGACTCTCTTAAGCGGCCAAATCAAGCTTGGACCACGTTCACTTGCAGGTGAAGCTGGAGAAGGCCCCGGACGCGTCGAACCGGTCACAAACGCGCCGGAAGCTTCTACCTTAGCAGCGATGACGTTCGAAGAAGTCGCCGCCCTTTCCATTCACAACGCTTCTTCCAACGCACAACTCAACATCACCATGATCATTAACACGACATCCCCTCTTCCACAAGCTATCACTCACCAGAAGCCAATTCATGGCTAACCAGCACTCAGCAGGCCAGACTGGCCGTCTTTGCCGTGTACAGAGTCAAGCACCTGTACTAAGGGCGTTTCTTGTGCAGTGCTTGTAGCACATGCCACTGCAGGAACTGTCTGCACGCCAAAGACGGCACTCCCAATGCCCGTAACCTCCCTGCAGTATTGCGGGTGGCGAGCAGATTTGAAGAGCGTGGTAAGACGTCACTCATCCGCTGTCGTAACATCGAACATTGCCTGACGTTCACACAGGCGGAAGGCGCCTGCGCGACCTCAGCGCTCCCCATCGCCACAGACTCGAGCGTTTTCTGCCTGCCTTCGCGGGCTCAGCGCTCACCATCGTCACAGACTCGACCGTCTCCGCTCCCCAAGATCGCGGGCAGTCCGTTGTAAATATGTGGAACGGCATGAATTTCGAGGCCGACGTCAGTCGTGAAGCCAACGAGCTGTTTATGAAAGAGCCCCACGTGAGCAACATGATCATGTGGCCTTCTCCGAGCTCAAACGTACTCCAGGCCTTCGCAAGGCATTCCTCCTGTTCGGCTTCACTGGCAGGCCTGGACGTTTCGTCCTTCCTCGGCCCCTTCGACGCAGCTGTGGGCGGTACGCCCTTACGCGGCCTCGAAGCTCAGTCTCTCGGTCCGACATCCTGTCTGTCCGCGGAGATTACACCACCGCCGAGCTACAGAGTGCGTGCCCTTCGTCGACAAGTCACACGTAGTCGCCACCAGCGAAACCATCACAGATGAAGGACTGCTTAGCGACAACCAAAACCGCGACTCAGTCTCCGCCGTGCCACACTTGCGCATGATACACTACGTCGTAAGCTTCAAGAACGCGCGCGTTGACGTTTCCCACCTGCTCGAGGGCACCGGTCTCAACACACGCGCTGACGACCTGATCATTGTCGTAAAACTGCCCAACCAAGGTGCTAACGGTACCTATTCTTATCCGCATAGGGCGACACCACCCGTGTCACCAAACTTTCACTGGTGCTTACGACTTGTCAATCTGCGCCATCGTTTCACATCGCGACCACCCCGAATCCCATTCATGTTCTCTGCCCGGCGGCTGGCAGGCGTGGACGGTACGTCCTTACCCGGCCAGCCGTCGAGTCAGCTCGGACTGTGCCAGAAACGGTGTACGGTCGGCGGGCCAGCACGACTGCCTCTCGCGGCGGCCGGCAGGCGTGGACGGTACGTCCTTACCCGCCCAGCCGTCGAGTCAGCTCGGACTGTGCCAGAAACGGTGTACGGTCGGCGGGCCAGCACGACTGCCTCTCACGGCGGCCGGCAGGCGTGGGCGGTTCGCCCTAACCCGGCCGGTCGTCGGGAGAGGTAGGCTTGGCAGCGACTGCTGCCCGCTGGTACAACTAGTGGAGCATGATGTGCTGGGGAGGTTTCGGCAGACTGGATGCGGCCGTCAATTAGCGCGGTGTCGGACGGTCAGGCCAAGAGCGCTTCTTCGTTCGGACCGACTTCGACTTACGCCCGGCTTCGCAGACTGTGGCGATGTGTACCATTGGTGGTTCTGCTTGCGGTGCCATGACTCCTGTCGGCGTTTGGTATATTGGAGAGGGTGGCAATATGCCCGGCAGATGTGGCGCGTCTTCGTTCGGCCCAATATTAACTTACGGTCCACGCGTCGGCGGAATGCAGGCTCCATGCGGCTTCGACTCTCTGGCTGGGCAGGTGTTCAACCAAAGCAGCAACACTTCTTCGGCCGCTGGTGGTAAGGCAGGTCATTTGGATGGTTGGTACGGTGGAGGTGCTGACGGCGTGGACTTGTGGTTGCTAGACAGCGGCATGGGTTGGTCGGTCAAGCGCATCATCCCGCTGCCGCAACGCAACGTTGATATCGCTGATTCCCAAAGACTGTTCGAGATATCTGATTAGCGCTGGGCGCTTGTGATGCTTTGTAGTCCTCTACGCAACGTACTGGCTCCGTCTCAATGTCGCTTTCGTACATCTCCTAGCAGCATAGTGATCGCCTTCTGCACGCACATTGTAGCATCGGTCCCGAGTATGGCAGTAGTTCCTTGCTGCATGCCATGACCGCCGAACCCCTGCCGTGATACTTTCTCCACACCGTTCGCACTCTTTGGCGCTTTGAGCTAACAAAGTAGGCTGAGCGCCTCTCTCACGCACATAAAGTACTGGCAGCCAGCATGCCGGAGGTGGTATGCGTGCTTGTTGCTTCCAACGCGCAGATGCTTGCCGTTCTTGTAGAAAGCTTCAAGTCCTTCAAGTCAAGTTCTCAAAGACAAAGCGCTTGAAATTCGCATCAGCAACAAAGACCGCCCAGATCGAGATCGATCAAGGCCTGCCATCTCCTTTGTTGGCTTCCAGCGAAGCTTCTTGAGCTTCGTACCGTGCTTCCGGAGCCGTTGGAGCTGGCGTATGCCTGCACGCCGCCATTCTCCCAGCTTAACACCGCTCGCTCGACAGCGCGCATTTTCCGACATGCCACCCTTCTCAAGCTGCTCATTAGAAGCATCTACAGCTAGTCGCAGCATTGTCTCGTGCAGCACATTGCCTCCTCAACCCACACGCCCACAGCTCCGACTGCGACCGCAACCATGCAAAATACCGACAGCGACCGATTATATCGATCGGAGACTATACTCGAAGCTTGCGCAGCATCTATCACGCCAAGTATATCGTTCAGGGGGGGCTGAGATCACCGGGAAGACACTCAGGCTCTCCACAAACTTCCCGCCAGCACTTGAGCAGTAAATCTCCTCCTCCTCTCCTTCGTAGACGACCATTAGGGCCAGCAACGGCGATCATGCTTCCTTTCGTAACCCGGAAGCGATAGTAAGCTATCGAGCAGTCCGCGGCATCAGCATCTTGTCTCAACGCCAAACGCCCGCCTGTAACCAAGCGCCAACTCCGCCACCGTTGTAGCATCTGCTCCATGCGATGACAGATCTTGCTCCATCCACGGCGAGGATGGTGGAAGAGTTGACAGAGGCAACGCTTGCTTGACGCGTACAGCAACACGACACAATCATGCCCCGTAGTAAAGGCAGCGGCTCGGCGCAAAAAGCTTTGCGCATCAACACCCATCCGCTCAAGCGCTCAAGACGATTGCAGCGCCCGCAGCTCCCGCGATCCATGAGCGACAACAGGCGCGACGGTTCTGCGCACACCAGCGGAGCAGCAAGCAAGTACGGCAGTAAGGCGTAAAGGCAAGCTGTACTCCATGCGCACATCTACGATCTTGCGAGCTAGCGTAAGGCGTCAGCGAACTGTGTCTTTGGGAGGAAGAGCTAGAACCCACGGCGCTAGCACTCACTGGACAACGACACACCATGCGCACCAGCAGCTATTACCGTTCAAGCGTATCGCGCTGTCACCGCATCGCTACACTTGCATGCTTGAACGGCCGCAGCATGCATCAAGGTGACCCTCAAGCCCGCCCTCAGCGCAACTCCACAGCACTATGAAAGTGAGCGCGCGCTGGTTGGGCAACGGGCCTCATGCTCGAAGCCATGGCAAGCGCAGCCCGATCGCTGCGGTATTCCTTGATCACCAATCGGTACCGTCAGCCCACATAACGCAGTGCATCGTCACGATGCTGAACGACTCTGCCACAACCCGCCATCAATGTCGTTGCTAACGACGCGCGGTACGCAACAATCAGGAGCAGCCCACGATGATCGAGGAGCGAGACAATCAGGGCCCCTATGCGCGAGAGCAGAACATGGAGCCCACGGCAAACAAGCATGGCATAGTAAGCGCAGAAGCCAGCTGGCAAAACTCCAGCATCGAAGCGAAGCATGATGAAAGACTTGAGCATTCCCAACCTTCGTCGCCAAAGCCAAGCATGCCTCGCAGCAAGGCCAGCACAACTGCTCAGTCCAAAACCCGTGGACTTAGTTAGCACAAGAACGCTCTCAACTCGCAGCATTTGCTGGTCTGCGGAGGACAGAGTTACCGACGATGGACGCAAGCATCGGGGTCATCCATCGATATAGCCAGCGTTCGGCAGTGACAGGGCAGGAGCTCTCCAGTCTTCCATCGTAGCCAGCTGGCGACGCGAATGCCTAGCGGGTACGTCCAGGGCGGCTCTCCGCAGGACTCGGGTCTTGTGGGCATGTAGCTCACCACTGCCACCGAGACTCGCTGCCAGTTTCAAACTCAAAACGGGCTGGCCTTACGTGGACCAGAAGGCTCACCAATGCGAGCAACGTCCTCCACGAGGACGAGGCGTTCAGCGCAAGGCACAAACAGCCGTGTAAAGATACTCGAGACAAATGCGCACCAATACCAGCACGATCGGTCAAGTAAGAGCATGGAGCAGTACGCGGCGACAAGGAAGTAGCTGTGCAGGTACACGACGTACTGTCACATTAGCCGGGATCGATCGCATATGCTAGGTCATGTTGTTAGTGATCGCTGGAAGGTTAGCATTCTCAAGCTGCGGAGCCTTACGAAGGCGCCACGACTATGGCCAAAGCTGTGAGTGTTAGCGGGGCAGAAGGAAGACATGAAGAGCAAGAGACTCGACATAACTTGTTCCCGCCGCAGGTCTTCATCGAGGACGAACGCAAAGTACAAGGGCAACATGCAGATTGTGCAAGAAGAGCTCTGAAGCTTCCATATTGGCAACCAGGCTCACGACCGCGGACGTGGCGCTGTTGTGTCCAACCGAAGCACCAGTTAACGGCTTGCGGCGAAGTTGGTGTTGTCGCTCAGACATGGTTCGCCGGCCATCAGCTCACGGCAGAGAATACGAAGGGCTCATTACTGTGCGTCGCTACCGGCCGTTCGAGCTCTCCATAGCGGAGTGTACTCGCCGATGTTCAGACCAATCCCTGGCCAAAGGCTCGCAGCGGATTTGGGAAGAGGCTGTTGCTGTCAATACCTCAATGTCGCACCGCCCGGTAGGCCACGTCGTGAAAAGCGAGCGAGCTGCTGCAGTCTGTCATCCCTTGAGCGCTAGCCACAGGCTCGAGGCGAAGGCGCATTATAGTCATTGAAGTCATGCTCGACCGGTCCCTGCAGAAAGCACGCGGAGATAGGAATGCCTCGATTTCAAGCTGGCCTCCCAGCACATTGCGGAATGGAGACCGTATGGGACAGGATGCTGGCTCAGTGCATGCGGAACGGCTCATGGCGAGACTGAAATGACGGAGGTTGCGAAGCATCGCTAGAGTCGTCGAGCCATGTCGCATACGCTAAGCATACCGTCACGGCCAAGAATTAAGCATCGCGCCTCGGCCTGACGGTAAAGCTCCGAACCTGACGCAGGCCACAGGCTCTCTGCGGAGATGGATCTGGCAAATGGACGAGACTGTCGTCAGGAACATGGAGGCCGTGCGCTCTTTGCGGCACGTCGGAGACGCTGATCGTGTTGGACTTGGTCGCCAGCGAAGGAGCCAATCTACCAAGTGTTGAAGCGGGCCACAGGCTCACCGCTCTGATCTGATCTTGATGCTGGACATGGATTATCGAGCGCAGCATCCGGCAAATCTTCAAGGTCGAGTACAGCGTCTTAGCAACCCCAGCATTTCCTCACCTGCGCTCTATCATGCGGCAAGCAAGCGTACCATCTCCGAGAGCTCATATCAATAGCACACCTTTGAAGCGCGCTGAAGACTACAACGCTGTTCCTCAGCACCTTAGCATGCGTACGTCAGCAACCGAGCATAGTCTGGTACAGCGTGCACAACAAACTACACGGCGCTTGAATGTCAGCTCCTTGTCCATGCGCATTTTGATCTGCGGCAAGCAACTATGTCCGCCGAGAAAGAGCGATCGCAGGTCGTGAAGTTGATGCGGGCCTTCAAGCAGCACGCCGCGACCAGCGTCATTGTCCACGCGCAGTGCAGTCTACGGCAAGGTTTCATGTCTGGCTGACGACACCATCAAAGGTGAAGTCTACTCATACGGGCCGTCAAAGCACACCGCAATTAGCAGATTCAGATCCGCGTTTCAGTATGCGACAATTATACATCATCTGTTGGAGAAGATGCCCATGAGCACAGTCCTCGAGCGGGCCGTTACCAGGCACACCGCGGTGGGGAGGTCGAGGACTCGGGTCTCGGCCTGCGAGGATCCGGCACTGATTAACAGCAGCCAGTGGCTGACCTTTGTGATGAGGCAAAGGTCTGCCGGTACTGCAGGTTCTCGGAAACACCTTTTGGCCACAGGATGCGGGCTTCGAGCTCACCGCGGGAACCCTTCAAGGCTGTCCCACTCATGGCTTGATAGTCGTCAGCAATCGTACACCGGTAAAGACGTACCATGGGATCTCAAGGCAATACCATGCCGCTCTGCATAACCGAGCTGGTAGCCATTTGCGGGCAGAAAAAGACTCTCCGCAGGCCACGAACGAGCATATTTCGCTTGCGGGCCATGAGGCTCTTTGCCACATCCGGTAGCATATGCCGGATCGCCAGTGCCTGCCGCGCGACATTGGAGCTGGGCAGAGTTGGTTCACAGGCAAACGGCTCACTACGCGTCAGCAGATCAGCAATGATTTGCAGCTAAGTCTGCGATGATTGTCAGACTGTAGCCGTCGCTTGCCTTCGAACACTTGCAGGCCGTCAAGCTCGCGACCAGAAGACATTACTCGTACACTGCCGTCAGCCATGCGTCAGTCAAGCACGGATCGTTAGCGGGCCGAACAGCTCATCGCCAAGTGGCGTTCAACCTGCTCAACCTGAGTTCGTCGGTCTTCCACCCCGGCCAAGCATACTTCTGATGGATGGGCCAGGAGGCTCACCATCCAATCCGGCATGCCTGCCTGTGTGTCAGTGTTTAGCTCAGCATGACTCTTGATCGTTCGGCTGCTGCGGCTTAGCGTGAGCGGGCCATGCAGGCCCTCCGCTATGTGTCACTGTACGGTGCAAAGTAGAGTTGTGCAGCATCAATGTGCAGGCCACGAGCAATCTCCGCCAAACCAAATGTCCAGCTACATCAGGTGCGGGCCATCAAAGCTCTCCGCCAATCGGCATTACATGGGATGATCAGAGAGTACTCGATGTCACCCCGCGGGTCACAGTGACTCTGCCGTTTAATGACCAAGCCATCCAAAGAGTGGGCCATGGGCAGGCTCTCCGCCATCTCATAATGTGTTCGTCATCAGTCTGCGGACTTAAAGAGCGCGCCACCACCCTAGAGTATGCTCCGTGTCGTCTGCGGGCCCGACAGGCTCTCCGTCATCACCCAACCTGCCCAGCGTCGGTCTGCGGACCATCAGGACTCTTCGCCATGCGCAAAGGATCGAACCATGCAACAAGCGGGCTTCGAAGGCTTTCCGCATACAGTAGAACCAGACAAGCTGAACCGGAGCCACGTGCGAGCAGGGCATTGTCTTACTCTAGCTCGATGCAAAGCTTGTCAAGTCGTGGCTTCCTTGGAACGTCCTGGCCCTATTCGAATAAGGTAAACGCTTGGCCGCCGCGGACAATGCTTCGGCGACGGATTGTGTCGAGCGTACTGCTGAGGCTACGCATTGTGCCTCAAATCCGAAAGCGCTGCGGACTATGAGCATGGAGCGGTATCTCATCTTCACGTTACTTTAACGCTGGCGTTGTTTCTGTGCAGCTTGTTTGTGCGAGGGTCTGAGAGAGGCGCTCAGCACTCTGTGACGGCTCGAGGTGCGATGCAAGGGCGCCGAAGCAAGGGATGTTCCACGGGCTCTAAGTCGACATCAGCGCCACCAATCCAGCACAGCACAGCAGCACAGGAGTCTTACCTGGTGGTCGCGAAGGCGATGTTGCCATCCACGCCATGTCCAGCGCATGAAAAGCGGAAGAGTGATGAAGAATGCGAAGCGGAGTAAGCGAGCCGTGAGGGGTGCCGGACAGTTGCCCGAACATACTGCCGACGGTGTTTATCCGGACCACAACGATTCGACATACTTTGAGCCACTGCCGATAGTGCTAATGGTGCTCGGGCTGCTCGGTCCGACCAATAAGCGATGCAGCAATGGCATGTCTCCGCGGCAAATACCTTTGCACTGCCAATGGCCCGCAATTTCGAAGACTGTCAGCGTCTTGAGGGACCCGCGTCTGTGCTATGCTGCCAACCCCTTGAGCGTTCGGTGAGTGGGCATGGCGGCCTTCATCCGTCATGGTCACGTGCCGATCGCCTTTGGGCGGGTATGATGGTGACGGTGAACCAGCGAGGCGAAAGATGCCAGGAGCCATATGCCGACCGAGGGAATGATCTGCTCTGAAATGCTGCTGCAGTGCTCAGAGGCAACCCATGGACTCTGATGTCGTCATTCCCGACTTGCAGTCAGGGCTTGGCGTTCGTACTGCGACCGCGGAGAAGGTTGCAGCGACAGCAGTCTGGTCGCTTGAGGTGTGCGAGATGGCCGGTTCGACGGTATCGGACGTAATTGAAGCTGCTGCGATGGCTGCTGTGATGTCCTGAAGCCTCGCTGGCCTAATATCACCGTCGCCGATGCCCGCCTCTTCCGCTTTCGCTGCATGAGCGAGGTTAGCGAGATGTATTCCGCGGTTGAACGAGCGGACTTCGATCGTGTCGGGTGCATACCACCCTGAGCTTCTTCGAGCGTGATGCTGAGGTGTTCTTGCATATGGTCGCCGTCGCACGTTGGCATGATGGTGGCTCAGCGAAGCTTCAGCGTACGGCGCCGCGTGCAACCACCGCCGGGGACCGTGTCAGTCCATCATCACACTGTCAGTGCCTCTGAGAAGCATGGGAGGGTGTGTCCACTGTTTCTGCGGGCCTTTGAGGCTCACCGCCGTCGCTGCAGGGTCGGCTATGTCGCGGTTTGCTCTCCGCTCCGCCGCGGGCTTCGTGGGGTCACGGAGTCACCGCGGCTTTCCACCATCATATCAGCTCACCAGAGACACTCTCTGGGCTTTTGAAATGCGTTTCGATGCTGCACATGGTGCTGTCGAGGCTGCATCAAGTGATGGGCGGATGGAAGGGAGTGCTGGGCCTGCGGAGGAAGTCTCGCGGCTCACCAGGGCCTGACTCACCACCGTCACTTCCGACGGCGGAGCAGCTTCTTCGCATGACTGCTGAGCTTGTGGAGAGTGTTCAGAGGGTGAGGAAGGAGTCTGGGGAGTGTTGAGGGATGGTGGAAGGCATGGTGGTTCTGGAGGAAAGGAAAAATGCTGCACTGAAGCCGGCGAAGAAAGCGGACCCTTCACGCTCACAATCGCCAAGCCTGCGGCAAAGTCTATTCCGACTACATCTCGTTGCCAGTATCGCAACGAACAGGTGCTCACAATGCTCATACACTGGTCGCGAAGGCTCACACAAGGCTCGAGATCGGCCTCATACTTGCAGCACTCCTCTACGGCGTTTGGCGCACGCTCAGCACATTCTGCTGGCTGGATGAGGACCTGTCCACGCAACAAGACCGCCTGCTACGACGGCATACAGCTGCTAGCTTGGAGAGAGCGACAGTGCAGAAGGGAGCGGTAGCTTGAGGGGGCAGCGGCTCGACTCAGAATGCTAGGGGTGGTGTCTCAAGCATTGCATGGCGAAAGATGTTCCATAGCAAGCGATAGCAGGCTCAGCAATGCTAGAATGATGCCATTAACGCGCAGCACACGATAATGACGGCTAAGAAAGAGTAGTACTACTAAGCAGCACATTATCTCAGTATATTACTACCATCAGTCCGATACAGTCATCTCACGCTTGTTGGAAGCTCAATTAGCTACTATGCGATTCATCATTGCATCATGCTTTCGCCACTTGGGGATGCCCACAGACTTCACATCTACGAACATACTCCAGCTACTGCTGTCGGCGTTCATACCCCGGATGTTGGGGCTCGGCGGTACAATCCCACTCTCAACTCCATCAACTACCGATTATCATGGTGTGCAGGGAGGCTTGTTGTGGGAGCATAGCAATGGGATACGCTCAAGAATACTTTCTCTCTACCTGCTACTCGTTCCCAGAACGCCACTCCACTAGCGCTGCAAGAGAGCGCATCCCTAAGCTACTGGTAAGCGTGAGCAGGAGTGAGCAGCCATGACAGCCTGTTGGCATGCTCAGAGGTGGGGATCGACACACCTACGCCCGCTTCTCGGAGCACCGCTTGCAGGCCTTTGCGCTGCACAGTGTGCACTGGTAGATGTACCAGTGCGGCCCGGACTGGCACTGACCGCATCTCCAAAGCAGAAGGGTGGTGCCTATACCGTGTTGGGCGGCACCGTCAGCTATGTCTAAAACACTCATGTGGGTTCAGAACGTTCGTCTGCATACTGGACTTGATGATGGTGAAGGTGTGCTTGCATATGCTTGGTTCCGCCATGGTTGCGGTGATGTAGTGTTTGTTCTTGCGGAAATTGGTCCAATGGAAATGGTGAGTTTGCGAGAAGAAGCGCAGCAACTAGTGGATGTACCCTTTGAAGCAGGGATCGAGTGGAAGGAGAGGCCGAGCTAGTGGGTGTTTGAACTCTACCAGAGATGCAGGGGTTGAATGGGTGCGGAGTGGTGAGCGCTAAAGGATGTACGAACTCTGTGCCCTGACCATTGTATTGATTGGCTCAATAAACGTGTTTGTGATGGAAGAGACCATAGTAGGGAATATCATACGAGATTCTCGAGATATTGTTCCGATGCAATCAAATCGAATGGGCCACGATACGGCTCAGACTCTGCTCGATGTAGAAGGGTAAGTTCGACATATTGATGCGGCTAAAACGGCAAAAAGCCTTTGAGCGGAGAAGGCTTGTCATACATTGTTGCAGCAACAGTTGCATGAGGTTTGCTTGGTTAAATTGACCAACGCTTTGATTGATGCTTTGCACATTGTTAGGGTGTACAGATGTAAAGGGATACTCAGTGCGATAGCATAACGGGATGGCCGAAAGACTCGCTGGGCGTGACAGCCTGTCGTCCTCCGAAAGCTCCCCTGCTACTCCGCTGCAAATGACAAAAGAAAGACTATACGTACCTCTTATTCCAGGTCCAGGTCCAGGTCCAGAATCCAGTATTGTCGAAGAAGTTGCGGCCGCTGCTGCTGCTGCTGCCTGCCGGAGAGGAAAAATTGGAATATACGTACCTCAATCAATGACCGCAGATTGCGGCCACCGCACCACGAGCTGTGGTGCGGTGATCGGATCACTGCCGAGCAACATCATGATCGCCTGCACAACCTCCAGAATTTAGCCGAGCCGAGCCCCTGCCTCGAGAATTCCCTCCTCAATAGCCGGTGTGATTGCCACTGCGACATACTCATTCCTTCCCTGTCCTTCTACAGTCGTGTACGATCTGTGAACAACCTCTCGTTACTCGACCGTACAACACTCGCTATTACCAGCTCGAGGTTTCCACCTAAACCTGATGCGCCAGTACGTCGTGATTGAGACTCGGGCCTTACAGATTCGCTGCTGACGGCACACTGACCACTCGCCAATGACACACACCACGGTGAGTGAAATTCCACAAACGAGACTGCACCCAAGACGAAAATCCGCCACTCGTCGCTCTGAGCCAACAGCCTCAGAGGAAAGCGCAAATATTTACATGAATCTCGGTACACTCCAGAAAAGAAAGCCAAGCTGGCTGTGCAACGGAGGTGTACGTCATAACATCTGCCACTCGCCTCAGTCGCGACACCGTTCAGGAGAGAAAGATCAGGAGAGCGCGCAACTGCGAAGCCACTTCCACTGCTCCAAAGCCGATGGGCCTAAAGCTTTGCCTGCAATCCAGGAAGCCGAAACGGTTAAAGCGCTCACAGGAACTCGACACCAGATAAGCACAAACAACCAAAGTAGCAGCACTCGACGCACCCGGACTAGCTTGCTTGAGGTTTGAGAGACGATGTGGCGCCTAAGGGTTGACACCGCGCCTCAATTCTTCCACTCCATTTCGCTATGAAAGCAAAGATGCGGCGTGCAGTTTACGAAGACATGCTGTGGCTTATGAGCCTTCGAGTTCACACCGCACCGCAATCTATGCAAAGGCCGCTGGCCATCCCCGTGACATGACACCGTCTCCGGCAAAGCGCAAACGTGTCCGCCTTCTCACGTTGCCAGAACATCCAGTCTCGCAATTACTATGAGCTGCAGATTCGACTGCGCTGACCGACCTGGTAGCAAAGTGCAACTAAGGAGGAGAAGATGATACGACACGAAGCGCGGATAGCTACAAGGTGAATCAAGCGTCCAGGTTCATTTACTGCATACTCCAGAGCCTCGGTGTGTCAAATACGCAGTGCTCGCAGAGCAACCCAGAGTACTCCATACCCTAGTAGCAACATGCAACAACGAAATGCAGAATGTACCCTCGACCTTCATTCCAAGATTGTAGAGGGTTGTTCGACTGTTATCTTATGAACCCGTGAGGTGTGTCGCCAGGCGCTGCCTTTGCCAACACATACTCATTCCAAGCCCACGTTTAGTCCTCGATTCAACCCTTCGCCGGAGCTTGCCGACGTTGACGCGCGGACTAGCGTCAGTGGAGACTTTTAAAAGTTTGGAGAACTTGTTGCCTCTTTCTTCGAATGCAGGTAGGTTTGGGGGCGAAGGCTGCCCTAGCTCAGGTTACCCTTACAAAGAGCGTCATTGCGTCTACGCCCTCAGGGCGCCCTTCAATGATCGAGCAGTATTCGCATATCAATGAGCGCTTGCTTGCTCTAGCAGCAGCAAGTCGCCCGACTGCTCAAGCCGCAGTCCCCTTTACATGGGCTCTCTGGGTGTACAGTCAAGGTTACATATTATGATCGTTGAGCAGTCGGCCCTACACCCGCGTTTCTGAGCCGGCTGATTGTGACTGTACCTACCGCTAGCGACCTCACTGCCATCGCGGCAGCTGTTTGCGAAGGTATGACTCGGTTATGGATGCGAGCGTGACTTGCGTTGACTCAAGGACTAGTGCCGAAAATCGATGTTTTGTCTTTCAACACCATCCACGCTCTTCTCCAGAGCGTAACATATAGTATTTGTTTTTTCCCGCATCTGACACTTGCCGTAGTAGCCGTACTTTTCTGTCCAGCTACGTCCACCTATCACCGCGCCGTCGGTCTCAGGGCGTCGCAAGTGATCGTGCAGTGTTCGCAGATCAATAAGAGCGTGTTGAGAGTGCATACCTACGCCGCCACCGAGCCGCCCAGGTTCACGAAAGCCTCTGCAATGGCTGGATACGGGAGTTTGGCCTATAAAAATTGGTCGGGGCTACATTTATCTAAGCGGTGTGTCGTGTAAATGCTGTGGGGAAAATCATACATGACCTCTCGCTCTGAGCCTGCCTAGAGAATGCCCACCTATTAGCGCAACCTGCAAGCGCGAGCTCTACGCTGGGTGTCACCCTTCGGGACGACGGCAAGGCCAACGATGTTTTCCATATCTTCACGATGCACGTCGCATAGCTGACTATACTACCTTTGTGAGGAGTTGATAGGGATTGGAGGGAACTGGCGTAGACATCAAACGGCGAAGTTTACGAAAGAATACCTGAAGATGAGCAGCACAGAGCTCAGCTACTACATACACTCCCCCTTCATCGACTCGTCCTAGCTCTACTCCTCATCCGAATCGGAAAGCACACCTTCGTTCGCTTCGTGTTGCATGACAATGTCATACTCGGCCACGGCACCAGCGAATTCGCGCACACGCTCACTGTTGTGCCGTTCGCACCTTCTAATAGCAGCCCGGAGCGAATCAAAGGCAAAGTCGTGCTCCTCCTCGGGGAGGTAGTCATTGACGCTGCGGATCATAGCCACAACCGTCTCCCTAGCCATTTCATACTGCTGGCCTTCGCACTGATCGCTGTTCCTAATTGCCCTGGCGTCCCCACTTTCTCCTTCGATGCTGTGAGCAGTTTCGACAATCATTCGCTCAAAGAGCGCTGTTTGCGGGGAGGCTGGATCTGCACTTGGATCGCCTAAGGTGCTGGGCAGGAAGCAATCATGCATCGCAAGGACCTCCACAGTACTTAGGGCTACGTCTGGCTCCGACCGCTCGTCATCAGCTGGTTCATCGCTCGGAGGCGGTACGTACACTTCTCCAGGTATCTCATCGGTTCCGGTCATGTTGACACCATTGACGACATAAAACATTTCACGCACCGCTTCGGCCTCAACTCTATCGTTCCGCAGAGTCATCAAGTCTTCTTCTGTCCAACGATGTTGGTCGGTCGGGCGATGGTATGTGACGGACTCGTAGTCGTAATCGTACTCCTCGTCGTTTTCATCGTCGTCCGACGGATCGGTGGGAGCGTAGGGTTGATCATTTGGATCCAAGGTGTCAAGGGGTACTCGAAGCGGTGCGGTGAATAGCTCTGTTAAAGCTTGCTGGCGAGCTATTGCTCGGGGCGAGGTAGCAGGCGCTACAGGAGTGTCGTAATAATCATCATATTCCTCGACTGATGAAGCGAAAGAGACAGATCGTGATGATTGTGTCATGGTGGTGTTTGTGGTTCAGCAGAGCTCTCTGTGTCCTGCAGGAGAGTGTCGAGCTGTCTGTACGAGAAAGGACGACCCGACAAAGGCTAACCTCGAGGTTTTGTCGAGTCCCGAACAAGGGCTCGTCTGCAACAGACAGTGACATTGCGCTTAAGGAAGACAATGCCGCTCAACGGAAGGTGAGCTACGGTGAGAAGAACTTTGATAGAGCGCTTTCAACACTTCTTTGTTGCACAATCTGCCAGATATCGTCTATGCTTTGTTGACCGGTCCTTGCCAATCCCAGCGCATCTGAGAGCCGACCAGCGCAGGTATGTCACTCTTGAACCGGCGTACGGTGACCTCAAGCTCGTCCACTTCATCCCTAGCTGACTTGAAGCTTGCTACACCTTGAACTTCGTCCTCGAATTCGGCATTCTTGACTGTATCAATCTTGGCTTCGATGGCTTTCCTTACCTCCATAAGCTGCTCAACAAGGATTCGTTGTTGTCCAGCTCGTATATCCAGCCATCCAGCTTCTGAACAACCGATTCAAAGGCGCGGTCATATTGCATGCGAGCTGCGATGAAGGTAAGGCAGCTGTCCATCCAGCTGTGAACACCTCCTTCCACTGACCTGTTCAGCGGCAGTGATCATGCCTGTGAACAGGCCCGGCGTCTAACACTCGGCGGATCCGAGTATAGCGCATGTGGTGACTTACTTGACCAATTTGTCCCCTCCACGGTGCGTTTTGAAGATCTCAATGCCTCGCCCGCACGTATCGAAGCCGTACTCAGTGTCACAGTAATGCGCTGCGTGTTGCTACTCCGCTTGCCAGCCCATTGACGTTTTGCGCTTCTCCAGCGTCGCAAGCTCGTCACCGAAAGAAAAGCTTCGCATCGTAGTAGCATGAGAGTTCTTCAACGGCAAGCACTAGTTGAGGTGGGACCACGCAAACCCGGGAGACGATGTCAAGACGGCGAGCGGGTGTTGCTGTGACTGTAGCCGCATTGGCGAAGAAGTCTTTCCACACGGCAAACCCAGTAGGATCAATCTTCTTAAAGTCATCGCTTGCGTTGATGAGAGCTTCGCGTATAGCCTGCCTTGTACCGTAGTGGTTGACATGCTCGTCACCCACACGGTCCATCTTAAAGATCGCTGGAGAGCGGTCATGGCGCTGTTGACAGTATGCTCTCTCGTGGTGACGGGAATTCGGCATCAACAAAGGCAGGGCCATCGGCTGAGAACGCGCGAATGCGAGGCCTTCGCATGTTGTTTGTAGTACTGCCACCCAGGCCGAAAACCTAGGAGACCTGCTACCGCTTTGGAAACATGTCGCTCGTTTCCATCGTCGCGCCAATAAAGCGCCTGAGAGCGGCCCAGCGGTCAGCCTGGTCAGATGTCGCTGGTCGGTCGGCGCCATAACCACCTGAGCCGTCATGCTGAGCACCGCCTCCCTTCTCAACCAGCGATGCCGCTCTCTCGCCCTCTTTTCCCACCATCATCGCCATGTTGCGGCGAAACCGCTCTACCTCCAGCCCCTCCATTTTCCGCTTGCGCTTCATCGCACCAGGCCTGTTTTTGAGGCTGCGCATCTTCATCGTGCCAGCTCTCTCCGCCAACGGTGCTTTCCGCTTGGTAGCCTTCCTCAACCCTGCGAACTCCAGCGAAGGCTCGACATCCTCGCCGACGCCCTCCCACTCGTCTTCACTTCCACCGTCCTCTGTCCTATGACTGTCTGCGGCATCTTGAACATCCGGCAGCGCATCTGCTAACCCACCGATATCCGTCTTCAGCTTCTTCGCCGGTCTCCTCCGCTTCAGCACTTTGCGGTCCTTACTTATTCCGCTATGCCGGACTTTGTTGAGCAAGACCTGATGCCGAATGGAGCGCTTGTCTTTCTTGTTGATCTTGAAGCCGAACTCTGCATCGCCGTCGTCGCCATCAGATCGTTTCCGCTTGTGTGGACTGGTATGTAAATCTGCGGGCGATCGTGCGTTGTCGGTGGCGGATGTAGGCGCATATATACCTCGAGGATCTTTCGCCGATCTCACATGGCGCGAGTGCTTTGTCGGCGGTACTGGCGCCATGTCGGGCAGATCGTGTGTATGCGACAGAGAGAGACAGATTGATAGTGAAGTCTGAGCGCTCTGCCAAGCGGGCTTTGCGTTTCATGTTCGGGTCGGAGAAATATCGGCCGAGGCTTTGCTACATACCATTACTCTTACAGTTTCCGACGAACAGCCACTATCGTCTCTGTCTTCTTCGACAAAGGCTAATGGTGCATCTAACTGTCCCAGCGAATAGAGATGTGGAGTGCATTCTCTAGGCTTTTTATGTGACAGCTCCGGAATGTCTCCATGACAGCCCGCTCCCCCTCGTCGAAAACACTCCTTCGGAAATGACGACAAGCACCTCTGCCTGACACGATATGTCAGTGCTATGCAGCCAGCAAGGGCTTGGCCACCCACTCTCTCTCGTCCCTCCTGAGAGCCCCGACTACGTGTTCTAGCCTAACGCCATCGCTTCCGAACAACTTGACCTGCATTGTGCCTCTCCTCCACGTGGGCGTGCTCGAATGTCCCACGAGCATGAAGACGCGATGGACGACAACGTTAATGCAAGGTGATTGCCTAATATACATCCGAGAAACTTCGCCTCCTTATAAATATCGGTGGGCAGCTGGTGCTCTGGTGCAGCACTCACTGCCTTCCTGGATAGGTCCGTTTCTGTGGGATGTTAACGCCGTCACTGCGAAGTGTCTGAAGTGGAGAAGGCTGCTCAGCTTTTGATCGATGCGATTTAGATCCTTATACGCCGAAAATAAGATGGGTCCAGGCGCATTGGCGTAACGAAGGCCGCTTACGTCTAAGCGCAGTGGAACAGAAGAAGCTGCTGGCAAGTTGGGAAGCAGAGCCGGTTGAGTTACTAAGCCAATCACTTACGCTTGGAGTCGGCGAATGCCAAGGGGAGCTCAACAATGCCCCTGGGCCAATAGCTCACCACGAAGCGATTACAGGATGCCGGATGATCTGCAATTCTAGCAGCGGGTTGCACGTATATATAGGCAGTGGGACGGCAACAAGCTGCCGCTGCGAGCAGCGAAGAATGTCCTCTTACTCAAGCTGGCCTTCGAGCGTCTGTTGGATCAGCTACACGCAGCGAATCGAGTCTGCATGCCGAGGGACTACTGCATGCACTTCGACTAGGTGCAGTTGTCCTCCTTCATGCTGAACAACAACAACGCAAACGCTCCTAATGCTAATATCTTCGACTGGCTGGCTGAGTTGAAAAGCGATCAAGCTACGCGGGTCTCCATTCGCTGTTCGCAGTTCCAAATGATTCTTGTTGCTCCCCAGGTATCATCGAGAACAGCACATACTGGTAGCGCGGTCAACATCGGAAAACTGTTCCGAGACGAATCTATGTAGAGATATTGGCGGAGCTTAGTGGTACGATTGAACCTAGACAGTATCAAGGTACGCTGGAATACTCGACTGTCCTCGCTTGAGTGTCACGTCGTTAACAGCCTCCGGCAAATTTGTCAACGGGCGTCAGACCTCGCGGTGCATGCTCTCTGCGGGCGAAGCGTGGATGGCGGATTCGCCTTGCACGATCTTCTAAGCGTGATCGGTTGCTACAGCAAAGTTATCGAGCAATACACCGGTCGACCTGGCGCAATCACATACATGCTCTGAAGAGCTTGTCACTCGCAACCTATCTCTGCACTTCTTGCGCAGAACGAGGTGGAGCAGGCTTACTTGACTTGTCGAGGAGCTGTCGCGCAGCATCGCCGTGGCCTCCAGAACATACGTCTCGACCAACGAGTCAATGTCATCGATGTACCCGCCCATGCTTCTCCACGGTATTACCAAGCAGCGGGTACATTAATTGCCAGTCTCGGCATGTTCCTCACGCTTGGTGAGAGACAGCATCTCTCACAGGCTCACATCCTGAAGCACCTAGCCACGTTGTATGGAGGGCACGCCTTCAACCTGGCGAGTGAGACACAGCTTGCGGTTACCGATCCTTCGGTGGCGTTCGGGAGACGGTGAGCCAGGCGGGCACAATGCATTGACTTGCCGCATCAAGTCATCAAGCATAGGTCAGCAGGGGGAGGAGTGCAATGTGCGGGGGAGTGTAGGGGGTATGACTATGAGATCTGCTAATTATGCCTCGATTCGCTCCCTCGAACGGCTAGCTTCCATGATCCAGGACGTACTTCGAGCCACCCCAGACCATGGGCATGTCTAACGTTTTACTGAGGTAAGTGGTGGTGGCGGCAGGAGGGTTTGCAGATGCGGAGTGACCGATCGCATGTCGAATTCAACACAAGGTGCAGAGAAGGCAACTACAGGTTGATGCCACCAGACCTTCGACTACACATGCGGATCATTTGGACTTGCCGGCCGGCTTCGAAGGATGTCTCCATGTCGTGTCTGCGGTACGGGTGTCCCGAAGATGGTTAGTCAGCTACTAGTGCTTGCATAATTATGTTGGCCAGTCGGCGCTGACTACGCCATTCGAGGACGGAGGCGTAGTAATACACACGACGGCAGTGTTCTGATTCCGCCTGGCCTGCTTGCGTATCTAGAGGCCGAAACACGGGGATACAAAGCCGTATCACGACATATCCTGACGTAGCTCGAGCGTTCGTAAGCGGTTTGGGATTCGTTCCTTTCCTACTCCTTGTCCGCGTCGTGATCGCCGCCCTCACTACACCTTGTGCCGCTGCAGGTATGGGTCCCAGCCAGCTTGGTCGTGCTTTACATCCTCCACCCAGTGTATCACCCTACGCGTCGGCCACCTCCACACATTGTCCACCGCTCTTCGTTTTGGTAGCATCAACCCTTTTATGAATGACCATCTCACTACAGTACTCTTCGGCGCTCTCTGTTGTTATATACTCCGACATATGATCGCTCCTGCGAAAGAATGTTCTGCAACCTGAGCCTCTTCGTAACAGGCTATTGGAGTGTGCGTGTATAACGAAATATCAGCGCGTGACGAAGACCGAGAGTACCGCGGATGGACTCGGCAATAGGTTGCAGAGGTTTGTTTAGTCCTCGGTCAAGATACAAAGTTGCTCCTGCAGTCCAGCGCAAATGCTTGCAGATTTGTCAGGCTTGTTGACTCGATTGATGTCATGTCACAGTCGTCGGTGGAAAGGTATGTTGCAGTGCGGCGCAGTTGGGCAACGCGCCAATGGTCGTAGTGACTTAAATTCGCTTTTGCAGGCTGTTGAGGCTGGCGCCTGGTATGCAGAGGAAACTACGTACCCCTCCATGATGTATCGATCGTTCATGTGCGTGGCTGTGGTGATGACAACGAACAGCAGTCTGAATGTGGGTTCATTGTTAGTTGTAAGGCGTGGGTACGATGGATTCATGAGCGAAGGACGGTTGGCGTGGTACAAACCCCTGGTGGACTGCTGTGGCCGTTCTCTATGCACACGTCGAGTTCGTTACTTTTCGTTGCTCGCTACGACTCATCCGGTGGCGATGGCGCACCGCGATGCGGAACGTCCCCGAGGCCAGAGGTATTGGTAGTCTTCGAGTCTTCGAGTCTTCGCATGCGAGACGTGTGAAGGTTGATGTTACCACTTCGGCATATGGCTTGCCCGGAGATGTCGTCGAAATTCGCAAGGTCGTGAACACGTTCGAGAGCCAACGATGTCAACACGAACCGTTGCGGTGTAGATTGCTCGTGGTTGAACGCATGGAGGGTACAATCCCCTATCTGCTCCAATATGTGAATGGCTTGGGTAACGCGTTGAGCAAGTGACTGACAGAATTACCGAAGAGGCGCGGTATGAGGCGTTGGCGGTCCGGTTGCCTTCGGCGTATCATCGGATCAGACCGCCAACGAATATACGTCTCCTTGCATAGGGCTGGAGACTAATAGGTGGCATAGATCAGTGGGATAAGGGACACTGGCTGTCGTAACAATGACAGCAGGGGGTCACATCAAATATCAAGTCAAGGTATGTATAATACACTAACACATTCGGCCTGGGTGAGAGTTAGCAGTCCTCATCTGGGTCCACCAGCAGTGAGCGAGGATTCTTCCCTCCAGTGTTCCTGCTCACCAGATCGGCATGTGTACTATGTCCTTAGCGAAAGTCACGCGGCTCAGGGAAAACATCAACGTAAAGTTCAAGTCGTACTTGACCCCCTTTTTTGTATGCTTTGAATACATTGTAGAAGAGGCGATAGTAGTTCGACCATACTACTTCAGGGGCGCTATGAGTGTGTCTTTTCTGCTTTTCTTTCGTGAACAGCGCAATCTCGGCTGCGAAAGGCGTTCGACTTTCCGCCAATTGCATCTATGTTACGGTCGCAAACAACCTATTTTGTGCCACGCTCCTCTAGTCGCAATGGATCCTCAATCGTTCACCCATAGCAGGATGCCTTCTCGAGTCGTACAGCCATGATCGTAACCGGCTATGCTCGAATGTTGTGAACCTTCTGTGGCGGCACAATCACGACCTATGGATCCGCGATCGAACCGTAACATTGGAACGCACCGAGACCGGGATATGTCGAAAGAAATTGGCGAGCTCGAAGATGCAGTAACCGCACCTGGAAGAGATCCAGAGGTGAGCGCATGCCCGGTAGCGAAGGCAAGACAAAGAGCTTGATTGGCAGCATCCGTCATTATAACCTTCTAACGAAATAGAGCGAACAAGAGTCCCACAGACGCAGCACTCCTCTATATATTCTTACATGCAGCAACTGTGATCCACCGAGCAGTGCAGACAGCGAATTGGTCAAAGGCCAACCCCTCAAGCAACACCCCTCAGGTCCACGGCTCTGACGCATCTCCAGTGCTGATTCATCGTCGCCCAATTACGGACGTCGTAGGCAAAGCAAGATCGCCGGGAGTCTTCGCACGACGTGTTCCCTTCAATCAGTCTCTCTGTCGCTTACGACTCTACCAACAAACAATCGCATAGGGCGCAAGTACAGATCGCGCTCTGGGCATCGTAGGCTAATCATGGACGTGTACGCAGACAGGTCCGGCTGCTCTCCGAAGCTTCGTCGCCTTATAGCGTTCAAGACCGATGGAGTCACCTTTTATGCTTCGCATTCGATGACAATGCCGCAATCACACCAATAAACGTGCTGGGACTGGCAAGCAGATACTGACAGCGCGTGTCAAGTCCTTCATCGCCACCCTCCTGCCAAGAAGATGGTGCCACAATGCGGTTAGAAATCGAGAGTACGGTGAGTCCAACATCATCGTACCGGACGTTCGGCCAATCCGTCAGCGACATTAAGCAGCAGAGACTGCGTGATTGCTCCTTACTATGCAGGCCATTCGTTCAAAAGCTATTGGACTGAAGGATACTCCGACATCAGCGGGTGCAGATTGCGGCAGGCATTATCGAGACCTATGAAGCGCGAGCGGGTGAACATTCAGCACTCTAGCTGCAGATACCTAGTGAACGGGAAAGAGAATCAAGAACCAGTTTTTCACGACGTCGACGCATAAATGCCCTCAGTGTCGCAGCTCAATACAGCATCTGTGCAGCTAGAACACGCCTAGTGCTGGAACGGAGAGAGGTGAAGTCGCAGGCTTCATGCCCCCCTTGACCCTACGGCCATTAACTTTGCCGACTGTCTACTCGCTGAACATGGACACTCTCCGCCCGCTGTGTTCTGTACGGCAACAAAAGCCAGATTCACAAGCTTGGAGAAGCGTATGGGCGGAGGTAACTGTATCGAAGCGAGCCTGGAGATATGGCCAGTTTCCCGCAGAAGCCAAGTATCAGTCACTATGCCTTACATGCTCATATAGACACCATGAACCTGTGCAGCTATGTGGTCGTGAGTCAGGCCTACAGGGCGGCTCTGTTACGAGGCGAGCTGTCGCTCGCCTCGTAACCGACTTCAGCAATCGCCACCGATGGTGTAGCGGCTTCGATCGACCCTCCACGAAGCCGAATTTGATCGGACGGCAGAAGCTGCCAATGATTCAGAATGATCACTTGGGACCAGTGCGCGCAGTCCCATAGATCACCATATTAACGCCAATGCTAGCGGAGACGGGCGGTTTAAGCAAGCCTTCGTCATACACGCTACAATTGCATCTTCGCTGCATTCGCCGTACATAAGTGGATTTACCGCGTATTGATACTTCTATCGCTGCTCATGATGCACTTGGCATCGCGCACATTGAGCAGGACGCTTTATCTACACAGGGTGTCGGCTAGGCAACGAAGCGGTAAGCCTTGAATGCAGGAAGTGCGGCGCATGCTGAGCCAGTCCGTTGCTTCTTACCGTCACGATAGTAGTGCCTAGTGCTGCTGCGAATATCCAACCATACGTGCTATCGAGACGAGCAATGCGGCTTGTTCGACTATAAGGTTCAATATATTCCATATCCTACTTGCTCTGCAGACCGATCACCAACTTCAAGCCGCCGTTTACCGCTTAACCCATCAGACCGGTCTAACACTGCCAAGCGCGGTGTTGACTCTGTCATTTATCCCTGGCTGTCGACCTCTATGATGCTCCGCTTTGTCTTGTGACCTCTCCCTCGTACTTCTTCTCTAGCTGATCCACACTTGCTTCCCTCGTACAATGCTGGTGACAAGCAGTGCTGAATGCCGGTTTACGAAGCAGCTAGGCTGCGAGATATTCCACCACTGCTGCATGATGGACTTTGCCCCATCCGTAAGCGCCATGTAAGCCCTTGCCAGACATGAACATCCGACTGGCATTTCCGGATCCCCTCGACTTTCCGTTTCCTTGCGGCCGACTCGTCAACGTGTGACTGCACTCAGCATGCGGCACCGAGCCAAGCCAGAATGACAAGGCTAGGGCCACCTCGCTGTCGACACTTTCAGTCTTCATTACCTTGTCTATTGCCAGCCTGAAATGTGCTTCGTTGTCCTTGTATGCAGCTGCTATGCCAGAGAATCAGCTCCTTGTGCATAATTGCTGGGTGATCTTGCAAAGTTGATGTTGTTCTCTGGGTGCGTCAAGGAAAGACGTGGGTCTTCAGTAGCGGCTATGCATGTGAATATGAACGTTGCAGCCGGTTCCTGCGCTCTGCGCTAAACCCAGAAATGGGTTTACGCAAGTTCTAGTCGCCTTCCGTTCACGACGCCAAGGGTAGAGCGATGAAAACCGTCAAGCACCTCCGCGTTCGATTGGCCCAGGAGCTTAGCAAGGACCAAATCCGCCCTTAGGTATCCTCTTGTCAGCATCGCCAACGCAGCGAATCTACAGCACATACGGGCCACACAAGGCACGTTCGGCCATGTAGCATAACTCATCCTGCCATATACACGGACGTCACCATGTCCTCACTACTCGATCCGCCGACAAAAGACGAAGCCTTTGAGCATCTTACCGACTTCATACTCGAAGGCAACGGCACGTACACCATAGCCATCATGCTTCTCGCACTCAAGTGCCGCAAGGTTTCGAAGGATGTCATGGACGAAGTTAGGGCAGACGAGGTCTGCGGAGTATGTAAGCGCCGGCTCAACAGTCCAGTGCACATCAGCAACTTCATTCAACTACGTTGTGAGCACATACTGCACAAAATTTGTGTCGTGAATTGGGCGCTCGGAAGACGAAGCGGGACTGCCCGCATTGCGACTTCCCACTTACGCCGGCGGACGAAGATCAGGACTCAAGCTGGGCAGTTAGACCGGGTGGGCGGTGTGATGGAGTGCAGTATGATGATTCCACAGTCACTGATCTGTTCGAATCAACATCGAAGATGCATGCGACGGCCTTTGTCTCCTACGTCTACGCTGATTCAGCGAAGAAGAGTCAACTTCACGAGCGCTTCTCGTCTCGAGCTGAGCTACCGGCAGCGATCTCGTACGTTTGGAGGCACATGGAGGGCTATATTGCGACGCCGAACAACATCTTGACCTCGCCGCGGCAGAAGAAGATTGCAGCGGACAAGCAATCTGCGGTAACATCTCCGAACAAGAAAACGTACCGCTTCCGAGGCGCAAGGTATGAAGAAACCAAGGATACGCTGCCGGAGTGGCTTGAAGACGAGCAGTGAGCGGCTGGTGTAGGGTGAAGAGTATTGGCCTCCGAGATGGCCATATCAACATGGCGGTCTACCATGGAGTGGCCCAGCGAGATTGCGGCCATTAAGCTACCGAAGCGATAAAGGGCGCCGTACGAGCGGTCAAACAGTGAGACATTTGCGTGACCGGAGTAAATACCGCAACGCGACTGCGAGCCTGGAATTTGTGAGACATGGAAACCATGATTCAAGCCGGTATCATGGGCAGTCATCGGCATCGGCGAAGGATGGTATTGGCACCCGGATGTGCACATTGGTGAGCCGGCATGTGGGCAGTGGCTCGGTACGGGCGGCATCCAACACGATATCACGGGGCGCTTCGTTGACGTTCGCTTGTCGTAAACAATCCCTCTTTGCACTGCGTACTTCACACTTTGTGCTCGATGACCATGATTTCCATCGACCGTGTGAAGTCGGCCTTTGCTTGCACTCGGCGACGATCGTCCGGATAATGTTGCGATCGCTCCTTGGTTCAACATCATGGCTACAGCAGAATGCCATCAGACGCCGGGCAAGTCACAATAGCGATTAGGGACACTGCATCGCTGATGTATCGACCCGTCATGTCAAGCATGCAACAGCAGGAGGACTGAGTCGAAAGATGTCAAATGCCGAACGTCTCCAGTTTAGCCGGCGTCACGGCTGAAGTCTTCAGTGCAGCTCTCCACATCTTCCTCCACATCACAGCGGAGGCGCGAGTTCAGGGACGACGGAGAAGGCCAAGCAACCGCAGTCGCGGAATCCAGCCTGACCGCTAGCCGTAACGGCGTGCATGACCAGATTTTCCACCAATTGAAAGATGCAGGACTCCGCGCCTCACCATTGTCACCCCAAGTTTCAGTGATCAAGTCTGGAGGCTTACTGCTTCCACGGTCTGCCGCATGGAGTCCGGAAGCACGGCAGGACTGGCCATGGGCCTTTCCACGAAGTCTATATACCTAGAGCGTTCGCCGCTACTAGTTACTGGAGTCTTTTGCACTCCTAACCGTCAAACTCTCGCACCTTAGCTGCCAAAGCGTGCCTCTGTCAGCGCAAATATGGGGTTCGGTATGAGGATCCTCAATGCGCTTGTGAAGAATGACAGTATGAAGATCGACCCGCCTGAGATCTACGTACGCAACTTGAACATAAGTCTGATTCCAGATCTGTGACCGCTGACAGCTATGTCAACCCCTTTAGAACTGGAGGGTAAGCGAGCAACGATACATTCCATGCTACTGGGGATATGAGTGGTGCTGACACTGTGTGCGCCACAGGTACTCTTACTGGCATGCGCAAGCTGCTTCGGCGGGACGCTGTAAGAGACCGAGCCATCTCGCCAAATCGGTCCAGGACTGACTCAGTAAACAGCTTCGGGGTGGACATCGGCATTATCGGAGGTGTCGTAACGAACGCGAACTTTCAAGAGTATTGCCTCCTTCACCCATCGAGTCCCTACAAGCCAGTCGTACCTAACGAGACTCCAGAGTCTATGGCTTCGCAGCCCTCGGGTCCAAAGGCGCCAAACTCGCCGACGCGCAGCTCTCTGCCAACATCGTTTCTGTCATGCAGGCCGGAGCCTTTGCTGGCGCTCTCCTGGCCAACCCAATCGCTGACCGCTACGGACGCAAGCCCGGATTGCTCACGGCCGCCACGTTCGCGGCAATAGGCGGGCTGATGCAGGCTGCTTCATCTGGCAGCCTTGGAGCTCTGTATGCCGGTCGAGTCATCGAAGGTTTGGGACTGGGTGCCGCAACGATGTTGACGCCAACGTACATCTCCGAGAACGCCCCTCGAGCCACTCGTGGAATGTTGGTTGGCCTGTACCAGCTCTTCGAAACCATGGGTGCCATGATCGCCTTCTGGATCAACTACGGGTGTCTACTTCACGTCAAAGGCCGAGCGCAGTGGCAGATCCCACTCGCCATGCAGTGCCTGCCCGCCTTCCTTCTCTTCACGCTCATGCTGCTTTGCAATGAAAGTCCGCGGTGGCTAGCAAGGACGGATCAATGGGAGAAAAGCTCAAAGGTGCTGTCGTACGTTCGCCATCTTCCCGAAGACCATCCATACGTCCAAGCAGAGATGCTAGAGGTACGTCATCGACTTCCTTGCCCGCTGTCCGATGCGTTGCTGACAGATGTACTCTCGACGTAACAGATGAAGCGGCAGCTAGAAGAAGAGCTGGCAAGCGTGAACGGCGGTCGAGGCTTCTCCGCAATCATGAGAGAAATGTGGACAGTGCCTGGCAACCGAAGAAGAGCGTTGTTGAGCATCGGATTGATGATCTGCCAGCAGGTGAGTTGGTTCCGTCTCCGCTTCGAAGACTGCGCAGCGAGGTCATCAGACTGACGTGAGACCTGCAGATGACCGGTACAAACGCCATCAACTACTATGCTCCTACCATCGTAAGCATATCCATATGTAACAGTGAGCATCGTTCCAAACGTTACTAACCCAATGCCACCCCATGATAGTTTAAAGCGCTCGGCGTTACAGGTACGCCCAACCCTGACGACAAGCCTCACTTCACGATGAGACCTCGCTAACGATGTTCGATGTCTCCAGGCAACGCCCAGTCGCTCTTTGCAACTGGCGTCTACGGCATCGTGAAAATGGTCTCATGCGGCCTCTTCTTGATCTTCCTTGCCGACACCCTCGGCCGTAAGTGGAGCTTCATCTGGACTGGGTTGGTTATGATGACCATGATGTTCTGTACGCAGGCCCTGGAGCAACACCCCCTGCTTGCGGCCAAAGCTTGTACGGGACGTTACTGACTGGGTCTAGATCTCGGCTTCTATCTGCGTTTCGATCTACCAGTCGCCGGCAAGCCCGTTGGAGGTGCGTAAACGAAGCACAGAAGAGTGTTTGGTAACGGAATGATCGCTAACAGCTGCATTCTTCGCATTATAGGTGCTGGAACGTTTGCGCTGGTTGCAGTGTATCTCTTTGCCGCAGCTTTCCAATTCGGATGGGGACCTGTGTGCTGGATCTACGTCTCAGAAATCCCGACTAGTCGGCTGAGAGGGCTTAATGTCAGCCTTGCGGCGGCAACGCAGTGGCTGTTTAATCTTCTGGTGAGTCGAAGACAGCGCTCGGTACATGCACCATGTTGCTAACGATGACCCTGCAGGTCGCTCGAGTGGTGCCGATCATGCTCGTGACAGTCGGTAAGGGTGGCTACGGCACCTACATGTTCTTTGCGTGCATGTGCGCGACCATGGTTGCAGGAGCATGGTTCCTCGTGCCGGAGACCAAGGGTATCAGTTTGGAGCGCATGGACGAGCTGTTCCATACCGCCAACTTCGGTAAACACCACACATGGACTTTCGTCGCTTCCAAGAGTGGAGCACCGCTAACGGCTTTGCAGGTGATATCGAAGATGTTGGTGTTGCTGCGCAGACGGGCCATCTTGAGAAAGCAGCATTCGAAGGGGTGCATGTCGAGAAAGCTTAGACGGCCATTCATATGGCAAGATCAGACCTCTGTAAGGACGCGACCACGAGTGAGCAATACATACAGATACCTACGAGCAAAACAATATAGCCTCCAGTTGCACGTGGACTGTGTGATAACGGATGCAGTGTTGCGGAGACGGTCGTGAAAGCGATGCTTCTTGCCCGTGCATGTCACTCTGGCTGCCTGTTTCGTCCACATGCACTCCTCCGAACATGTTTGGTGAGGACATAGGACTTCCAGACGGATGCCATATCTTGCATTCTGAGTACATGTAGCTTTCTCCATGTCGTCCAGATCTCGGACTCTGCACCGAGAGTCTTCAGCTTATTCCTGCGAATGGATCAGCCTCGCGTTCAAGTGAAACATTCCGAGTCACGTGTTGACGGCACTTCCGGCACGCAATGGATGCACGGCAACTTGCCGCTCGGCCATTCCCGCTCAGCGCCTCCATATCCAATCGACCTCGACTTTCATCTCCTCTAATGCATTCCCCTGCAAAGCCATTCCTCTCTGGCCGTCTCACTTTCTAGCGTAGGAACACAGCGCTGCCAGGTGAACAATGGTTGGCCAACTCGCTGAAAGTGGGGATGGGCACATCGAAGAGCAGCGTGCGGGTTGCATGGTCTCCAACGCGCGACCGCATGCGCAACGATGCAAAGGTAGGCTGATATCCCTGAGAGCTGGCTAGATTTCCTGCTTATGTTTCTCTCCTTGCGTTCATCTCTTCGTCTTCTACTGTCAATACAATTGTGTATCTTAGAGCGTACTGAATCTCGGGCGAAGATGCTGCGACATCATCGAACAACCCTCGCCGTGCTGGCAGTATGGATGGCTTCCTTGGTGCTTGCGCAACTCAATCCCGTAGACCCGCATGCAAAGGCCGCCTACTTCGTCACCAACACCACCACTGGCGCAGAATACGTGGTAGCCATGAACTTCGTTGAGAGCACAGGAGACATCTACATCCACATGTCCGTAGATTCGTCACGGAGTTGGGTGGGTGTAGGAATCGGTGATCAGATGCAGGGGAGTCTCATGATCATCGCATACACGAGCGAGAATGGCACTGGGGTAACGGCGTCACCACGTATTGCCACGGGACACAGCGAGCCGGAGTTGGTCGGCGATGGTTCAATGTTTGAAAAGATATGGACCGACGAGTATGCGCCGAATTGCAACACTGCCACACCCATCATCATGATCGCTCACGGCGTCTGTCGAAACTGCTCGCACTTGAGCACCAACAAGCTCGACTACACCAGCAAAGCTCAGCCTTTCATATTCGCAGTGGGACCTCCTGCACATCTGAAGGACGACAGCCTCGATGCTCCGCTGAGAAGGCATGAGTCCTTTGGCCGCTTCACGATGGATATGACGCAAGCGACCACTCCGCGAGACTTCTCCGAAGGTGCAGACTATGGGTGAGCAATTGTACCCGTAAAAGCCTGCTTGCTGTCAAAGACTCCGCTAACGTTTAACCCTTCCTTCTGCAGACGAGTGCCTCCGCCTAATGTTCGAAGTGTCATTCCCAACCAGGACATCTACTTCCAATCGAATGGGTCATCGTTGCCGTACCTGACGCAAAGGGACAGCGATCCCATGTGAGTCGCGCATCCAGAGGTAGTGGTGAAGTTCCTGCTGACTTGAGACACTATCGACAGGCCCATAGTGCATGCCGTTGTTATGTGCTTCGCCTTCGTGGCCGTCTTCCCGACGGGCTCACTGCTCCTGAGGCTCTTCCAGAGCGTGACTTGGCATTGGGTAAGCCGCCGCAAGGACAGCCATCGAATATGTCACGTCAGGAGCGAATGCTGATTGCCACATAGGCTGTGCAATGCATTGGCGTGCTGCTCGTCATCGTCGGCCTCGCTACCGGCGTATCGATCAGCAGAGAGTACAATCGCGGCAAAGGCTTCACCTCCGCGCACCAAGTCCTCGGCCTCCTCCTCTTCGCCGGCGTCATTATCCAGCTCGGGCTCGGTATCATCAACCACGCCATCCACAGGCGGACAAAGCAAGGCACCGCCTTCGGCAAGGTCCATCTCTTCCTAGGACCAACCGTTATGCTCCTAGCTCTCATCAACGGCGGGCTCGGCCTCAACTTAGCCGGCGACACCCAAGGCCACGTTCCCTACGCCATCGCCGTGCTGGCAGCGGGCATCCTCTTCATCCTCGCCCGAGCCTGGATTCATCTCTTCATGAGCCATGCGCAGTACAAGCCCGAAGAAGCCGTGGAGCAGTATCCGTGGCAGAACTCCTTCGGTCTGCCCAGCTCGGGAAGCCCCTTCCAGGATGTCGAGACTCCCGCGAGCTATAAGAGCGAAGTCACCAATCCGTTTACGTTTGAGATGGCGAGTCCGGTCACCATGGCGCCGATGAGTCCGCGGTGGCCGGCTCCGCCGAAAAGGACGTTTAGTTCGGCTTCTGCGGCGAGTAGGTCAACGATGGCGCTTAGTGAGCGAGAAACATTTGTTGGGCAGGACTACTACATGAAGGAGGTGGGGTTTGGAAGGTGAAGACTGCGAACTTACGGCTCGGTTGAGCGTGACATTGTGCGTTCAGCATGGCGTTGGAAGGCATTTCAGCATGATTCGGCAGTCTTAGGCGAAGCAGCAATGTCGCAGCCACGTACTTTGCACCATGCATACATCATAGTCGCTGTGGCTTTAGGCAGTCACAATGCCTTGCCCGGCAGTAAGAATGAATGCGCACAAGGACCGAGACAGGTGCCACTGCGATTGTCTGTGCTGCGAAGTTTGAATCATGTGGATCATGAACCTAATCTGGCTGGTCATTGAGCTTTGAAGTCTAGGCGTCGCTGACTGCACTATGGCGACCACTGGAACAAGCGCCAAAGTGGTCTGCCAAGGATAAACGGCGGTTGTTGTGTCACTACAGGTTCCGCGGCATTGGGTTCCACAAACACCTTCATAACCGCGGGGAAGCAAGGTGAGAATGTAGCCCGCAAAGCACGAAGGCCGTTACAGGACGCCAAGGCCAAGGAAGATCAAGACCGCATGGCACTGTTTCATGTTGACTACAGCAGAGTGACTTCTCCAGATAATGCGATGGAGTTATGACATGTCCATGAAGTCACTGTCACAACCATGATGGGTCAGTTCTCTCGGATTTGGTGTACTTGGCTTTCGCGATGAACGAGTTGCAGGATCTCCGGCAGTAACACCACGGAGTACTTGCGTTTGCACGCCGTCACACAGCAGGCATTGATGGTGGCCTTCGATGCGTTATCGCGGATATTCCATATTACGGAAGGATACAAGACTATCTCGCAGAGTCTGAGTCAAGGTAAGACCTTGCGATATACGAAGGAATGAGATGCACTGTGCGCATTTAGTGGCGTAGTACTCTGTGCCGTCTATACCGCACCAAGACATGGATGTTGCCAAGGAAGCGGGATGGGTAAATTTAGTTGTCAGACTGGCGGCGGTGGCTTTAATGGTGACCTCATCCCAATGCTCGTGTCAGCGGGCTCTACTCGTACTGCTCGTACTACGAAAGCATCGGAGGTGGTTCGACGAAGCTTGGGATACGAACCATGATCAATACACAAGACATGCAAGGCCAAACTCTTCTATATAATGCAACTCCTTTGGTGGACCGCTCCACATAGCCTAATGTAGATCGACGCTGGCGTCCATCCGGTTTCTGCTAGTGTTGCGCCTGAAGCGGCTAGGGCGTTCGGACTTCCTCCTCACCAGCCGTTCGCCGGCCAATCGCCCAACAGCCTCCGGCAATCTTTCATAGTCGAGCTGCTTCTCCTCTCTCTGTCAGCCTTTACGCCAGCCAGCCTGTGCAGCAGCAGCAGCAGCAGCAGCAACGACAAGCCAAGGCCCAACCACAGGACCACCATGGACGTCCTACGACACATTCTCGAGCGTGAGCCTCAAGGTGGACCGAACGGCGGCAACAATGCCCAGCAGAGTGCGGCTTCAGCAGCGCGAGCCAGCTTCGTCAGCTCGCAGAGTGCAGCCAGCGTGGCCAGTGTTGCGTCGGTCGCATCAGTAAGCGCCGCCTCGGTCGCGAGCGTATCATCGGAGAGCGCAGCCAGTGCGGCGAGTGTCGCCAGCGTTCAGTCGGCGGACAGCGCTGCCTCCGTTGCGTCGGCAGCTTCGGCAGCATCGGCAGCATCTGTTGCTTCCGCGGCGACGGCGGCCGCGACATCGACGACCGATGCCTCAAGCCTGTCGACCAGCATCGCTCTGGCAGCGAGCACCACGGCCACCCTAACCACACCGACATCGACCAGCAGCACAATCAGTTCGAGCTCCAGCTCGACGTCCTCTCCCTCTCCGACAACCTCCAGTCTCTCGACGAGCAGCATTGTCTCGACCTCGTCTCCCTCCTCGATTCCCTCCTCATCCGCCCTGGCACTGTCGAGTTCACCGTCTTCGAGCAGTCAGACCACATTCAGCACCTCGAAGACTTCTTCTCTCGCTCTTGCCGCAGCGCCATTGTCATCCTCGCAAGCTTCCCTCTCAACGAGCTCAACCCGCTCCTCCACCCTTGCCGCAGCATCAGAAGGCAACACCCTCCTTCCTCTCACCAACAACGCTCACCACGGCGCCGGTATCTCGTCTGGTGCACTCGCGGCCGCCGTTCTGGTCCCAATCCTCTTCGCAGTCTTCGCACTCGTACTTGGCCTCTTCTGCCTTCGCCGAAGGAGTCGTGAGGCTCGCAACACCAACGCACTGCCCATGACCGAGAAGGCTGCTGTCGGCGGTGCCGCCGCAGGAGGCGCCGCCGGTCTTGCTCTGACCAGCGACCGCAACCGAACCTACATGACCGGCCTCGACACCTCCTCGCAAGGCTCCCAACGCGACCAAAGCGGCGAGTTCTACCAGCCACCACCTCCCTACAAGGCCAAGGCTCTTTCTTCCACGGGAGGCAGCGCCCTCGGCCAATCACCATCCATGCCCGAAATCCCCGCCGCAGCCTCTCTAGGCGTGCACCCAGCAATGCGCGAACAAGCCGACAACGTTTCCCCATTCGCTGACCCTGTCCCCGAGGCCGCCGCAGCTGGTGCCGGAGCCGGAGCCATAGGCCAAGCCCACCTCGGCCTCCCCACCGACCGCCCCACGACCTCACGCTCGCACAGCTTCCGCTCAGTCGACAGCGACGCCTACTCCGACACCGCCAGCGTGCACTCAGCCCGAGCAGCCCGTCGCAGCGTCGGTCCACAGATCTTGGGCGCCGGCGTGGCCACGGATCCCTTCCAAGATCCGGAAGGCACCGGTTCCGATGCCAACGAGGAACGACGACCAGTCAGTCCCATCACCAGCGAATACAATGCTCGTGCCTCAAGCCAAGCGGCGCCTGAAGGCGAGAACGAGGTCTTCCGCCGGCAAATGCACTTTGTTGACCCGCGGTCTGCCACTAGGTGGTATTAGGTCCGGTTTAAGGCAACCGCGGAGGAGATGGAAGCTCGTTAGCGTATAGATGGTTCACGGGAAGCAGTCAATGGAATGAGAATGACGACTTACCTTTTCTTTTCGAATGACGGGGGTATTACTGTGTCGATGTCAAGAAGTATATGTAGCACGACTTGTCTGTCCGCCAACCCGTCGTGTTTTGAGCAGGACTTTATACATGGCTGGCATCGAGCGCTTTTGGGGCGCCGGCGTATGCAGAGACGGCTGACAGGTTTCGGTCGGCGAACGAAGGACGGTAGATCTCTCTCCGTTACTCAGATAGCTTGGACGTAATGACAGACCAGAACGGCACAATGTGAAATGTTCTTTCCCGTACATAGACTTGTGTATGGTGTCGTGTCCTGTCCCAAGCGTCCATTTACCTGCACATACATAAATGGGACACCTAGGTGTTGCCGCTCATCTTCACGTGTCCGCTTGTTGATATTATCATTATCCGAGATGGGAATGGTGAGATGACTCTGCTATTCACCTTCGAGACGATCCAGGAATGCAGCACACATCGCTTTGCTTTGCTTTCGATAGACGAGGGTGGTACTGCAGTCCTTGATATAAAAGCCACACTGCGCGGATACAGCTGCAAGCAACTAAAGCTACAGCCGCAAGTGCTCCCTCCCCGATTCCAGCACATCAACGAGCCATTGCCGTTCCCTCTCCACTCGCTCATCCTTCATCCGCCAGTTCTCTCCAATCATCCTGCCTCCAAAAACGATCTCCTCCGCCCTGCCCTTCAAATAGCGAGGCCTCTCCATTACAGCAGGAGGCGATTCTGGGTTCGCGGAGTCATGCCGGAAAGTTTCGGTGTTAGATCCTCTGTCCTCGCCGACTGGCTCCTTGGAATCGTTCACCAGCGATAATCGTCGACCTAACACCGACTCCAGCCACGCTCTGACGTCCTGTATGTACAAAGCCACATTTCTACCCGCTCGATACTTCTCCTGACCAAGATGCGGCATCCCACTGGGCAGTGGCTCAACCATCATCCTCCGCCTATACTCGGCCCTGTCCTGCCTCGGGATCCACGGCGGATAGTTCTCCCATCGCTTGTCGAACTCCTCCTCGTGCTTCTTTATCCGTGTATTGAGCTTGGCGCATTTAGCAACCATTTCAGCGGAATGCACGCTTTTGTTGCGGGTGAGAGTTGACTGTCTGAACGGTTCGACGGTGTAGCCTAGAGCGGCGGCGCGGTTGCGTGCGGCTTGGGCGCAGGAAATAGTGTCGCGGGGTCCGTTGGTCATGTTGAGGACTTTGGAGGAGTAGGAGCGGTCGTGGGTAGGTTCGCCGGATGGGGGGTCCATGATGAATGTCGGTTGTGTACTAGACAAGTTGGAAGTTCTCACCGGCTTCTCGATGGCTGGCCGCTTGATGGCACGTTTGTTTGGTGTTGCAGCTGTGGTGGTGGTCGTCTTCTCGCTTCTGCTTTCACGTTCACCTTCACCTTCGCTACTTTCATGTTGGCCCTCACCTTGGCACTGGCGTTGGCTTTCACGTTGGCCTTCACGCGAGCCTTCACCTTCGACATCATAATCCTGCCTCTTCCTCTTCTTGCCTGCAATTTTCTCCATGACAACCGCGTTCGCCACGCTCGCGTCCGGCTCGTTCATAGGAGTGCCCACCTCCGCCTTCTTTGGGATACCACCTTTCGTGCCGCTCTCCAAGCGCAACTCGGGCTCGTCAACGGCAGTGTTAGCAACATCCACCTTCGCTTTCTTCGCAACACCACCATCATCCGCGCTGACACTCTCCTCATCGTCCACGATCAGCGCACTCTTCCTCTTCTTATGCCTCGTCGACTCGAACTGAAGCCATTCGGTAGGCGTATCATCGGTCAACTGATAGATGGACCCTTTTGAGCGGTATTAGTGGGATGTCGTGCTAATTGGCAATGGTGAATGTACTGACCTTTCCACGAATACGTTGGCCCCTCGACTGCCCCTCTCTCACCATTCAATATGGCTTCGTTGGCATCGAGGCGCAACTTCTTAAGCTCACGTTGCTGTTTCGCGGTCAAGGTTGAGGGGCCGGCTTGTTCGTTGTTGTTGACGGGCTGAGAGGGGAGGGAGTGACGTGTTGTTACCATGGCTGTTGCTCAACGATGCTGTACTTTAAAGAGAAGTTGATCAAGTTTGGCATGATAGATTTGAAGAATGTGGCATCATGTTTGATCGTCGTGAGACAACAATGCGGGAGTATAAGCTTCATGTTTCATTCACACGCGCGAGCTCCAGCCATGTGCCTGACAAGCCACATCCCACATCCCCGCGGCGATCCTGCAGCCAACCATCGCCACTGACTCGGTCAATCGTTAGCCATGTGCTGTACTACAACGATCCCTTATGGCCTGTGCTACCGATCTGGAACTGCACTTGAGTTGTTACCTAAGCAATTTGGATATTCACCAACAGCATCGAGTACAAGTTAATGCTTGTGTGAGGTTTGGTCTGAGCGATGACTCGGCATCGACTTGAGGATCCTACTTCCTCACGCACTAGAGGGAGAAGTTGATTGATGACGGTATCAGCATATCGCACCGTCGACAACGAACCACGCGCGCCGGTACACGCTGACGAACCTACAAAGACCCTCCGAATGTTCACATATGGTGACAAGGCGGCCTGAGGAGGGATTGCAGCCTTCCCACGTTTGTCGATGCCCACCATGACTGCCATAAGCCTACTTCAACAGTTGGCGGCAGAAATCTGGCATCGAGCGCGGAGCAGCCATAACCGCTGTTCTTTCCACTGAAGGTGATGGCACTTTGCCGGACTGATGGCTTACAATTGTTCCCCATGCAGCACTACTCATGGTGGCCACACAGTGAGTAGCAAGTGGACCCGTGTCACTGGTCGGGATGGTGGCGTGGCTTCGGCTCCAATATGATGGCCTGGCTACGAGAACGTGGAGACAGTTACCGTGAGAATGTGGATTCTCACTGCACCGCCACAAGCCTTTGGCGTTCGAGATGCGAGCTATGACCAGCGCCATGCCGACACACCCCTGCATGCGATCATCATCGTCAACCGTTTCTTGGAAAGTCTTCGTTGCGGCATCAGACACACCACCGTTTTTCCCACACACCCTCCCTGTCTCCTGCCTACAAGTCACTCCTTGATACTGCATCCGCACTGACACTCGCTGGCCGCATTGCATTCTTTTCCAACCACAATCACTATCACATCAATCACTGACTGTCGTCATCTTCACTTCTACTGCGCGGAACTCACCGGAAAACCTTCGCTTCATTGAAAAGACGACCACACGACCATCATGCGCACCGCATCCATAGCGACCAGCTCCCTCCTCGCCATCAGCTCCGTCTACGCCCTCCCAGAGATCTCGATAGGGAAGCGGGATGCCGGTCTGCAGCAGTCGCCAGCAGCCAAAGGCGCAGTAGCGAAAAAGCTGGCGAAAAGGCAGAGCGGGACTCTACAGACAACCGTCTACGACATCCTCGACTACAGCTACGGCGGCGCCTACTATGCCAACATCACTGTAGGCACACCGCCGCAGAACCAAGTCGTCATCGTGGATACCGGGTCATCCGATCTTTATCTTGATGCATCCTCCGCGCCCGCTTGCAATGGGCCGGAAACGGCGTACAGCTGCCGCGGAGGCACATTCGACCGCAACTCCAGTAACACCCTCAAGATCGTCGAACCGGCACCCGCATTCAACACATCCTTCGGCGACGGCTCGACCGCTGTCGGCCCGTTCGCAACGGACGAGGTCTGCGTCGGGTCCGTATGTGTCTCGAATGTACAATTCGGTATCGCAGAGGAGGTCAACTCCACCAGCGGCTTCGCCGTAGGCCTGCTCGGCCTCGGGTATTCCGAAAACGAAGCAACCAACACCATCTACCCCAACCTCCCGGAGGTGCTGAAGAATGCAGGCGTGATTAGCAGCCGGCTGTACTCCGTCTTCCTCAATGACTTCGCCGCAATCTCCGGCTCCATCCTCTTCGGCGGCATTGATACCAGCCGCTTTTCCGGCGCACTGGCGACCCTCGACTTCCTTCCTAGTGCGCGGAGCGGCGTAGTCGACGCATTCATCACGACCGTCACCGCCGCTTCGGTGACGGTGGGTGGCACGAGCACGAAACTGTTCTCCGGCGGCCACAACTCCGTCCAGGCGTACCAATCGTCGGATCCCGCGCTTCCGGTTTTGCTCGACACGGGTTCGACGGCGTGGAGTGTCGATGAGAGTATCTACAACCAATACTTCGCCAAGCCTTTCTCTTGGGTGGATGACCAGGGCTTGTGCTCGTGCAGCCATCAGAATGACGATACGTCCATCACGCTTGAGTTCGGTCTGAAGGTCAACATCACCATCCCCATTCGCGAATTCGTGGTGCCGATCTATAACGCCAGCACCAACACTGCGATTCCATACGGCAACAACCAGGGCGACGCTTGTGCGTTCCTGATCTCGCCCTCGGAGTCAACCGGGCAAGGTACGCATGTCCACACTCCCTAAACCTCACATATCTCAGAACACCATCACTAACACAACCCCTCACGTAGGCTTCCAGCCCATGGGCGACGCCATCCTCCGCAGCATGTACGTCGTCTTCGACCTCGACAACGGCCAAGTCTCTCTCGCCCAAGCCTCCCTCAACTCCTCCACCCGCTCCAACGTCGTTTCCGTCGGCGCGGGTCCCTCAGGAGTCGCATCCGCTCTCCGCAGCGCAAGCAGCACCGTCTCATACCTCCCCGCCTCGACAAGCCAGACATACAGCATCGCCCCTTACGTCACCGGAGCGGGATCGTTTGCTACGTCGAGTGCCGCTACGCCAGTGGGTACGGCCACGGGCTCGCGTGCTGTGCCGTTTGATGCGCAGGTCTCCGTCAGTGCGATGGGGATTGTTAGCGCGGCTCCCGCGAGCGCGGCGACCGCGACCGCTTCGGCGCCATCGGGTAGTGCGTCGAAGAGTAGCGCTGCCGCAACGGGGACGGTGGTACGAGGGGCGTCTGGCGTGGTTTGGGTGCTTGGGGTGGTGGTGTGCTCAGTGTTACTGGGTGGTGCATTGATTCTGTAAACGCCTGGAGAGGCCTGTGAATGGCACAGAATAGATGGCGACATGACATTGCGTTGCCTTTGCTATCCTCCCTTATTCTTCACTAACATCACCTCTGTGAGCTTATGGGTTCGCCTGCACATCGTCCTTACCATGTCCACCATCTTCCCATCCCCTCTGTATCTCAGGGCAAGAGGATGCGGATGGTTTCCGCACATGAAGCATGAAGCCTCCTCCCCTTTCGAGACTGGATCTTGATTCTAACATTTCATGTACCGACCGCATCACGCTCTCTAGCTCTTACAGTAACATCAATCCAGATATATGCATTGTGGAGCTTTAAGAGTAGGAATGGCGCGTGAAGAGTGGAAAGTAGTCCCACTGTATTGTTATCGCTGATCATCATTACCCACCATCAAACCTCCGGACACCAAGCCCGTTCAGGCAGGTTGCATACCATCACCGAAACTTTGGACCACTGACGCTACCACACGATAGGAAGCTGCTGTTTCGTCTGTAACACCTGTAAACTAAGAGGGTCATGTCGCAATCGGATCTGCGGTGACGGTTCGTTGACACGAACGCTACGGGTGCTCCACCCGGTTGAGAAGCCGGTATCGTAGAAGGTCCACTGTAGAAGGTCCACTGTGACCGGAGTCGTGGAGAAGATGTAGGTATATCTCGCTCGTCTGCCGCCTACCTTCAGGGCCGGAAATTGAAGCCGTGTGCGTTTGTACGAGACTGACCGCCGTGATGAAGTCGGTGGGTTTGCTTGCTACTGCCCTTGGCGCAACCGGCCTGGTTCTCGCACAAGGACCAGGACATGGCGGTTACGGCGGCAGCGGGCATGGTGGACACGGCATCATTGGTGGGCATGGGCGTCGAGGAAACGGTGATGGCAACGGCAACGGCTATGGCAAGATGGGGCATTGGTATATGCCCAATCCTTCCGATCCGGCGCCTGCGTCTACTGGCAACGCCACCTTCACCCAGGTTCGTTACGCCGAAGATCATGAAACTTGCTTACTTGCTGTCTGGGATATGGCTCACGGTTTTGCCTCCTTGATGTTGTAGTTGATTGACCATACCGATCCATCCGTGGGAACTTTTGAGCAGTTCTATTACTACAGCACCGAGTTCTGGGGAGGTCCGGGCTCGCCGGTCATACTCTTCACGCCGGGAGAGATTAACGTCACTGGTGTGCTTCGCAATCAGCAGCAAGGCTTCGTAAGAACGGCAGGCTGATGTTGCCACAGGGTACCAGAGCTACCTTACCATCAACCGCACGACCGGAGTGCTTGCTGAGAAGATCGGTGCGGCGGTGATTGTGCTTGAGCATCGGTACCGACACTCAGCATGTCTTCGGCCGCTATACATATCGCTAACAGAAGTGTTCGCTGCATTTCAGGTACTGGGGCACCTCAACGCCCTTCACCGTCTTGTCTTCGGCGAATCTCACATACTTGACGCTCAACCAATCAATCTACGATCTGACTCACTTCGCCAACACTGTGCGATTGCCCTTCGCACAGCATGGCAGTAACGCCAAGCAAGTTCCGTGGGTGTTCATGGGAGGCTCGTACAGCGGTGCTCTGGCAGCGTGGACCGAAAGCGTGGCGCCAGGTGAGTTTGTGATCATGTGGTGGATGTTTTCAGCAGCTGACATTGAGCAAGGCACCTTCTGGGCTTACCTAGCATCCTCAGCGCCGGTCGAGGCGATCTCAGACTACTACGGCTACTTCCTCCCCGTCCAACTCGGCATGCCCCAAAACTGCTCCAAGGACGTTTCGCTCGTGATCGAGTACGTCGATGGGGTTTTGACTAACGGTACCGACGACGAGGTCTATGATCTCAAGGCTATGTTCGGACTACAAAACGTCACGCACAATGACGACTTTGCTGTGGCTTTGGAGAACGGTCCGTGGTTGTGGCAGGGCAACCAGTTCTATACCGGCTACAGCGCCTTCTTCCAATGGTGTGACGCTGTTGAAGGTGTCAGTAATGGCAGTACGGTACCGGGAGCAGAGGGCGTTGGTCTTGAGAAGGCCTTGGCGGGCTACGCAAGCTGGTACGATCCCGCCCACTCTTCCTCTTTCTGGCAGCTCGAGTGATTACAGACTCTTCTAATGCTTCGTAGGATGAATCAGACCTTCTTACCAGGGTACTGTGAGAGTTACGGCTATGAGGTGTTCAACGGCACATACAACACTTATTGCTTCGACACCTACGACCCAACCTCGCCGATGTTCACTGATTGGAGCCTATCAAATACCGTGGACAGACAGTGGGAGTGGTTTCTTTGCAATGAGGTACGAGGCAAAGACTTCAACAGTTGTCCGGTACAAAATCGATGCTGACATTCGGCAGCCATTCGGCTACTGGCAAGACGGCGGGCACGGCACGACCATTGTCTCCTCACTTGTCACGCCGGAGTACTGGACCCGACAATGCGGACTGTATTTTCCGGAGGTTGATGGAGTCCAGTGAGTGCTTCGTCAAGGTTTCTGAACCCGCTCCACACCGCTCATGTATTGCGCAGGTACGGCATCGCGCTTGGCAAGACCGAAGATGAAGTCAACGCTTTCGATGGTGGCTGGTACATCGACAACAGCACAAGGCTCGTGTATACGAACGGAGGGTGAGTGGCCCTCGAACACTGTCGGCGCAGGGCAAGGTCATCGCTGATCATTCCAGATACGATCCTTGGCGTGAAGCATCTGTCTCGAGTGATTTGAGGTTCGTCAAAGTACAGAGGACGGCTGAGGGACAATGCTGACAGATACACTCATTCGCATCTCAGGCCAGAAGGACCGCTCCAGTCAACCCAGCAGGTTCCCGTCAATTTTGTGCCAGGCGGCTTCCACACCAGCGATCTCATCACCCGGAATGGCATGGCAAATGCGAGCTGCCAGACCGTGATCGATGCAGAAATCAACCAATTGGCCGCATTCGTGGCAGAGTTCAAGCGGTATTGATCAAGAGCGATGCCCGGGACCAGTTGATAGAGCGCATACATGACGCAGACGTCAGCTCCGCCGGACCCGCGTGCTCTCGCTTCGACCGAGTTATAGTGCGACTGCCGCCAATGGAGCGTTAACGCAGGCCTGAGTCTGACTTGCGTTAGGCCAAGCCGATCAATAACGATGCTCGAAGAAGCAGAGCACATACCGGGTAGTCTGACCCACAGCCTTCGCAAGCCTTTGCGTGCTTCGAACGGTATCTGACGGCTAGAAGACCATAATCATGTTTGCTGTGCTCTCCTTCTTGTTCGCTCGCCGAGCGCTTGTACCGTGGCGGATGTTTCCCGACATCCACGCTCCAATGTGAATCCCCGAGCCGCATCGTTCATCTTCTCGAAGCGTGACTTAGTGCTTGCTATGCTTAGGGCAAGAAACTATACGGTCAATACTGGGTAAAGCAAAACGAGGATGTCGTGGTGACTCTGTCAACACAAGCTTATTCGTTGGTCGTGTGCGTGCGGAGCGTTTGATCGGGTTATGGTCAGAGGTCTAATCAGCACGGGAGAGACAAGCCATGACCCATGCTGAGACCAGCATCGTTGCGAGCTCATAATCCTACAGCATTCATAACATGACGTACACATGAGCGGTAAGCCTTTCAATTCCGAGTCTCGAGGACAGCCGATCGCGGAAGGAACCTCCTACGCTGCCGCCTTGATCTCGCCACCCGCCTGCTTCGCGGCTTCGCCAAGCTTGAAGACGATCTTGTGCACTTTCCGCGCTTCAAAGTCCTCATAAGCCTTTGGAGCTTCCTCCAGCGGCATCGTCTTCCCGCACAAGAACGCAACCTTCTTCTGCTCCTGCACTAGCAACTACGGAGCAAGCAGTCAGCGATGTCTTTAAGCAGCAAGCATGGCCGGAGGGCCTCTGACTACGTACCTTGAGGGCGTCCTCGAAGATGCTGCGCACCGGACACCGGCCGAAAGCCACTAAGAATCCGAACCATTAGCGTTTTTCAAGCAGCCAGGTCTCTGCTCAATGGTATGCGTACTGGTAACATTCTTGCCGTAGCACAGCAAACCATTCAGTGGTATCTGCTCGGTATGCACGCCGATGGACGATATGGAGCCCCACGGCCGTATCATGTCGAATGCAAGCATGAAGGCGTCAGCGTGGCCGACACACTCCATCACCTACAAAGTACATGGTGGAACCGTTAGCGATTCACGAAATGGTAGATAAGGCTGAAGCTTGTCGGTTACGCACCACATCCGCACCGCGCCCACCAGTGGCTTCCTTGATCTTTGCCACTACGTCGTCCTTGAGATTGATCGTCTTCGCACCCAGCTTCTCCGCTTGCTCCAATCGCTCTGGGACGCTGTCGACGGCGTAGACTACAACCAGAACGTGGTTCCGTTAGCGATGACCAGGACGGCGTGAGTAGACTTCGATTGCGCACCGGTATCTACCATTGTGAGAGCGCATGTGATCGCACATATGCCAACCGGTCCGCATCCGATACAGACAGCGGTGAACTCCTTGCGATCTCGGTCGGTCAAGTTCTTCAGGAAACGGCTCGCTGCGAAGTAACCGGTCGGGAAGATGTCTGCCATGAGCACGAGCATCTCCTCGGGAATGTCCTTGGGCGTCAAGACGAACGTGGAGTCGGCGAGCGGACATCGCACATATTCAGCTTGGCCTGGGAGGCTTATCAGTGCCGTCCTGGACTACACACGATACTGGATCCGCACGTACCGCCATCGATCTGCACGAAGTCGAGACCCAAACGTTAGCGCAGTCAATGTGGTGTCCAGAAGGTGGGCAGCTGTACCGTATTCGCAGGCACCGAGTTGCCGAAAAGCTCGCCTTTGCTACACCGGGATGCTTGGCCTTGAGCGAGCAGTCAGTGACACCGGTCACCTTACGGAGCCCAGCCATCATACCTCGAACGCAGTAGAAGCATTCTCCACAAGCTGCGACCATGTCAGAATTCATCTCACCGTTGGGAGAGCAGCACAGCGCAGCTCAGTGTACGGACCTGTGTAGAACGGCACAACAACCTGGGACGCTCAGCACATCGCCTTCCCCAACTTCCTACATCTAGTCGCAGCTCACCTTGTCGCCGATATTGAACTTCTTCACATCATCTCCCTTCTCCACAATCTCTCCAACAAACTCGTGCCCAAGGATGAAGTCGGGCGGACACTTGAGGTGGCCTCGGTACGGATGCAGGTCGCTGCCACACAAAGCGGTGCTGGTGACCTTGAGAACAGCGTCCGTGGGCTTTTGGATCTTTGGGTAAGGCCGATCTTCGACAGCGACCTATATTATAGTGCGTCAATGGCGGCCATCAAGGTCGTATGAGCTGCAGCGGACCTTGTAGTCACCCTTCAAGACCACCGCACGCATGGTCTGGGGAGGCATGATGGTGGTCGAATGCTGGTCTCGGATCTTGCTATCCTTTCCCTTTCTCCCTGTAGACACCAATTACAGGACGAAGCAACGATGCTACAGCCATCCTGCCTCGTCAAGCCGAGTGTGATCTCACACCCACAACCCCGCACAATGACAATCAAAGTACCGCGGGACAACGAACGTGGAAGGTTGTCGTGAGCCTCGATGGTGGGGTCAAATGTGGCAGATGCAGGGCTCGCTCGCTCGGACGTGGGGAAGCCGAGCCTTGGAGTATGCCTCGCATTTGCACTGCATACAGAACTCTTGGATGAACGAGTCATGAAGAGTAGCTCGTAAAGACACAAACAGCACTGAATGTCGCGTCTTAATACCAGGATGCGTCGGTGCTTCTTGTCCCACTGCAACGGTAGCACTCCCACCCACCACCACCTCGCTTCTAGGTTGTCTGAAACCCTGCCTCACCAACAGACTTACCTCAAGCTCCATACACCTCCAACACCCCCTGCGCATACCTCCTCGCCGTCTCCATAGCATCTCTCCCGAACGGAAAGAAAGCCTGCCACTGTTTTCCCACCGCCCACCCCTCCCTTCTCACCATGTCCACCGCAATGCCAGCAACCTTCGCCAAATCAACAGGCCCGTTCCCCTGGATCTACAAGTCCACCCGGGTTAACATGTCATGCAGAGGCTGGCAGTGTGTCTCTCCCGTCCGGTCTGACGCGGCAATCTGGTCCGCGGCCAGCTCCATGCTAGCCGTGTGAGCGGCTTCAAGGTCCATTCGTGAGTGGAGTGTGAAGTCATCTCGTTGCGGTACATGCCGGGATCGACGGTGATCACCTCTGAATAGCCGAGCGGCGCGGTTTCCGCGACAGAGTACGTTGGTAGTCGGTCGAGGCAGAGCTTGCTGGCAGCATGGGCCGTAAAGCCTTGGAAAATGACCCAGTACGGGTCCACGCCGCACCGCATAAGCTTCTGCGACAGTAAGGCCAGGGTCCCGCCCGAGTGGCTGCAGGGTACACACCGTTACTCGAGTGAGCGGCCCCTCCCGCGCCGCCGGATGTGAGGCATGATTGATTGCAGATGGTGGAAGTCTGAAAATATAGGTATGCAGCTGCGCAAGTCGAGTCTCATACCTATAGAACCAAAATCAGCCTCGCTCCACCCGCGCCCGTGCTCAATAGCCAGACATACGGCACCTCCTCCATGGACGGCTACCCCGAATAGCCCGCGTTGGCCAGCTCGGTACTACAGCCTGTTACTATCCAGACAAGCTGCTGTTGCGGCATGGAAAGGCGCCATGATAACTAGGATAGCGATACAAGTAGCGGTGCTGGGTTGAGGCGTCGGAGGGTGGAGAGTAGCGGACGCAGGAGGTGACACGCGCGCTGTTCACCTTGGCGGAGATGGCTACGTCTAATGGACTGTCGTACAAGCTCATGCAATCGTCAACGGCTCTTGTGCAAGGCCGGGACTGGAACATGCTCGACTGATCGCAATCAGGCGGCCGGTATGATTGCATAAGATTTGCGCGAGACCGGAATCCTGCGGTTGGAGTCCGCTGACAGTGAAGCTCAGCTTGCGCCTTGCGCTTTGCCCCTCAGCCGTGAGACTCGTTGTCGTGCCGTGATGGTAATTCAATGATGCTTCTTGCACAATGCTAGGCGCCGCTGTCGTGCTTGGGTCGCGGAAGGCGCCGGAGTATAACCCAACCATTCCTGTAGCGTGGTTGGCGTCGGGCTGCCCTTATCCACCGTTTATAGTCGTGTATAAATTATAGGCTATGCGTGCGTGCTTGGGAAGGGGTCAAGAAGCGACCGATCATTCAACAGCACTCCCGTCGGCCACACCCTCTTTCTCCTCCTTCTCCCCAAAAGCCGAGAACTGCACAAAGATGATGGCATCCTCCACCATCGTACCCAAGCTCCCAATCAGCCACGGCAAGTTAGTGAGGAAGTAGTCTCTCTGCACGCTGTGGAAAAGGATGCCAGCACCGTACGTCGCATTACCGATCAAGCTTAACACGAAGAAAAGCAAACTCAGTCCATCGCAGCTTCGTTCGCGTTGGTTCTTGACAATCTGCGGAATGCGTGCGCCGAGATAGCACACAGCCGAGGCGTAGCCCAAGATGGAGGCGCCGAGGGGTGTGGGCTCGCCTCCGTCTTCTCCGCCTACGGGTGTCGGTCGCCATGCGCCGGTCTTCCATGCGATGGCCCAGCCTGCGGCGCCTACCGCGAAGATCAGCACGACCGAAATGGTGTTCTTCAACGCCGCACGTGAGCGAGACGGTTCCTCGGTGATCCGGTCAAGGGTCGCAACGCTGGCAGCACGGTCGCCATGCGGATGACGGTGCCCAGAAGTACCACTGCTTGTTCGCCTTCTACTGCCAGGTAGACCCAGATTGTCGTCGCGAATGTCCGTCATGCTGTTTCCTCGCTTGGTCGCGCGCATGCTCTTCGGACTCGTAATGTCACCGTTGAGCAGCGGCGTCTCCTCCCTCGGCATGCCATCCGCATGTCCATCTACTTTCGCCTCCGCTTTCTCCTCACGCCGCCGATTCAGTGAATTGTAGTACAAGCACTGCCCAATTAAGATAGCATCGGCGATGCAGAAGTAGACCGCCAGCGCAATGACAGTTGGCACGAGACCAGCCCATACTGCACCAGCGAGATTGGTGATATCGCCCACAAGCCAGATGGCCAGGAAGGTAAGGCTGATGCCTTCGGCGCTGCCTTGCTGGTAGTTTTCCACCAGCTGAGGCACGAGAAGAAAGATCCAGGCAGCGAGGGAGATGGAGCCGGTAACGCCGGAGAGTGCTTCGTTCCAGGTTAGCGGGATAGGGTCGGGCATGGCGGAGGCGTGGCAGATGCTATAACGCACTCCTGCTCTACATTCTAGCGAGCAATGGCACACATTAGACATACACGATCAGGATTAGTCGCGACTGCATGACTCGCTGTCTGGAAATCGAAATGGGAATGAGGCACGCGAGCAGCCGCCTTGGCATGGCGGAGCCAATCTGAGATCACAACCCGATCGAATGTACATGATACCGACCTGCGCGGGGTCTTCACTCTGACTTCCTCCGAGAGGGGTTCGATGTGAGACTGAAGAACTTGCTGTTTACCTAGCATACATTGTGCGGTCAAAACCCCAATGATTATCCACCCATCAGAACGTAGAAGCGTCAGGATCAATCGGCTCAAGATCCCCTTTTCCCTTGAAATGTTCCACGATATTAGCCTGCTCAGTAAGCATAAAGCGCTCGCTCTGGCTGCCAATCTTGGCGAGGCCTCTCCACCGCTCGAGATCCTTGGGGTTGCGCTTGTTGCCATGCGCATCCTCTGCATTCTCCCAATGCCCTCGGGAAAAGCCCAGCAACGTCGAGATCTTCTGGTTCTTGATGTCGTAGACTAACGAGCAGATCGTTCCGGTCTCCTCGAGCCAGTTGCACTGCCAGATCTCGCCCGGCCGGATGCATTGGTAGGTGCAGGTTTGGTAGTTGATGCGACCTGCCATTGGCCCTCCATGGATGGCGTAGACGATGCGGTTGGCGGAGAAAAACCACATCTCGTACCGCCACTTTTCTGGCTCTCCAGTCTTCGGGTTCTCCGCATCGTAATCGTAGATCAGGTGGACATCCTTGATATCAGTGTCGAATGACGGGTGCAATGGCGTGTTTGTCAGGAAAGCTGGGTATTGCGGCATGTTGTACGACGTGTGATTTGTTGCGTGCGGGGGTCAAGTTGTCTGCGAAATCAATCTTTCTTGAAACCCTGCAGATGTTCTGAAGAATGACATGATAAGTCTCGAGGATGGAAGCTTCTTATATTTGAGAGTCGACTGAGTGGCAAGACCCTCTAAGACGACGTTGTAGAGCTTGGAAGCTTTCGTGTCGGATACGCGCGGAAGTGCTCGGCAACCTGTCTTTGACGGGACGCCATACCGGTAAGCATGCCAATTGCATGTGCGCACAACATGAGCAAACTAGAGTGCCTGACTCGATTATGCCCAGACAATGTCTTGCATGCTGTCGGAAAGCATCTCAGAGGCGGGGACGGCAGCTTGCGCTTCCGTGATGCCACCGTCTGAGCACGCCTGTACACGAGTAGCGATGGACCTTCGGCTAACTCTTCGGGTACCAATGCGAGAGTATTGCTTCAAGGTGTTTTACCCGAAGTGCTTGCCGCAGCCAAGTAAAAGGTTCAAGATTTGAGACACTAACTAATGGCCGAGTAACTGTACATTATTGATATTGAAAGCTATTCTGTAGAACCTGGTTTCCGATCAGTATCCTAAAAGTGAGAGACAAGGTGAGCAAATTCCCGAAGTCGTAGCACTGTGCGAGTGTGAAGGCTGCAGCTTCTCAACCTAAGTATATATGGCATGCCAATTGACCAACTTACAGGCTACAATCCCGACTACCACCATCCAAATGGCTCCGACACTAAACTATGTCTTCTCCCTCCATGTTAACCTAGCACCACCCGTCGACCTCGGCCCCTTATCCGCAGGTCACAGAAGATACATCCCCATCACCGGTGGTTCCATCAAAGGGACACGGCTGGAGGGAATCATATTGCCAGGCGGAGGCGACTGGAATGATGCACAAGTTGATGGGAGCTACCACATGCGAGCAGAATATGTGCTCCAAGCCAATGATGGAACATCGATCTTCATCCATAATGAAGGAGATGCTCGCAACGATGCGTCGTCCGGTTGGTATGCACGAACGGTCGCCAAGTTCGATGTCAAGGAGGGCCCGCATGCTTGGTTGAAGAAGTCACTCATCATCGGCGAACAGCTTCCACCTCCACCTTCTCTCGCGTTTGTCGAGTTCAATTTCTACGAGGTGCTGTAGAAGCGAAGAGAATAAGAAATGCTACGGGTGACTGCGCGCTCACAGCCAAGCTTCTCAATCACATCACCTCCTCACCCATCCTACGTATTACTTGCAAGCCGGGCACCTCCAGTTCCAGTGGTGCGCGCTCTCTTTTGTCCACGTGCTCGGCCTCATGTACTCGTCGTGAGATGCACTTGCATTACCCTCGTGAACGCGGCCCAAGCTGCGCAAACCCTAATAACGTGTACTCATCCGCTAGGAGAGCCCACTGCTTTCTCATATAACGAAGTTGTCAGCCTGGACTATTGCCGCTCCATGTGGTGTCTGACTGTCATCCGCCTCTCCAATCGTATGCAGGCTACCGTACGGATTTCTTCGCGGTTATGCGCGGCCGCGCAGCGTCTACCGTGAATGTCGCATATCGCGCTCCGCTGATCGAGCGGACCACGCAGTCATTGCGGATGCTTGACGGGTGTGACTGGGCCTTGAGATCAGCAACTCCCGTTTCTACCAACCACTCACTTGATGTAGAGTCTACCCGCTAGTTTCGGCTGTGCGACCCGATGCCCTCGGTCTCGGTTCCGGAAGACAGATTGATCCGCGGCTAGCTCGAGGGCCGCGCCACCATTCTCCGACACACTTTATTGGAGGTGGTTGGCAGTGGCACTTGAACTCGGTACCTTCGCAGGGACTCGTCACGATGTGAGACCATTGTAGTTCCGCTGGAGCTCCGGTCAGAGCTATATGTTCTGAACACTCTCGTTGACGCTTAGTCCTCGCATCATCTCCAATCCCACCGTAACAATCGTATTCAGTGTCACCATGGAAGGTAATAAGGCCGATCTTTTCGAGGCCGTCCGCAATGTACGCCAGATGATTGCTCAGACCTTGCCCGCATCTACGACCCATCAGGATGAGGTGCTACAGGTGCCTTCCCGCGACACCGGCAGGTCCATCAAGGTCCACGTCTACCGGCCGAAGAATGCCACTTCGCCTAGCCCCGTACTGATCAACTTCCACGGAAGCGGTTTCGTGATCCCTATGCATGGATCTGATGACGAGTACGCTGTCCGCGTTGCGAAGGATACGCCGTACACCGTCCTTGATGTTCAGTATCGACTGGCACCCGAGAACCCGTTTCCGGCGGCTCCTAACGACGCTGAAGATGTGGTAAGATGGGTTCTTGCACGGCCGAATGAATATGATCCCAAGCATGTGTCCGTATCTGGATTCAGCGCCGGTGGAAATCTAGCCCTCGGACTGGCCGGGCATACCATTCCTCAAGGCACCTTCCGACATGTCATAGTCTTCTACCCGCCTACCGATCTGACTTTGAAGCCTCACGAGAAGACCGCGCCCGACCCCTCTGGGAAGCCTATACCGGACGAGCTGTCCACACTCTTCAACAACAGCTACGCGCCGTCCCCGCCGCACGATCCGAAGAACCCTCTTCTCTCACCAGCACTGATCCCGGCAGATCGTTTCCCGGACAACGTGCTCGTTATCACCTGTGCCTGTGATAGTCTTGCGCCGGAGACGGAAGGACTTGCGGAGAGAATAAAAGCCGTACCTGGAAAGCATCTGGTACATCGACGGTTAGAGAAGTGCGATCACGCATGGGACAAGTCATATCAGCCAGGAACCGTACAGGAGAAGGCGAAAGATGAGGCTTATGATCTCGCGGTCGAGATGTTGGGTAGATAGGCTATCTTTCTGTAAGCTATGCAATGCTGGGTAGTCACATTTCCTTTCCTCTGATATAGCACGCTACTTCAAGCACTGAGAGTGTCTAGCCGCCACCACAGCTATGGAATGCACATCTAACTTACTGTCATCGTGCTTCGCCACTCACTCTGTCCACCGTCCTCGCTTAACGTAAATTCACCGTCACCGCAGTCTAGCCGCACGAGTATCGCCTGTTCTTTTGCCACTACCTATGATTATAGCTTGAATAAAGTGAGCATGTTTTGTACGACACACGTCGAAGAGGGTATCCATGTCTGCGTAGTCTCTTGCGCTGATGGCAACCCTCCGGAGCTCAGTATTCTCAGCGTTCCACACCATCGTCGCCATTTACGGCACTGCAGCTTGAGCCGAACTGCCGTCCATCTACTGGCCCTACATCACCTGCAACGTGCCTTTGGGCTCCATTCGGAGCGTTTGTGAATGAGCGGAGAGTTCAAACCCTCGAGAGGTAAGCGGAGCTAGTAGGGTGCGCCGAGCTCGGGCCGAAACGGCCGAGCTCTCAGCTTCGATCTCTTGTTTGACATTGCCCGGAATGGAATATGCTGTCGCTGACTGCTCGATTAAGAAGAGTCCTCAACTACTCCACGGAGGAAGCATGCAACTGTGGTCCGGATCAGACGGCTGGTCAAATCCACTGGTGACCAGTGACTGAACATATTCTGAGCCCATACCGTCACTCACGCCCCAGCTGTGGCCCCCTATGTCCTACATATCGCGTGAGCAGGCGAGTCGCCACAACAGGCGCGAACACAGACCATCGCCGGGTCAAAAAGCGAAAGGCCGCTGCGAAGGGAGCATTACCAAAGATTTTTGCAGCACAGCGACGCGCCCTGAAGGTGCTTGTCTCCAAGAAAGTCTCCCAGAGGAACGCAGTGCTGTATGAACAAAACGCGGCCGACTCGCCGCTCCTCGGTCTACCTCCGGAAGGCCGCAATCGTATCTTGGGCTTTCTGTTCGGCGGCAAATTAGTCCACATTCACGTATGGACGTGCGACCGTGTTTCCTCGCCCGCTCCAAGCGCGCTCCTCACTTCAGATCCTGCTTCTGCACCACCACACCCTGCGTCTGCGTCGCCAAAGCATTAACCCACACCGCCAACCTCTGCCCAGCCTTCGTAATCCTGTCCTCTACAATCGGCACAGCCGCAGCATAATACTCGCCACCGAGATCGTTACTTTCTAACCAGTCCAAGCGCGGCGCAAGAACATAGTTGCACACCAGCGCGTTCGTCTCGGTGGCGTACTCGAGCACGCAATCTTGGGCGTTGTTGCTGCTGTCGCAGAGCTGGCCGTTCCGTGCTGCGCTGATGTTGAAGTTGGAGGAGCCGCCGGCGGCTTGGAACAGTTTGTCGGCCCACTCCTGCGCGGCTTGCTTTTCTTCCGGGCCTTTGGGATCGCGCTTGAGGCCGTTGAGCTTGTTGAGGATCTCCGTATCCCAGACTTCGTGCAAGTTGAGCTTCTCGGAATGCTTGCCTGCGGGTCGAAGGTCAGCTCGACGCAGGCAGCGTGCTTGATATGTCACATACCATCGAAGGACACCTTGATCTGGTTGCCGCCGCGGTCGATGGCTTCAGTGTGGAGAGGTTGATGGATGTCGCCAATGAAGTGCAACTACATGTTGGTGGTGCTCCAGTCAGCAAAGTCTCTTTCATCGGCCACTCTGACATACGCACAATAAACTTAATAGCATCCTGCCTAGTCTTGGCATCTGCGGACGAATCCTGCAACACCGCAGTCTGATTAACGAGCGCGCTGATGATGCAGCCGTTCTCTCCCTCGCAATCACGTTTGTAGTTGACATTGCAGGCGTTTGGTGGGTCATCCTGAGCGTCGATGAATTGCCAGTTCGCAGTGTACTTGTACTCCGGGTAGTTCCTCGCCTTGTCTGGCCAAACGGCAGCATCGCTGATGTCGAATGTGTCCGAAGGCCGGATCAGATCATTAACATATTGGTTGGCAGCATCGGTGAAGTAGTGCTGGGCAAGGTAGCCAACGGTGCGGTGGCCCAAATCGCCCCAGGCTACCACAAGGCTGGCGGAGCCGAGGACGGTGGTGGGGAGAATGAACTTCATACTGCTTGTGCGGGCGCTCAAAGTGTAGTAAAGAAAGGTCGCGAAATTCGGAGAGTATGAGAAAGATGAAAAATAGGCTTGAAGTTGCCACTTACCCAGCTGACCTGTGCCGCTTTGAGAAGGGAAGCTCAGCTGCCATGTCACGAAACGTAAGCCTCGTGGCGACATTCACATCCATTGGTTGTGGCTCTGCTCCAGCTCTGTTGCAATGGCAGGCTGATGATCCGGCCAGAATCGCAAGAGGTAAGCGCTTTGCAGTAAGCGTGTCCAATCGTTTGCGCAACCTGACCAACGCCATCGAAAATCTGGGCTCAGAGCTGAGGCAAGGATGGTAGGGCTGAGGCAAGGAGGGTGGCGCTGCTGGACGTTCTTTGGTGCTCATAGGGTCAGTCTTTCTGCAAGATTGAGAACTGCCGTCATTGTTTTTGGAGCCGAGAAACAAGATTACACATCGTGATTGTGTAGAGAAGAAGGAGAAGGTCCGAAGCGTTGCCGCCATTGGGCGTTGAAGTGATATCTACCTTGGTGGTTGCGGGGCGATGCGAGCCGGCGTGGCTGGAAAGCTTGAGAACCAACGGGGACGATCGACGTGTAGGCACACAAGCACCCACACCTCTCTGCGTCTGCGAGATGCCCAGAACCCAAACGATGGTGCGGGCGAACGTGCATGTGGCCACCTGCTTTGTTCGCCTGCACCATTGGTTGACACATCGGGTATCCCGTACGTGCGCAACGGAGACAGGCATACTGGCACCGAAGAAGAAGTGCTAACACCCTCCATTACCCCGGTTTTGGGTAAAGGGTAGAGACGCACATCGTCTGCAAGGCTTTCAATCTACCGTTCGTCGTAGCACTACGATGCTGTCGCAGAGGGCGATGAAGCAGCGGCGAGGAATTGGCGACTGCAGCCTGGAGTCCGCTAAACTGTGCTCGCGGTGATTGAAGTCGGTTGGTGTGACGAAAGTACCTGACTGTTACGTACGGCAGAATGCATTGGCGTCCAGTATCACGAGCAGAAAAAGTCCAAGTGCCGGCCTTTGCTGTACAATGTGCACGACAGCGTCGCACAATGAAGACAGGTCACTCGGCATGGCGGGCGGCACTTGAAGCTCGTTCGAAGGAGGAGCGTGTGGTATCAAATGCTGAATGCGTGTCATAGACATCGTGACTGCGTACACACCCATCTCCAGTTCGCCGTCAGTCATCCATCCCGCCGTCCATGGGTATCAATTCCACCAGTCGTCCACCTCCGCCTCCGCCTCCGCCTCCGCCTCACCATCTCCGTGCCAGTGCCCACTTCCGCGTACATCTCCTCTACGTTCGCCAACATCTTACGAGCTTCGGCTTCCCATAGGCTCGAACGGGAAGACCGCAGAGACGAGAGCCATCACAGCGAACAAAGCAGCCTACAAGCAAACGGATGCGAATGTCAGCAGGTTCCTCGGCATCAAAAAGTTTTGCGGCCTATAGTTGACTTACACAGATGTATATGGGCACGGGCGTCGAAGTGTTGGCGTAGGTGGCCACGATGGCAGACATAATGCCCATGAGGCGGTTGAACTAGAGTTAACATGTCAGCAATGCCTTGGCATGGTCTGAACGGTCCAGCAAAAATGATGTGCTTACAGCGATGGCTATGCCGTTACCAGTCCCGCGATGCGCGGACGGGAGAACTTCTGGAGTGTAGGCATAAAGCGTGCCGTAGTAGACGTTCTGTATAGGTCGCAAATATTAGTAAAGCTGGGCGGCGGAAAGATGGCTCAACGAGATGTAATGTGCGCGACAGAACCAGATCCGGGTGCTGCTTGAGCTTGGTGCGTCTCATACGCGAGTCATGGCACCGTTCCGGACACGGCAGGAGGTCACGTGTGCAGTGCGCCGTATATGCACGGTCAGCCGGGTGCTGCGGAGCTTGTGACCCGCAGAGAGCGCGATGGGTCGCTACATCAGCCATATGGAATCCGGGAAGAACCAGGAAAGTGTTCACCGTTTCTGCAGCGGCAAGCTGGAATCTCACGTGACGGACAAGTGCATAACACCTTGCGCATGCTGCCGCACGGACGGCGCCGCATCAAGTGCAGCAAGGCCGTAGCTGCCGCCACAGCACCACATTGTCGCCAGCACCCGGACGTAATCGCCATTTAGAAAAGGTCGGCGAGGTGAAGGCCACCACCCAGACACGGCGCATTATCGGAAGACTGTATCTTCGAGTCCAGGACACTGCCGTTTGTGCGGAGTATAGCGAAAGCCCGCCACCTAGACATAACGATGTCACGGAAGGTCGGCGAGAAGACTGCTTTCCAGCAGTATTTCGGACTTCAAAAGCTTCCGATTCCAAGGACACTGCCGCTTGCGCGGATAGTGTAGCGAAAGCCCGCCACCTAGACATAACGATGTCACTGGAAGACTGCTTCCCAGCAGTGTATCGTACTTCAATCGCTTTCGGTTGCAGGGCAAGGACACCGCCGCTTCTCGTGGAGCAGTGTAGCGTAAGCCTGCCACCTAGACATAACGATGTCAAGTCACTTGGAATCCAGAACGAGATCTGCTCCTGCCAAAAGCCTCGTGGTCGCATTCGGAATCGATGGACACCGCCCCCCGCTTTCTCGCGCGGAGCAGTGTAGCGTAAGCCCGCCACCTAGACATAACGGATGTCAAGTTCACTCGGAAGTCTCCAGAGTTACGAGATCTGCTCTCCTGCCAGAGTCCTCTCGATTGTCGCGTTCGGAAATCGAATATCGATGGACACCGCCCCCCCGCTTTCGCGCGGAGCAGTGTAGCGAAAGCCCGCCACCTTGACATGAGCGTCACGCCTACGGGCGGGGCGAGCGAGCGAGCGAGCGAGCCGGGATGCTGTGGAGTCCACCGAATGGATGATTCGTTCTTGTTCGCGCGACTATGGAATTGGAAGGATAGAGGGAAGAAAGGAAGGGAGGAGGGAGTGGACTTACTAGGAAGAAACTGATGGCCTGGTTTTGGACGTCAGTGTTCAGTGTCTGTACAGGGTGGGGATCAAGGGAGGAGTTGGACGTACCATGGTGAAGCCCAAATTCTGTGCTTCCGTTCGGACTTGCGTGTAGGCCTAGACTCACAATCTCGTGTGAGCGGAAGAGGGATGAGAAACAGGACGCGTTGGCTTACGAAGAAGAAAGCCATGGTGATTAAAGCGCCGATGATCATGACACCGCGGCGGCCCCAGAAGATCCTGGATCTGCACATCAAGCCTGCGAGGATGGGCGAAGGGATGGAACAGAAGTTGGCGAGCTGCGGGATGTGTCAGCTATCATCCCCACGTAGCCGGATGGATATTACGACGTACAGCGTAGTTGCGCCAGTTCAGATATGCACTGGTCTCGCCGAGAGCTGCTCCACGCGTGGCGAGGTAGGTTGGCCTAGCCGAACGATTAGCGGTTCCTCCCACACCATCGCGGGTCGTACTCAGGAGGTTCCGTACAAGAAGACGTTGTACAACGGGTACGCCAATCCGATGAGAAGCCAACTGAACCAGATGAGGGTAGTACTGAGACCCAATCTCCGCGTCTGGTACAGACCCTTCAAATGAATCCCGATCTCAGCGGGACTCCACTTGGACCTAGCATGCGCGGTCACAGATGCGCGCCGGCCCTGTCCGAACTGGCCGCATGCCTGAAGCTGGTCCAAGGTCAAGCTGCACGGCTTGTGGTACTTATTGGCGATAAACTGCAACGTCTCCACGGCCTCCTCATCACGGCCTTCGCCGATCAAGTATTTAGGAGTTTCGCGAAGGCGGATGACGGTAACGCGGGCTAAGGACATGACGAGGATGAGCGCACCGCTCGTGAACCAGATGTATCGCCACCCTGCGTTGTTGTTCCAGGTGCATGGATCGCCGGAGACGGAGCAGTTCCACTTGGCGGGGACAAGGAATGCCCAGGCAAAGAGACCGGCGACGAGCTGGCCTAGGCCCCACCAAGCGGCTAGAACGGTGACGAGCCATTGGTCTTTGGAAGGCAGGTACTCCAAGAATACAGCCGTGTCGAGTACGAGGTTGCCGCCGGAGCCGAAGGCTGAGAGGCAGACGAAGAGGCCGAGGACGATCCAGTTTGGCGATGCGCCAGCAACGATGCAGAAGACGCTGGATATGAGGAGGGAGTAGTTGAAGGCGTATTTTCGACCAATCACATCGGCGGATAGACCCTGTGTGGTAGTTAGTGCGACCGTTAGCGATGTCTTGTAAGCTGGCTGAAGACTGTCTGGGAGTGCATACCCAGAAGAGCGCTCCGGTCAACATGCCAACCTAGCACAATCATCAGCGACGCCGGAGGAAGCAAGCAGATGCGCCGGCTCTGTCACATACGTAGACCGCGATGGTCAAGCCATTGTGGAAAGAAGGGTTGAACTCGGCGCGCGCGGAACCAGCAATGATGGACTGGATGAGCAGCATCAAGCTGTCGACTGCGTATCCGAAGCCGTTGAGGCAGAAGAGCTTCCATTGGTACCATGTCATACCGATCTCGTCTGCGAAGCCCATCAGTACCGTCTTCAGCGGACTCCGAGCAACATATGCGATTGGACGCCTTTCTACCACGCACCAATAGCATTGTTGATCAGATGCATCTTCGCCTGTCGAGAGGTTGTTCCAACCGTTAGCACTCTTCCCAATCACAAGCACAGTTTATGGTCTGCGCTTCGTACATTCAACACCGGATCGGTATGCTCTTGGCCCAGCAAGTCTCCCTTGTTCAAACTGATATCATCTTCGCTCAGGCGAGGGTCGACCTCGCCCGCATACTTCTTCTCCTCCGCGGTCGTGGCCATGATGGCGGATGCGCCTCAAGGTCTATCGCAGAGGTTGAAGTGTGGCGATGGTTGCGTGAGCTATGAGCGACGAGCAACGCGACACGCTTGCAAGGAGATGGAAGGTGAAGGTGAAGCAGATGGTTGGGCAAAGAACAAGCCTAAGTGGTGGTCACGAGAGCCGAACCCAAGAGCGCGCAGTTTGACTTTTCTTTGCCAAATGAGCCAACGGGGTCCACCTCCAGGGCTACCTGTACGCCACGCCTAGCTGGGTTCTTCTTCTACACTGTGAACCTAAGCGGGCCATCTGCACGTGCTGCAACCAGCCAACAACGCTCAGCTCGATGTGTACTATGCTGCTAAGGTGCTAAGGTGCTATCGTCGTCATGCATGCCCGCCCTTATCTGGTGGTGTCGGGCTGATAGGCGTGTTACAGCCGCAGCAAGGGAAAAGCGCCTCGACTTGCCATGGACGGGAACGTTACAATGCGCCAACGCCAACGCCAACGCCGACGCCGACGCCAGGGTCCACAAGCGTTCCATTCCCACTTCAGTGTTGCAGAGAAAAGCGGGGAAAGCTTTGAGAGTTTGCGGCGCCCACGTGCTCGGATCAAAACGCTGTCTGTTGGAGATGGCCGTCCGTTGCCCGACGCATCCGATCCATCAACTCGAACATCTACATGTATGTGGGGGGTGCGGGTGTCTAAACTCCTAGGTACACATGGTGAAGGTAGACGGAGGTGCGGACGCAAGTGCATCATCGACCGAACGTCATGTCCTCAGATTGCATTTGCATACGAGCGTAGCTGTTAGGATCAGGAGAAGATGGTGAACCATACCTGAACAGGGTGAAGCCAGCGGAAACTCTGGTATACCTAGGCTCGCAGCGGTCGGCTCTGACAGTGCATATAGATCGTCAAATTTGGGTATAGGGTACGTTATCCCATTTGCATCGTTTCTATCATGAACATGATAAGCTAACAATCTTCTTTAGGGCGAAAGACTAATCGAACCATTGCACAAGAACACCTACTGGGTGGTTGAGAGGCCACAGAGAGCCTACTGAATACATCGTGTAACTGCGGAGTCACTTCACAATGCCAAACCTACCGCCGGCCCGTCAGAGATTTCATCCGTCAAGGCGGAATACCATTCGTCCGGAAGCCGCTGGCGACATACTTGGCTACCGATCTATATAATACGTGCCGTGGTTGTCTCCTACCTCACCTGCGTCCCGAGTCAGCTAGGTGTACTCTTTGATTTCGGTGGTACAGTCGATTGGTGACGCAGGCACGTACCACACACGACTTTCCGAGGCTGATGCATCATACGCCGCGGCTTCAGTAGCAACAAGTACATTAGCTGAAGCTACAAACCAAAGCAAGCCCTGCCTCCTCGCCCGTATCGACCGCCAGCACGTACATCGGCTCCACCACACAGGACCATGACCCGTAAGGTATCACACAAGCGTACCGCGTCTGCTCAAGGCCAACGTTTGCGCAGCACACGAACAGCCATGATAACCAATGCGCCTAGACTACATTGTATAGTCTACCTTGTCTGATACAGCATTGGCGGCTACCATAACGGATAGATGCCTGGTGTGCACGATTCGAGGCGATGACATTCGGAGCTGCCCGACGATGATTGGATGCGAGCCTCCCACGCCTCTTAAGACCACAGACCAGACCTACCGGCTGCTCTGCGAACTGCTTGTTCCTAAGCAAGCGTGTTGAGCCAGGCTAATCGCTAGGAGCACGCAGGAACTGTGTGCCGCTGCAGGAGACATTGAGAACGTACCAGGCGGTGTATCCTGCCCAAGCTCAGCTGACGGCGATCTGCCTCAGGAGTATTAGGATGCGGAGGTTATCTCGGCATCAACTGGATCCGAACTGCATCACTCTGGACATCTCTCAGAAAAGGCGCGGACGTTGTCAGCCAGACTCCCATCTACGATGGAGGCTGGATACTTGGCCGGAGCATTGGCTGCGAATCGAATAGGAATCGGACAAGCTTTACCGATAGCTCTGATGGCAATCGGAACACCTGCTACGTCCCGACAACGACAGCGGACGAGCATCCTATCTGAACGCGGCCTCTCCAGCGTTATTACAAGTGTCCCTTTTGTGTGTGTGCGAGGGCGATGTACTCGCGGTGGCCCTAGCGTTGACAAAGCCAACCTCGGACGGCGGGACCTTAAGTGGAAACCTGTATTCCGAGGGCTCATGTAAGGACTTCCTCTCGACTGTTAGCGTGAGCCACATGACATGCTTTACTGGCTCATCCGACGGTTGGTCCTCCGTGCAGAACAAACAGCAAGCACCTAGCAGTCTAGCGGGTGCGACCGCTGGTACATCCAACGGTTTCACCCCGAACGCGTGTGCGTTGGAGACACGCGCCTACAATTGTGCGGACACAGGGTATGTCTACGGCATTGGCTTCGTTGGCAATGCGCTGTGGTTGCAGCCTTCGTCGGCGTCATCAGTTCATTGTGACGAGTGTTAGCGGTGTCGATCCGTGACGTTGACGAAGGGGTTGCCGATGCGAGTCAGATCAGCTCTTGGTTCGTTGTCGTCAGTATGCAGACGGCCTCCTTTACAGCATCGAACAACCTGGCAAGTCTGAGTCAGGCGGCGAGCTACCGGAAGCTGCCGTGTGCAGATGATCGGCTGCCGAGGCGGGGCAGCCAGATAAGCTCGCGCCGATCATCCAGTGGTACATTCACTCAGTCACTCCCTCTCCTCCCTCCATCCTGACTGTACCGGGGTGGTACTTCGATCTCATCACTTTCGCGTCCTATTGTGTGCGACGAAAGGATGTCTCTCCTCTCACCACACCTCCGCCTCACTCCCCTCCTCTCCACCACCCGCCGCACCTTCTCCACAACCCCGCACCCCCACGCCAGCATCCTCTTCGCCCTCAATGCCCTCTCCAACTCCCGCGAAACACAGCACTTCAACAAACTCTCCAACCTCCACCGCATCGAACACTCCCCACCACTAAAGCTCATCAAAACATCGGAGATTGATCCCTACCCGCTACCTACCCCACCTCCACCCACCCCGCGGTCTCAACCCCGCGTCAGCGCCCGCTCTGCAGCGGCAATATGGGACAACCGAGCGCTCCGCCTCGGACGAGCCATGATCGCAGACCATACACGACAGGTTCGCCACTTACAACACGCTCTGGCTCAGGCGAAACAGCGTGAACAGAAGAAGGACGAGGTGGCACGGAAGTCGCAGCAGGTCTGGCAGGAAGAAGCACGGAAGCTGCGGGGGGAGGTGCGGTCGGCGGGTGTGTTCATCTTACTGTCGATCGGTACGGCCACGGCGCTGGCGATATGGCGGTTCGCGCCCGCGCCAAGGCCGGTGGATTCTGCCGAGCTGAGCAGGAAGATCACGGAGAGGGCGCAGCGGAGCATATCGTTGCCTTCTTTGTCGGTGTCAATTCCGGCGGTGGGCGGTGCGGCGTCTTCGGAGGTTGTGCCTGCTGCGACCGCGACGGTAGTGGAGCCGGTACCTGCGATTGCAGCTCCGACTCCGACTCCACCTCCTCCGGCGGTGAGCACTGAGTCTAAGGCGGGCTGGTGGAAGGGCCTTTTCTGGCGGCAGGAATGATAATTCATGCGAAACGACGCTCTGTGCATGAGTATGGGGGGACGGCGTACTTGCAGGGTTCGACTTCGCTGGCGTTTGACTTTCTGCGCATATGATAATGGAGTACATTTCGTTGTAGGATGCAGTATCCGCCTGTTCAAGGCCGAGCAATTTCTATCAAATGCATACACTGCTTTTGTTGCCAACGGCTAATTGAACTTCGTTCAGGTGTGGTGGTCCCCTTGATGCTCTGCTGAATAGCACCAAGCGCTGTTTACCGATCGCTCACGCAGTTACATGCTCTGGATCTCTAGGCAAGCACTTGCTGCTCATCACAATTGGGTGCATGCAGCGCCATCATGTCGCACTGACTGTCGTCTATTGCAAGCTCAGCAGCCTGTACCAGCCGCCACCGGCACCCTTGCCGACTGTTGCTTGTCTTCGCTTCTGACGCACGACATCCACCCAGTTCGCTCGCCGTACCCTCCGCTTGGAGCATTCGCTGCATTGCATTTACTCGCCCTCGCCATCCGACATATCGTCGTCACTGTCAGAGGTGTCGTCCTCATCGCTCCGAGAGTCCTCCTTCTTGCCGCTCTCCAGCATCTTGCCACCACATGCCTCGTCTTTGCCGTGCTTGTGGTACGCACACGGCAATTGTGCGTCAAATCGCTTAAGCTTCTTCCGCGTTTCGGAAGCAGCCGTGTCCTTGTCGAATAGAGCGGCGCTAAGCTCAGCCAAGAACTCATGATTGTGCGAGGAAAAGTCTTCGCAACGGATCTACTCCGCGTTGCCACAGAAAAGATGGGCGTCCAGCATCAGTCGTCGCAGAGGTGAGCCTTTTGGGGTTTCCCGATATACAAGATTGACGAGACTGTTTCCGGGAAACTCTTGAGCCCTCGCTGCCTCTGGATCTGCTGGATCGTCGAATTTCTGGCGCATGACACTGACAATGGCGTCAATCACGCGGTCTTGGCACTCCTGATCGAGCAACTTCTCCGCCAAGATATATAGTCGGATGAGTCTGCTGTAAATCAGACCCAAATTCGCGTGCTTGCAAGTTATTGTTGAGTTGTACAGCCAGTGAACGTATCTATGGAAAGCTTTCGGATTCGTATCCGGCAGCTTGACTTGGCGAGTCTGACCTTCCCTCCACTGCTTTTTGAGGGCGGTCTTGAAGAAGGCCGAGTGCTTGACGAGCACTTTTTCGTGGACGTAGAGTGTGACCGGCTTCGGGCCGATAAGGATTTTGACTGGTTCGTCTAGATACCTGCACACGGACGTCAATTGCAATGTCATGATGAGGTTGGGACTACTTACAGATCCTCTACGATCTCCTCGCTACGTGGATCATGTAGCTTCGACATGATCGCCCTGCCGCTCTTCGCCCTGGAACTGGTGAGTGCGGTTGCCGGGAGCGGCCGTGGATGATGTGAGGAGCAGAGTCTTGCAAAAATGTTCACATACTTCCGCGCAAGTGACGTGATTGGAAATATCCGAGCAGCTGGCGCATTCACCTCCCAACGGACGTGCGAGCCGAGCAGTTCACGGAAGAATGCGCGTTCCCATGGGCGGCCGTGTCGATGGCTGCGTGAGAAGACTGCTGTTCAAAGTTACGGTCATTGAGACGTTCTCGAAACCGCTTCAAGCGGACTGCCAGTGATGTCCGAGCATGATGCGCCAATGATACGCAGCTTAGTCGGTAGTAGCGAACATCACGACCTTTCAAGCCCAGCAGGACTAAGTACTTCGATCATTAGGCATTCCCAACTTCTGGAGAGTTTCGCCTTTCGTCCGAGAGGAGGTCTGCCTTCCGCAAGCTCTTTGGCCATCTATACGGCAAGTGACAAACGCAGCGAATCTGACCGCTCAACACTCATCGTCCGTCTGGGTCGAAGCAGCTCAGAAATACGGTTTCGCTCAGCTCGCGCTTCCATGTGTGGCGAGGCACACCATGAGCGTGAGAAGAGAGTAGGCGTGTTGACACGATCTACTGGAGGCTGACCCGTTAATCGAACGACACCGAGACTGCCTGATCCACCAGACGTCCGGAATCGGCATGAAGATCTCGCAGGCTACGAGCATCTTGAGCCCAAAGAAGCATTGCGCTGTCTGAGGGAAATGTCAAGCAGTGTCGGCAGGGTCCTCAAAGATCATATCGTTCCTTTAAATGTATGGTCAGAGTGTCACCTGCTGTCCGCTCAGCATGAGGGAGTGGCACATCACGATCTTCGACAGACATTTGACCTTGTCATGACCTTCGGCACAGCCCCGAGCTTAAACTTACGGAAGCTTTGAGGCCTGACTGCTCAGCCTCGCAGCGCAGCAGACAGACCACAGACCACATGCCGAGGATTCGAAGCATTATCAAAGCTTAGCTGGAACGCGAAGGCGACAAACATCCTCTTTCTACTGGCAGACACGGCTGCGTCGTACACATTGAGGGTTGCAGCGTGCAAAGCAGCGAATTGGGCAGGATGTTTTGTGGTGGATGGGCATGAGTAGATAATGGAAGTGCAAAGTCACTGCCGAGTCATGCGCATCAGGGACCGCACCATCTCACTTCACGCAGGTCTCGTCCTCGATACATCACCTTGCAAAGAGACACTCCTAACATTTCATCACAGCATCTCGTATACTTTCGCACGTTCGCGTGTGCGAAGCATTGAAAGGTCCGCGCATCTGCCCCTCCGCAGCCCCATGCTGCAGGAAGCGTAGGATGAGTACAGCCGGGCTGTGCAGTGTTAGTTCGCTGGCGATCAGATACATGATCGGCGTCTCACTTAGACAGTGATTCGCGCCAGAAGGAAGCGCCTCGGGTGACCCTCATGCTGGCCACAAGTTATAAAAAGGTCCACTGCTCTGACATCGTTCCATCACGGCACACGTTCTTAAGGTTGGCGCTCAAGATAGATTACATTTCCTCATTCATCCCCTTCCTCTCCAACACGCTCGCAGCTTCCTTCTCGCTGAGCATCGTGCCAACATGCTCCTCCTAACTCTCCTCTTCATGGCCCTTGGCCTCAGCGCCCACGCGCAAGCACCAGCGTCCGCGTCGAGAAACAACACGGTCGTCTCCAGCGCCTCAGCGTCACCCAGAGTCACATCGTCGTCCAGAATCACATCGTCCGACTCCTCGGCCTTTGCCGTGGCCACCTCCACCAGCAATGCCACCGCAGACACTACCCAAATCACCATGCCCTTCATGAACACTGTGACCAGCGCCATGGCCGGCTCGGTCGTTGCTGCCGATGCCTGCGAGACGACATATGCCTTCCGATGCACTGACATTGCCGGATGCAATGGCCTATCTGTCTCGGTACATCACATCGCCCAATCCAACGCCTGTTGCACAGACAGACTGATATCTTCCTCAATAGGTCACTGCTACAATAGGGCCCAGCAATGTCGAAATGGCGCTAACAACAACCACCGCCGGCATTGTTATCGTCGGCTGGCAATCCTGCTCCTTCAGCGGCTCCAACCACGCCGTCTGCGCCTACTCTGATACTATCAACAACGCCATGACGACAACCCGGACAGCGGGAGTGTCAACCATCACCGGTGCCAGTAGCGTATGGGTAGGCACGGTTTCCATCACGGCCGGGGCGAGCAAGATTGCGGCTGTCACGGGTACGTGCTCGCAGACGCCTTCGCCGGGTACTGCGCAGGGAGGTTCGCAAGTGAGCTCGCAGACGAGCAGGGCTGCCGCACCTGCTGCGACAGCTGCAGTGGGACTAGTGAAGGTTCTGGTGGCGCCCGTGGCTGCAGTTGCGATGGCGGCTGCTGGTGGGATGTTTTAGACCGGAGCTCTGACGAGATGTCGCAAGCATGCGTTCCGAACATCACTTGTGTCCAGTGGAGCAATATGGCGGAGTCACATGAATGTATACTTCGTCTCCGCGTACGAGACCGTTATTGCCAGATACAGTAACGAATTGCCTCAACAGAGTGCAGGCCCATCTTCTTTCTGCACGGCGAGGTGTCACGGCTTTGGTCGCCACTCATCAAGCTTCTCCCGCGCTGCCGCTAGGTCTAATTGCCGCCTGACCAAGCTTTCCGCCTCAGCAGCAACTCTCTGCCGCAATACGAACAAGGCTGCTTTGTACATTGTAGACACCCATTGACAGATAGCATCTTAATTGGTCGAGCTTAGGCTGAGTGCCACTTTCGCATGTGGATAGAGCAAACGGCATGTGGACCAGGCCTCGTACTCGGCATCGGGAAGGACTGCGTCAAGCCGTCGAACGCTGTGCTCCGCCCATTGGTCGTGCTGTCTTCGTGTTGCTAGCTGCACCAAGCGGTGCATCTCAAATGCTGACCCACTTGGCGCGACGGATATGAAGGAGAAGTCACGCAGTACATCGACGTCGTCTTCGAAGGCGTCATCAACGGAGCTGTTTGAGGCACTGTCCGACTCCACCCCTAGCCCCTCTATCTCGTTTTTATTCAGAGGACCGGCCTTCGAGGTATTCACCTCTGGATGTCTCAGGAGCATTGCTGGGATGCCTTGATGGTCGTAGAAGCTCATTAATGAGAGCAGGTCTGCCGCCGAGCGCCTGTTCTCATACATGTGCTCAAAGGAGATCTGCCAGGTCAACATAATCAACTTGTTCGTCTCGCGGCCTCTCCGCAATTCGTCCGATTTGGCGCTGAGCAGACTGGTCGTCGACTGCTCGCTCTTTTCCAGTTTACCGAGATACTGCTCGACGGTGCATCGGGATGCTTTCTTCTCGATGCAAGACCCTGCCTGCGATATGGCGAGCGGCATGTACTCGAGCGCCGCCACGAGCTTCTCTGTTGCCTCACCGTCGTTCGTCTGACCCACCTTCCTGTGCAGCAACAACACCGCTTGCTTCTGGCTCATTGGCTCCACCACGGTCGGGAGACGATCGTCTACAAGCTCCCTCGCTGCCGCCCGGCTTCGCGAGGTGAGCAGTATAGCTCCGTGCTCACATACCGGCAAGAACTCTATACGTGCCCTCTTCGTCGCGGACTCTCTTTTCTCCGTTCCCATCTGCATTGGGAGGCGCTAAGAGAAAGCTCGCATCATCCGCATTGTCCGCAACCAAAAGCCACCTTCCCTTCCTCTTGTCACGCAGCCGATCGTACACAAGCTCAAAGACGTGCACCTTTGCATCGTGTGGCCCGTAAATTTCCAGGTCATCAGCAAGCTCGCGGATGCTTCGTCGAAGCGTGCCGCGGTGCTCGCATGGACCCATAACACCCATATATGCGGTGAACGCTCTCGCACGCCGGCAGCCATATTCTATCGCGAGCTGCGATTTCTTGAACGGACATCAGCCATGCATGGCGAGGTGACTTTGCTCACATTCCCTACCCGATGCCGACGAGCCCTACCAGCGTAACTCGGACACCACTTTGATCAGCTTCTCGTCAAGCTAGCGTGGCTCGTCACGTTCCACAAAGTCCGGGTCGCGACAGAAAGGATGTTGTGGCTCGGTGGCGGCGGTGTTTCCGCTCGTTCTGGGGTACAGAGTGGTGAATAGCGTTGCTATAAAGTTCACTACTAGTGCGTCCTAGCAGACTAACTCACCTCGCACCTCATGGTAGTTGATCGTAGCAGCATTGTACTGCCGGTTGTGATGACCACGAAGCTGACCATAGTTGCTCTGTTCACCGTCACCCTGTTTCACATACGCTGCGCTGGCGCTCACGTGCGCCAGGCCGTACGGGAGTATGTGATCAGGGCGCTCGGTCAGAGGATAGAAAAGCATGCAGCACCTGGTACTTGCTGCTAGCAGTACTTGTATCCATATTTGGGAACAGGCAAACTGTCAGCCGGGTACGGAACGAGCGATCCAAGTGACTGCTGCGATACGTAACTGCCAACCGCATAATAAGCAAGTCGGTCTGCATACCTATTGCCGGCGCCGAATGCAGTGAATCGAAGTGGTCAGCGTGCGCTCTGTACACGACCGTCTTGCTGCGCCGCGGCGCTCGTTGTGATCTATACAACCCTTCGACGATACGACCCAAAAACGCTGGAAAGTACACCGGTCTCGTGCATGTTACGAACATCCTGCGGGAGGGTTGCTGAATTGTTGATTTGCCTTGCTGTCATCGCAAACCACTCAGATACATCGTTAGATGTACTGTGCTCATGATTGTCGAGATTGGTTGCAATCGGCTGACGAGTTCTTCAATACGAGATAGCATTTATGAAAGCCCTACGGCCTAGTTCTTCCCGGGCGGAGGGAGGTAGTTTGAGAGTGGTGGCGCTCCGCAGAACAGAGCGTCTTCAACGTCGGTCTAATGGACTCGACGGGAAACAGTTTACTACTGTGATGACGTACACGAAGGATATATCAGGTCAGAACCATTTTGCCCTGACAGCACCAAACGTTGCAGTCTCACAGCCCTTTTCTCTCCGAGCTGGAAACCCGTGACGACCGTACCTACCATCGAGTCATAGGTGAAGGGTTGCCGGCAGCACCCGGATCCACTTCGGACGTAGCTGATGTGGATATGGTGGAGTACATGTAGTTAGGAGACACTGTAGCAATAGCAGCCTCGACAGCACAACAAGCGCCCATAAGCATGACAGGCCGAAATTAGGCCCATGTGGAGTGAGGATGTGCTTGTTGAATGGACTCGTCTGGGCTCCAATAGGAGAAACTTTGCGTACCGCGCCGCACGTTAGTAACGGTGATGGTGGACGCATGCACGAATGGCGCAACAGACGCTCGCTTACGACGATTCACGCAGCCAGCCCTATGCGCCCTACCGAATCGGGTGAAAGAGTAGACCATCGGCATCCAGATGGGTTCGGCTGGCGGGCGGGAGCGGCTCATGCGGGATTCTGCCCCACCCACATTCCCATCCGTCTCACGTGCAGAAATTCGCCGATGGGGGAGCTGAACGAAGGATCAAATCTGACTCCCCTTGGATGTGATCGGACATACTAGAGTGCGCCACTGCCTTGTGAAGGTGAGGTAGACACTACCGATACCACGGCGTCAATACACTCAACAACCTTATGGCCTCTTGGCGGAGGAACCGAGGTACCTGGGTACATGTACTTTACGTCAGCGGGTGGCGCTTAGTGCCAGTCTCGGCGACAAGCCCTTTTCCTCAATCGTCCGTCGTACGTACGGCGGCAACTTGGCCGAGCAAGCAATCTCTCCTCCGTCCGTCACACCTTTAATCCATCCATCCATCCCTCCGTCCTTTCCACCAGCATCTCTTCTATACCGACTCACCCACCTCAACCTCCCGCCGCCGCCACCACCACTCCTTTCGCTCACGCCTGCATTACCTAAGCGCCTCTCATCCTCCGCCCCAGTTCAGCCCCCCTTAGCCCGCCATCCCACCTCCCTGCATTCGTATCACGTTTCGAGATGCGCGCCCGCGATCCTCCCGATGCAGCCAATGGCGATCTCGACGTGCCGGCCACCCTCACCCGCCCACGCTCCGTTTCACCCGTCGGAGCCTCACGCTTCGAAGCCCCATTCCGCCCGGCCAGCAAGAACCCATCGACGTCAACAAACCCATCCCCCACCTCCCCCACCGCCTCAAGCAACACCCACCTCAGCCAACCCAGCGTGACCTCCACCATGCGCACCGACACCACCGCCGCTACCTCGATAGAAGAATACAACACCCACCACCACCACCTCCCCCCAGCCACCCCCTCCCACGATGACGAAAAGCTCCACATCACCCCCGACGGCCAGACCCTCGACAGCCCAACCACCTGCAGCATGCCCCCGCACGACGACGACTCAGCCGACGAATGGTTCTCCCGCTTCCGCTCTGATCCGGACCTCGCCCTCAGCGTCTCGGACGAATGCCCCGACCGCGCCACCCTCGCCGCCGTCTACGACCTCCCCATCTTCGCCGCGGACGGCAGCGCGCGGCCCTTCGGCTCCCTCTACGACCCAGCCTACGCCCTGCACTCGCGCCAACTCGTCCTGTTCGTGCGACATTTCTACTGCGGCGCGTGTCAGGCGTATCTGCAGTGTTTGGCGAAGAGCATCACGAAGGAGGATTATTTCGGCATACCCGTGCCCACCTCCATTATCGTCATTGGATGCGGTAAACCCGATCTAATCCCGCACTACAAGAAATTCACCGGCTGCCCCTTCCCCATCTTCGCGGACCCAACCCGGCAACTCTTCAAAAAGCTGGGTATGGTCGTCAGTCTCAGCATCGGCATGGTGCGGCCGGAGTATATGAAGGAGATCTCCGCCCCGGCGTGGTTGGCAGGGCAGGTGACGACGATCCGCAAGAGTTTGAAGGATCCCGAGGGGATCCGGAAGCGGGATATTGTGCGCGGCGGGAATCCGATGCAGATTGGCGGCGAGTTCCTGTTCGAGGACGGCGAGGTGGTGTGGTGCCATCGCATGCGGAATTATCGGAATCATGCCGAGGTGCAGGTGTTGAGGAAGTTGTTGGAGTTGGATGAGTGAAGGAAAAGTGGAAGGTCTTGGGTTTGTGATTAATGGGAGGAATGCGCCCACTGGAGCGTGCACGCATGGTGGATGGGTTCTGCTTCCAAGCATTTTTGACCGCGCTGACGAGGGCATGCACGACTGATGCGGAGTCGCAAGGAGCCTCGTTGAAGAAGGCGTCAAAATGTGCAGGGTGATTTGCAGACCATCACACACCCAGCTCCTCGCCGAGTCCCCTGGCGCAATGCGCATGGCCAGGAAAGCCCCGCAGTGCATCTCCGCCTCACATCTGCCAAATGCAGGATGTCGGCGCGAGATGATCCGGATGTAGAGCGGAGGAGAAAGCGAGGGCAGAGGGCGGGCTTGGGGACACAGAGAGGAGGACCTCGCTTCGGGGTAAGGATTCACGACAGCGGCTACGGTTTGGCGTAATATACAGTAATATGATGATCTGACGGTCGAGCATCGCATGGGCGGCGTTAATAACGGCAGCATGGAATGGAGGTCATAGCTTATTCATGTGCGTGGCATGTGATCGGCCATGTATCTATGGATTTGGATATGCAGAAGGCTTGGGTATTGGACGAATGTAACCAGTCTAGCACAGTATGGCTTCTACGCCATTCAAGGTATCATTCCCAGCACTGGTGACAAGCTTGGGGAGTCTTGAAGCACGACTCACTTATATCCAGCAGTTCAAACCATCCACTACTACCAGTCGGTTGTATGCTGCTCGCGACTTCTCTCTGCTTAGCTTAACACCGGCTCAACACTCTCGGTTCGGTGACTAACGACTTCCCATGTCGAATGACGAATGGCTCAAACCTGCTCCGCCGGCAAAGCAGATGACGCTGCACCAGCATCGTGACTGACGTTCATAAAGGTCCACTCAGCATGCAATGCGAGTGTGCTCAGCCTTACCGAATAGACCAGCATATTCCTCCCAATCACCGCTCTACAACCAATCCGCACGACTGAACGATCAGTGACGTCCAGAAATGGCGCTGCAAGGCCCGCTCCAAATTCCGCCGAAACGCTCGATGCGCGAGTCGTCGTCACTGTTGGCATCGCAGCCGTGAGGATGCTCTCCGCCGCCCACTCGCTCTCACTGTCGCCGGAGTTGTTGCTGGCGTTGGCCTGGTTCAACAGTCGGCTGCCAGGCCGGCACTGGTGGAGTCCGTCCGTGCAGGTCTGGCTGCTGCGTCCGAAATCGCCAGATAGTTCCCTGAGGTATTTGCAGGTCTAAGTGCAGGACATGGCGCCGCAAAGGTACGAATGCTTCCAACGCCAATCTGTAGAGGCCCTGCAAAAAGCTAACAATGCGAAACAGCGCAGATCACTCTTTTGCACCTCCTGATGGCTCTGCGGCGGATTTCGCGCTTTCGGCTTGTCGGTATGTGCCCAATCTGCTTCTCAGTAACGGATTCGAACACCATGCTGCCGAGGCGGTTAATCAGCTTGCTTACGTGTTTCGATGCGGGTGCGTGTACAGGAAGGTTGGAGACCAGGCACGCCTTTTCATTCAACTTCTGCTCCTGCGCGGCAGAGTCTAACCTTGCAACACTACTTCAAGCGTATGGGTTACTCGGAGCTTAATCTTGCATTACGCCGTACAAGCGCGTATATGGGGTGCGATCCAGGGTGTGGAAGCTCTACAGCGGTCCAGACATGCGCATAAGTGGTTGCTACCCGATCGGTTGGCGAAGGATCTGCCAACCAATCTGCGGCGACACTATGCTCGCCCCATTCAGCGAAGAAGGAGTGCTACTTCGCGCCTGCATCTACAAGCATCCAGGTCGCCTACCAGTCCCGTCAGGGTGCCGCAAGAAGATGTCTCGAACCTTCTCCGGAGAAGATCAGTGTCACGGTCATACCGTTGCGTCCGATACAATGCCACCGCAGCTTGACCTGAACGAACCAAGACGTATCATAGCTTGCTCTTGCCGAATGCGAAGCTGCAACGCTGCATGCGGTACGTGCTGCTCCCGGCTTACCTGCTCACGCCAGTGCTTTGCCGGCCTTGGTTGGGGGAAGTGTGTATATGTCCTTGCCGAGCTGATGCTTGCCGGTCACGAAACGGTATTGTTCGTGGGCGGATGCTTTGAGAGCGGTATGGCATCTTCCAGATGCAGCGCATGGAGTACAGATGTCGTTAAGCACAGCAACGAGCACGCAGAAGAAGGCTGGCTGCACAAAAGACTTGCCCTCTACTTTCAGCGTTGAGACGCCGGGCGATGATGTCTCACTATGGTGGCACCCAGATACACCAGCCTATCCACCACGGAGCGTGGGTCATGGACTGGACGGCACACAACAGTCGCTTACCTTGTGCTTACATTGGGACATTGATACGACCGTACGCGAGATGTGCCTTCCACTCAACACGCGAGCTCGGCTGGTGCCGCCGAAGCTTGGCGCGACCAGGCTTCCGCCGGCGCGCCTTCCACCCTCCACGGCTGCAACGAACCACACTCCTCGTCACGGCCCCAATATTGTCACCCGACACGGAATACCCACGCCGATATGGATGCCACGGAGGGTGCAGGAGGCGTTCCGCGCAAGAGGCATCCCGAACACACCGAAGCCGAAGAGAGCGAGGCGCATCCGCCATCGGCCAAGAGGCAATGCAGCGACGAGGACTCTGCAACACTGAGCTCTTAGACGGCACAAGTTTGTACGTATAGGGGTTTTGTCCAGCTTCTGCCCCTGTTGACAGCCTGCAGCACCCGGTACAGTACTCTGTGTAGGATCAGCTTCGAAGAGAGCCAGTCCACGTACATGATCCCGTTCGGCCTGCTGAAGCATGACCATCCGAGCTTGCTGAACCTCGCGCAGCGCGTGGTGGAGTACGATAAGGCCGGGAGATGGAGGTCGTATTAAAGCTTACTGGGCATGGCCTTCTACTGCCTGATCGAGCGACCCGTCTCATTGACCATCTCATGATGTGGCTAGTCACTGGGTGCCTGTCTCCGTTCCCGGTTGACGATTCAACAGTCGCTAGCAGGGATGACTTCCGCCTGCTCGGTCTCACTGAAAGCCCACCGACGTATGGTGTCGTGAAGCCGCCACAAGAGCGTGATGTCATGGACGAAGTCGATCTCGTGCACATTCACGAGTTCGCATACGTCAACGGGGTCTATGATCTAAGTAACGCTGCTCTAACTGCATTTGGCAGACAGCACGCACTTCTCGAGGCTATCGCAACGAAGGCTGCCGTAGACCTCGCCTTCAATAGCGCCAGCGGCTCCCAGTTGCAGGACTTTCTCGCGAGACAGGCAGCCATTCAGCTCGATTCTTGCTATAAATCATGCCTCCCTCTTGCGACGGCAGATTTCCATGCGGCGTATCGAACCGCCATCCTGCGCGAGAGGTGTGCCTCGATGATAGAAGCCAATCGCAACAAAGCCGGTGCGAAGTACTCCGGCCGTGGCCCTGCGTGGTACCGACAGGTGTGCGCGGCTCATGTTTACATGGCGGAACAACCTGGGAGTGATTGCATCTTGTCCTTGGAGCGATCATCTAAGGACTGGCTTATTCCTTTCGAGATGGATAATGAATGGCCTGCATCTCTACGATCATGGCCGCTCACGCTCAGCACGTCCGAAGTCCCGCAACTCTACAACGACGTAGGAACTGTTTTTGTAGGCCTGGAACGAGTTCGAGTTGAGGTCAACGTCGCCGTCTTATGCCACTTTTCAAAAGTCTTCCAAGGTGCGTTGTTCGGCGGCTTTTCCGAGGCTGCATCAAAGGAGCTTGACTTGTCCGGTAAGTCGATGCCTGATTTCGGGCTCTTTCTTGCGTGGCTGTATACTCGCCAGATTGTGCTTCCCTGCACGGACGACCACGAGGCCTGGGCACGCTACGTACAAGCCACTCGCCCTCCGGACTTTGACCCGAGCACAAGTGACGACGCTTCCGAAGCGGAAGGTTCTCATGATGGTATCGCTTCGAGTAGTGCCAGCGGCGTAAGAAGAAGCGAGGAACCGCATTTTGCGCCCATGTCTACTCCCAGGTTAGCCGGCATTACCGCCCATCAGGATAGAGCACAATATATCCCTTGCTCACGAATGGGAAGTGGCGTTTGCGGGCTCAGAGCCCTGCCTAACGATCCACGTTTCCGGAGTCAAGATGCCCTGCTCGACCTTTGCATCTTCGCAGACCGAAACGATATCGAAGCACTCCGAAACGATGTGATGACGATGGCGGTCAAGCTTCGCGAGGAAGGCTGGCCTCCTTTTGCACTGTCTTTGAATCGCATCCGCTACGCTCTACAATCCTTGCCTTCCGGGTCAGCCTTCGTTAGATTTCTGATGGACGAGGTTGCTCGTTCTCGTTCGATCAGTTACAACCAGAACAGCTGGCGTCTTAATGGTGACTTGCCCAAGGAGTTCCTGATCGGCGTGACGCATCGCCTCACGGTGCTTAGAGATACGGCGTGGCATCTGGAAGATCTCGGCTGGGTCGGTGAACACAGCTACAAGGCGCGGGCAGACAGAACAGAGTGGTACGACAAAGTCTGCACTGCGTACCATGAGCATTCATCAAGGACCGAGAAAGATTTGTGTCGTCAGCAACTCACCGGACTGAGCGCCAGGATGGAGGATGTGATTGGCGACACATGGCTCGAGCAGCCAGTCAAGGCATTCAACGCCTAAGCGAGCAAGGGAGCACGATGGCGAAGGATCGATTTCTGCATCACTCGTATTAGGCTGGCGGAGTGAGTTGCCCACAAGCAAGCAGCGCATGACGGGTGTTGTGGAATAGTCAAGCTGGCACAAGCAGGCTACTTCAACATGCGAAGGACCCGGGCGAGGCTCCCCAGCGCTGTATGCGGTGACAGGTCGTCGAACGAGTTAGAAGTGTGGCTTACGTTGTGCTTCAACGGCAAATCAACGCTGCTAATCTCTCATGCGCCAGACCGTGAGACAAGATATAGATGGTGACCGTGCAAGCCCACGAGCCGCTCTATCTTCGCAGTTGTTGATGTCTCTGGGAGTGAGATGGAGCGCTACGAGCGCATATTCTTGTCTTCACATTCCTCAGCCTTGCGGCCGAGCTCCTCGTGGCATTCAGGCTCAAGGTTACGGATATGGAGCGGAACACGCCGGAGACCCTAGTTCTACCCCGCCAGTCCCGAGACAGACATGGAGCTAAGATGCATTCAGGCGGGGGGACCCTTGGAGGTGCATTCACACCTGCCGTTCCTGTACCACAACACACCATCTTGAACAACGGCCGCCCCTGCCTTTCCACCCGTCAACATGCACCCGTACACATCGCATCAACACGTGCCTTCCTGTTCGAGATCTCGCACTACTTACGGCCTTCGCTGTCCAGCGCATCGCAGGCTGCAGTCGAGGGAAGGGTGATGCTTTAGGATTACAGCGTCGCGCCGTCACATTCCCTAGAGCATTGAGCGCGACGGTGACCAACGGCTAGTCAACACTGGTCCACCCGCATCACCGCCACCACCGCTACCACCACGTCGAACCACGCTCTTCTGCAGCCGTTGTGAAGCAAGCGAGAGTCAGCCATGGGTACAGCACGCTGCTCCGCACCGGCGATTATCGCTCTCTCCGCCCTCCTGTTTCGGTCCGCTTCAGCACAGCTCCTCACCAACGGCAATAGCCAGCTCCCGTCATGTGCCGCCACCTGCACCCTCCTCAACCAAGCCGCTCAAGCCTGCAGCGGCACCGCCACCGCCGACCAGGGCACTTGGAGCTGTTTCTGCCAATCGGCCTACCTCAAGACCCTCTACACCACCCCGAATGGCGTCTGCGATCAGTTCTGCACCAACCCGAGCGACAACCAGCAGGTGATGACGTGGTACACCAGCAACTGCGGCAGTGACAATGGCGCGATCGAGCATGCCGGCTCCGCGACCGGTGCGACGACGGTGGTGGTTACGAGCACGAGCATGACTTCTACGACGACGGCGGCGGCTGCTACGAGCGATGGCGTACAACCTACGACGACGGCATCCGGCGGCTCGGCTTCGGTGTCGAATCTCAACACTTCCAACGCCGATTGGTGGAGCATACATTACGTATGTCTGTCTTTCGCATACCAAGAGCTCTTGCATGCTAACCTTGATGCAGAGATGGGTCATCATGCTCATCGTCCTCTTCGTCAGCTTCATCCTCATCGCCATCGTCGCAGTCTTGCTCAAACGCCGTCATGACCGCAAGCAAGACCGCATCCGCGAAGGCTTCAACGCCGGCATCACCAGCCGCACCACGCCCATGATTACCATCACCGCGCAGGATGGCGCCGCAGGAGACTCGACCTTCATGAGCGGTGCGCAGCCAATTGCTGGAGGAGGATGGGAGGCTGGCGGTGGCAGGAACAGCCCGGCTCGGACAAGAGAGGTGTTCATGCCCTATGGGTACAGTTACACGAGGAGTGAGAGTCGGTTGGGCAGTCGTGGGGATTTGGATGGGAGGAAGAGTCCGGTGCCGAGGGGTATGGCGCCGGTGGAGGATTTGGAGAAGGAGGTTGGGATTGGTGCGGCGAATGCGGATACGCCTCGAAGTGTGAGATCGGCGAAGAAGGGCAGGAGGGTGATGGTGAGGGAGAGGAGTGTTGAGGGGCCGGAGAGTCCGGTGGCGGAGAAGGAGCGGCGGTGATGATGTGATATTGCTATTATTTGTGTATGAGTGACGATGACTGCATTGTTGTGATACCATTTCCACCGATGGCTCGAGCGCTACTAGATGGAAGCTAGGCAGCTCCAGTTCATTGTCTTGAAGTTTTGTGCGTTGAACGCAACTACTCAAGCTTCGCAGCATTCTCGAACAAGACCTCCCAGCTAGCAAACCAGCCAAGCACCAGTGAACCATTGCTGCTGCAACGGGTAGCGTAATGGAGAGATATGTCGACGGTGGGCTGAAGGTGGCGTGAGGGTGTGATGTCAAGACAGTGGTGCTTGTGCACTGGCAGCTTGCGCTGGACTTCGGTGTTCGTATGGTGCATCGTGTGACCGTTGGCAGCATCACCCGTTCGGTACTCTGTATAGACATTGGAGAAGATGGCGAGCGATGACCTCTGGAAGTGTCCAATTGAGATACACGTGAGAGATGTGTCGCCTTGCGAAGACGAGTTTGCTTCCGCGGCGTCATAGCGGCGCAAAGCATGCAGTATCGGGAGGACATACGCATATCAAATTCTGAACCACCAAGACACGCAGCAGCGGCAAAGAGAGTAAGAGAAATGCATCCGCTTTGGCAACACACCAACCACCTGCACTGCAGTCAAACATCCTTGACCACTTTGGCATACCGGCAGATGTTCTTCTCATCCGGCCTATGATCGCGACACAGTACACAGTCCGCCGTGAGGTTGATGGGTTTGAACCAAGCGGTAGTCACCTCCTGCAACCCTTCGTCCCAAAGCGGCAAGAAGAAGCTGAAAAGACCAGGATTGATCATGAAGCGGACGACGAAGTGCTGGCCAGAGTACACCCTGGAGCCAGACGCCGAGTTGTGCAGCTGCAGCACCTCGAGAGTCCTCTGGTGAGCGGGAAAGGCGGCCAGCACTCGGAGGCGGACTTCGCTCGGGTTGAACGATGCAGGGGTACGTTTGTCCTCATGATCGGCATTCGCGCTCCATATGAAGACCTTCGGAGGCCTGCGGTAGACGAAGTCGGCAGTGAGGTAGTGACCTTGCAGGCAAATGGGTATGTTCATGGCCTTCTTAGCCAGCTGTAAGGTGGGATAAGTAACTGCCCAGACATGGTCGCACCATGACTGGCACCCGGTTGGTGTGTTGTTCGAGCCGAAGGTCACGGCGCACGCCTCGAGAATGTCGTCGCGGGTGACTGCGATGGGTGCGTTGGGAGCATTGAGCGTGTACATGACTGTCCCTCTTTGGCCAGAGTTGGTCGTGAACTTGATGAGGGTCGGCGGTGCTAAGTCAGGTGGTGGCTCTAGCATGGCAAATCGCCGCGGAGACGGCTCGCAAAGTTGTCTTGCTCGAGTGCGCTTAGGCCGGTCTTCGTCAAAGCTGTCAAGAGTGCGAGCGGTGGCGCCATTCTTCACGTCGATATGCGGACGTTGCCGTAGCCGACGCAGACCGGTGAGATCCGGAAGTTCGGGGATGTCAGGCTTCTCGATCCTTACAGGCGTCTTGCGACGGTCCACTGCAGTCGGCTGAGGCAACGCAATCGCCGCCGTATCCTTGAGTAAGAGGCCAGACTGTGCTGGTAATGCACCTACGAGCGATTCAATCATCTGCAGATGAGTCAGCAAGAGCTTCAGCTTGACGGGTAGCAGTCGAGGCTGTACCCATTGTTCCGTACCTGGGTGCTTGTTTTGGCTTGGACCTCGAGCAACACCTTCGGTAAAGATTGGCGGACCTCGGGCGGCAAGGCTTTCACAAACACAGTCAGGGTGCGGCGAAGAGCAGACTCGCTGCTGATACCAGAGGCCGCTGCCACAGCATGCTCCCGACGCAATGGGCGAGCAACCCTTTCTATCAAAGGGCGCGATTTTGCCTCCGAGATGTCGCCTGAGCGCAGAGCTTCCTGTGTCGCGGATGCTGCTGCAGCTGATGTGCTCGCATGCTGCACTAGCTCCTTCGACGCAAGCTTGTAGATATCGTCCTTCCGTTTATATTCCGCAATGACGTGCATGCAAGCCTTGAAAGCTCCGTGATTGAGTACATGTTTGCCTGCATTCACTTCCGAAGTCTCGCTCTGAGCCTCCGAAACGGTATCATCAGCTGCAGCGCCTGCAACGTGAGGAGCTGTTATGGCTGTAGGATTGTCTCCATCCGGCGACTCTTGCTTGATGATGTGTTGTGCTGACAGCAGACATTCGGCTGCAATGCGACGTGCGATCTCGTCGCCCGGAGCCGGATCCTCCGCTTTGCGCTTCGCGTTGCGAGTCATGGGTGCGGAGACGGGACAATCCGGACGATGGCGGCGGAAGCTCAGGAAACGCATTCGCTGCGCTTCATGTACAGTCTGCGTCGAAGAACAGCGCAACGTAGATGCTGTGGTGCCTTGAAACGGAGGATGGAGCGAGACAATGTCTCTTGACCTCCTCGCCGGATGCCCGTAATCTCAACCCTGGCTTATTTGGCGGAAAGTTGTCAGGAGTCAAGCTCCACCTCACCCTGATTAGCGAAGCAAGAGCCAATCCCGACTCGCCTCGGCGACCATTTGTTTGAAGGCGGACATGGCCAGACGGTAGTCTCTACGCCAACTCCTCTTCGCTTTGACTGAACGACGCCGCGCGCGATGGTAGCTTAGACCCTGATTTGCGAGCATTGACTGTCAAGCGCACTTCCACTGTTGCCGCGGCGCTCTGGACTGCAATCATCATATAAAGTGCATTCCGAGCACTCTCCGTGTCTGCTTATGGAGTGGCAAGGGTCTGGAGCTCGTGCCTTTGCTCACCCACGTGCCGTCTCCCATCGACGGTGGCCCGCTACGCCGACGGAGACCATGGCCGCATCATCTTCGTTGAGTTGCCGTCTATGTTCCGGCCAACACGCCAGCGCGCGTATCGGACGCGTACAGGCCTGGAGCATGGACGCGACCTGCGTGGTTCATATCGTTTGTGTAAGGACTTGCGACTTGCTTCGACATTGACTTTGACCGCTGCGGGCCGTCAGATGAAGGTCCTTTGGTGGCATAGCATCAGGATCCATCCTACCTCCGGTAGACAGCATCTCTCGCCCGCTCTTGTGGCCCTGGAGGGCCAAGTCGTATGGCAGCCTGACCCACGTACTCGAAGACTTCATTGAAGCCAGCCTATCGACCTACCCTGTCGCTGCTTCCTCGTTCCTGCTCAGCCATCATGACCCCCAGACAGCAACCGAGCCCTCCCTCGTCATCACAACACCGTCTTGCGACGCCACGGTTTACGTCAATCAACGCACAGCACCCCAAGCCGACCTCCAACCACGCCGCAGTCGCCTCCGCATCCACCGCAACCGCCGAAGCTGCGGAAGCGTCTGCCTTTGACGATTTTGGACAAAGAAACGGCCACACGAAGCGTACGACCAGGTCACAGTTGCCGGAGCTGCAAGATCGGGACTTTCAGGTGGACAGCATCCTTGAGCGTCGTCAAGGAGCCGGCGGAGTAGAGTACCTTGTCCAATGGCAAGAAAGTTGGTTGGATCCGTCACTGATATTGCGCAATGACGACGGTACAAGATTCGTACGCTGCAACGGCTCCGACTGGCCTGTCAAGGTGGTGCTGCCAGTATCGCCAGTGGACGAAGACCCAAGAGAATGTGCTGTGGGCTGGGAGCCTACCTGGCAGCCGAAGTCCAGCCTGTCCGGCTCTCAAGACCTCATCGATGATTTCGAACGCGACAACCCGTCCAATATTCCAGATGAGCCAAGTAGGGCCGTTGTGCATGTGCGAGCGCATCCCGGTGGCAGGCTGGAAGCTTGTAATAGCTTCTCATCCAACGTATTCTACCCGAGAGCTAAACGTGACTATGCGCCAGCCATGATTGCGTGGAGTCGAGACAACGGTGGGATCATCGCAAAAGCATGCCTTCGATTGGACACAAAGCGGGCCTTGCGCTTCCGGAAGGTGTTTGTCAAGGCTGAGCGCATGTTCAATCTGGCAAGACCGAGTCATGGAAATGCAGCGATGGTGTTCATCAAGGGTGTGGTGCAGGCGAAGCCGTGCGACTGTTGCACGCTTGCTGGTGCACCGTTTCCGCATTGTGTGACTTTCGACTTCGCATTCCATGGTGCGTGCGCTAATTGTGGGTTTCGGGAACGAGGAACCGGCTGTAATTACCACGGTGATGGTAAGACTGTCCTGACACGATATACTGCCATCTGCTGATAACGGCGTGCACAGCGAAGGAGGGTGTTGTTCGCTGGGTCCGCGCGGTAGGCTCAGAGACAGCACCCCAGCATCAGCTGATCGAAGTAGCTAATCGGCATGGCTCGCTCTCCTCAGTCATCGGACACGGCCCAATCGCAAACGGCTCATCGCATGACCGCGGAACCGGTAATGATAGCTCAGGCCCAGCGACAGCGGATAGGACGGACCACGAAAGCGTCCCCGGTAGAGGCCCCTCGACGGAGCTTGGAAGCCCGAATCCATTTCCAGACACTGTCATGCAAAGCCCGAGCATGCCTGTTGCGGAGGCGACCGATGCTGCGCGCGCGGCAACGCGGAGCCCCTCGCTGGCTCCCTTGGACTCCTCTCCGTTGCGTGCTATGAAGTCTCGAGAGCAGAATGGACGTGCGACGCCTGGTCCTTCGAATTGGCGAAAGCGCCGCCGGGCTCACCACTCTCATTCTGATGTGGGCTCGTCCAAGCGACCATCGCCTGCTGCGGCCAAGCAGGCCGAAAAGGTCGAAAAGGCCGCCAGTACGCGCAGCACTGAAGACGAAGACCAAGAGGAAGACCAAGACGAAGTACCAGTATACCGAAATGAATACTTCGAGCAGGGTCAGGCAAGTCCAGCACAAGTTCGAGTCATCTTGAAGCATTGCGATTCGCGATGGCGAGACATCTTCGACAGAGCTTGGCGGAAATGGGTGTCACGAGTGCAGCCTCCCGGTTCGCCAAACAGTCTGACGAAGGAAGAGTTTCTGTCGCTGCATCTGTACGAGTCGCTGAATGGTGCGGTGACAGCTCGCTGCCCGCCAGCGCCTCCGTCGTCTACTTCACCGCATGAGATCGTTACGCTAAAGTAGATCCAGGCTTTCTTGTTGTGTGCGTGGTCTTCAATCTATAAGTGATGACGTGGCGCTGGTATGGGTTGTTGGGAAGGTGTCGCGCCTTTGTTGTCTTCATAGTGTACACTAATTGCTAGACCGAACCTTTACCGGTGTTATTCAGCAAGCTGATCCCACCGTACAACATTCTCCCCCGTCCTCTCGCGTCATCGTCGTTGTCGTCATCGTCATGTAACGAAGCACTTATCATTGGTGTCGTACATGGCGGTTCCCACTGCACGTCCGCGTGGCAAAGGAGGAGCGTTCGTGTCTTTGCCCCGCCATTGCGTCCCCACCCCCGCAAGATCTTCCCGGCCCGCCGAGCCGCGATAGACCCTGCATCTGCATCTTCGAGTAGTGAAGCTCTTCAGATATGAAGCATCTGCGTCTGGTGCAGACACATGCATCTCCCCCGACACCACATCAACCAAGCTGGATGTTCTAGCCAAGCTACTCCATCGCCTCACCGGGACGATTACCGGCACGTGCCGTACCGAAGCATACCAGATCTGCCCAGATCAGCCCAGATCACTTGTTGCGATCAAATCACGAGACTGTGTCTGAGGGCATGAGAAGCGATTAAGGCAGGAGATTGCGTCGGAAGAGCCGAAATGGCGGTGAACGGCATGTCGTGACCGCGATGAGACAAGCTTTCGAGATGCACAGCTAATCCCTCCCAGGCGCACTGCCACCACCCACCTTCGACCTCGATGCATGGGCCAACAACTACGAAGGTACGCTCAAAGTCGAATGCGGTGGTATGGGTGATATGGCACGTACTGACCGCTGCTAGGTGCTCTCCTTCCACTCCGTCTCGCACACGTCGCCACCCGCTGCCCTCCTCTCGCCCGCCAAAGCCTGACCACCGCCATCTCCGCCGCCAAGACGGGCAAGAATGTCCAGCTGTACATGCGCCTGTGTGAGCTGGCAGGACACCTTGGTCTGGATGACCTCCGCACGCCGGACGAAGCATGGGTGAGCAAGCAAGACGAGGGCAACAAGCGCGAGCTGAGCCGGCTGGAAGGCGAGCTGCGCGGTTACAAGAACAATCTCATTCGCGAGAGTATCCGCATGGGCCAGGAAGATCTCGCACAGCACCACCTCGTCACCGGTGGACCGCTACCTGACCTCAGCAATCCTCAGTCGCTCAGCACCGCCGGCTACAATGCCGCATACCAGGCCTTCGGCAAGATGCGCGATTACTGCACCACTCCCACCCACATGGCCGCCATGACTTTGCGCTTGGTCTACTCCGCCGTGCTCATGGCTGTCAACGCCCAGCAGACCGGTGGATCAGCCATGCACCACTTCAACAGCGTCCTCGCCAACGCCAGCCGCCTGCGCACCGCCGGAGTGAAGGAGGAAGAGCAAGTCAAGCTCACACCCATCGCGATCGCCATGACCGGCATTGCCCATCTAGGCCAAGGCAACTACCGCGATGCTGCTGCATCTTTCCGCTACACGCCAGCAGAATACAACAACCTCGGACCCATCCACGGCGCAGACTTCGGCCGCTTGGTGGCCTCCGCGAACGACATCGCCATCTACGGTGGTCTTTGCAGTCTCGCCACGCTCAGTCGGCAGGAGCTCATTGACAAGGTCCTCGGTGGCACCTTCCGCGTCTTCCTCGAGCTCGAACCGCACATGCGCAAAGCCATCAGCCTTTACACCACCGCCAAATATCAAGCCTGCCTCGACACCTTGCAACGTTACTACAGCGACTGGAGTCTCGACGTCTTTCTCGGCGCGGCTGTCATTGCTGGTGGCAACGGCTCACACGTCGACCGCTTGTTCGCTCTGATCCGCGAGAAGAGCATCACCGCCTACTTCTCGTCCTTCTCCGAGGTCTCACTGGCCTCACTGGCCTCCACCTTCCCGCCCACGACTTACGCACAGACGGCGATGGAGGACGAGGTGCTGAGCATGATTGACTCCGGAAGGCTGGACGCTCGGCTCGACGCTCTCAATGGCGTGCTAATTGCGCCTAAGTCAGATGTCAGAGCGGCCGTGCATGCAGAGGCAAAGCGAGCCGCGGAGGAGGTCGAGCGGACGTTGCTGTTGCGGCTGCACAAGGTGAACGCTGCGTTGGCCGGGTTGGAGATTCCGCGGTCGAAAGCTGGCGGTGGGGTGGGATGGGGAGAGGTTGCAGCCATGGGTGACGGAGTGTACTGAGAGTATTGCTGGCTGACGAAGAGGACGTGATTGACGATCTTGTCGGACTTCGGCTGAAGCCAGGCGTGAGCATAGCGAGGGCGAAGACGGCGTCTGGGGAAGATTACTCCACGCAATGCGCGTCTGCAATGGAGCGAGCCACTGCATTTCAGCGCTTCGGAATTCTCTTGTGCATCTGCCGCATGTATAGTATGCCAAGCCAATTATGCTTGAGAATCGAGCTGTGGCGCCCAGCATTGCCAGCCCATCAGCGACCAATCCTGCAATTGACCCGAAGTAACGGTCACCTTCCCAATAAAGAAAGATATGTCGCCACGTATAGAACACCGGATAGCAATATTGAGATTGGTGCTAGAACTGATGTTGCTCGTCTTCGACTCGCATAGAAGTCGCACAAGGTGCGCATCCGCCAAGCACGATCGTATGCGCCTCGGCCTTCTAGTCAACTATATAGTATTCCGCCTACTGCCTCCAATATCACTTTAAGAGCCTGATAGTAATAGGCTTAATGATTACAGAGGAGTACGCTAGCAGTAGCGCGAGTGTAGTAGTAGCTAGGTTAGATACATACCGAAGCAGAATTCGGTAAGCGTTGGATTGTTCACCCACTAATAGGGAACGTGAGCTGGGTTTAGACCGTCGTGAGACAGGTTAGTTTTACCCTACTGATGACCATCGTCCCAACGGTAATACCGCTTAGTACGAGAGGAACCGCGGTTTCAGATAATTGGTTTTTGCGGCTGTCCGACCGGGCAGTGCCGCGACGCTACCATCTGCTGGATTATGGCTGAACGCCTCTAAGTCAGAATCCATGCCGGAACGGGACGATCCTCTCCGGCACGCCGTACGCGGATGAGAATAGGTACCGCCAGCACCTTGCACGGGCACGCCGCTGAAGAGGCAGCCCGACTTTGTAATTTGACCGCGCGCCGGGATGAAACCCTTGCAGACGACTGGGGATGTCGGACCGGGTCGTGTAAGCAGTCGAGTAGCCTTGTTGTTACGAGCTGCTGAGCGTAAGCCCGCGTCCGCAGTTTTGTTCGATACACCCCCATGAGATTGATCGATGGTTTGGAACCA